ACATAGTGGCTTCGAAGACACACTATGCCCACAGAACTATTCCAACCCATGGTCAATGAAAAGCCCAGCCCTACCTGCAGAACAAAGCTTTGCAGTTTGTACCCAACAGTCATTGCCAGGGACCCAGAACTGATAATCAGGACTTTTAGGCTGGGTGAATAAAAAATTGATGGTTGAAAATTTAAGAAAGAGTTATCTTCTTTGTGTTTTGACATTTTGGAGGAGTTGACAGTTAAAGACAAGGCTTGGGGGTATTTCCAATGACAAGGAGGTGCTTGGAGCTGGAGTTGAACCAGCGACCTTAGGATCACGGCGTTTCACACAAGGAGCATCTTACAGTCCACCGCTCTACCAACTGAGCTATCAAGGTGCTCTCTAGTCACAAGTGCAGAAAACATAGTGGCTTCGAAGACACACTATGCCCACAGAACTATTCCAACCCATGGTCAATGAAAAGCCCAGCCCTACCTGCAGAACAAAGCTTTGCAGTTTGTACCCAACAGTCATTGCCCGGGACCCAGAACTGATAATCAGGACTTTTAGGCTGGGTGAATAAAAAATTGATGGTTGAAAATTTAAGAAAGAGTTATCTTGTTTGTGTTTTGACATTTTGGAGGAGTTGACAGATAAAGACAAGGCTTGGGGGTATTTCCAATGACAAGGAGGTGCTTGGAGCTGGAGTTGAACCAGCGACCTTAGGATCACAGCGTTTCACACAAGGAGCATCTTACAGTCCACCGCTCTACCAACTGAGCTATCAAGGTGCTCTCTAGTCACAAGTGCAGAAAACATAGTGGCTTCGAAGACACACTATGCCCACAGAACTATTCCAACCCATGGTCAATGAAAAGCCCAGTCCTACCTGCAGAACAAAGCTTTGCAGTTTGTACCCAACAGTCATTGCCAGGGACCCAGAACTGATAATCAGGACTTTTAGGCTGGGTGAATAAAAAATTGATGGTTGAAAATTTAAGAAAGAGTAATCTTCTTTGTGTTTTGACATTTTGGAGGAGTTGACAGATAAAGACAAGGCTTGGGGGTATTTCCAATGACAAGGAGGTGCTTGGAGCTGGAGTTGAACCAGCGACCTTAGGATCACGGCGTTTCACACAAGGAGCATCTTACAGTCCACCGCTCTACCAACTGAGCTATCAAGGTGCTCTCTAGTCACAAGTGCAGAAAACATAGTGGCTTCGAAGACACACTATGCCCACAGAACTATTCCAACCCATGGTCAATGAAAAGCCCAGCCCTACCTGCAGAACAAAGCTTTGCAGTTTGTACCCAACAGTCATTGCCCGGGACCCAGAACTGATAATCAGGACTTTTAGGCTGGGTGAATAAAAAATTGATGGTTGAAAATTTAAGAAAGAGTTATGTTCTTTGTGTTTTGACATTTTGGAGGAGTTGACAGATAAAGACAAGGCTTGGGGGTATTTCCAATGACAAGGAGGTGCTTGGAGCTGGAGTTGAACCAGCGAGCTTAGGATCACGGCGTTTCACACAAGGAGCATCTTACAGTCCACCGCTCTACCAACTGAGCTATCAAGGTGCTCTCTAGTCACAAGTGCAGAAAACATAGTGGCTTTGAAGACACACTATGCCCACAGAACTATTCCAACCCATGGTCAATGAAAAGCCCAGCCCTACCTGCAGAACAAAGCTTTGCAGTTTGTACCCAACAGTCATTGCCAGGGACCCAGAACTGATAATCAGGACTTTTAGGCTGAGTGAATAAAAAATTGATGGTTGAAAATTTAAGAAAGAGTTATCTTCTTTGTGTTTTGACATTTTGGAGGAGTTGACAGATAAAGACAAGGCTTGGGGGTATTTCCAATGACAAGGAGGTGCTTGGAGCTGGAGTTGAACCAGCGACCTTAGGATCACGGCGTTTCACACAAGGAGCATCTTACAGTCCACCGCTCTACCAACTGAGCTATCAAGGTGCTCTCTAGTCACAAGTGCAGAAAACATAGTGGCTTCGAAGACACACTATGCCCACAGAACTATTCCAACCCATGGTCAATGAAAAGCCCAGCCCTACCTGCAGAACAAAGCTTTGCAGTTTGTACCCAACAGTCATTGCCAGAGACCCAGAACTGATAATCAGGACTTTTAGGCTGAGTGAATAAAAAATTGATGGTTGAAAATTTAAGAAAGAGTTATCTTGTTTGTGTTTTGACATTTTGGAGGAGTTGACAGATAAAGACAAGGCTTGGGGGTATTTCCAATGACAAGGAGGTGCTTGGAGCTGGAGTTGAACCAGCGACCTTAGGATCACAGCGTTTCACACAAGGAGCATCTTACAGTCCACCGCTCTACCAACTGAGCTATCAAGGTGCTCTCTAGTCACAAGTGCAGAAAACATAGTGGCTTCGAAGACACACTATGCCCACAGAACTATTCCAACCCATGGTCAATGAAAAGCCCAGCCCTACCTGCAGAACAAAGCTTTGCAGTTTGTACCCAACAGTCATTGCCAGGGACCCAGAACTGATAATCAGGACTTTTAGGCTGAGTGAATAAAAAATTGATGGTTGAAAATTTAAGAAAGAGTTATCTTCTTTGTGTTTTGACATTTTGGAGGAGTTGACAGATAAAGACAAGGCTTGGGGGTATTTCCAATGACAAGGAGGTGCTTGGAGCTGGAGTTGAACCAGCGACCTTAGGATCACAGCGTTTCACACAAGGAGCATCTTACAGTCCACCGCTCTACCAACTGAGCTATCAAGGTGCTCTCTAGTCACAAGTGCAGAAAACATAGTGGCTTCGAAGACACACTATGCCCACAGAACTATTCCAACCCATGGTCAATGAAAAGCCCAGCCCTACCTGCAGAACAAAGCTTTGCAGTTTGTACCCAACAGTCATTGCCAGGGACCCAGAACTGATAATCAGGACTTTTAGGCTGAGTGAATAAAAAATTGATGGTTGAAAATTTAAGAAAGAGTAATCTTCTTTGTGTTTTGACATTTTGGAGGAGTTGACAGATAAAGACAAGGCTTGGGGGTATTTCCAATGACAAGGAGGTGCTTGGAGGTGGAGTTGAACCAGCGACCTTAGGATCACAGCGTTTCACACAAGGAGCATCTTACAGTCCACCGCTCTACCAACTGAGCTATCAAGGTGCTCTCTAGTCACAAGTGCAGAAAACATAGTGGCTTCGAAGTCACACTATGCCCACAGAACTATTCCAACCCATGGTCAATGAAAAGCCCAGCCCTACCTGCAGAACAAAGCTTTGCAGTTTGTACCCAACAGTCATTGCCAGGGACCCAGAACTGATAATCAGGACTTTTAGGCTGAGTGAATAAAAAATTGATGGTTGAAAATTTAAGAAAGAGTTATCTTCTTTGTGTTTTGACATTTTGGAGGAGTTGACAGATAAAGACAAGGCTTGGGGGTATTTCCAATGACAAGGAGGTGCTTGGAGCTGGAGTTGAACCAGCGAGCTTAGGATCACGGCGTTTCACACAAGGAGCATCTTACAGTCCACCGCTCTACCAACTGAGCTATCAAGGTGCTCTCTAGTCACAAGTGCAGAAAACATAGTGGCTTCGAAGACACACTATGCCCACAGAACTATTCCAACCCATGGTCAATGAAAAGCCCAGCCCTACCTGCAGAACAAAGCTTTGCAGTTTGTACCCAACAGTCATTGCCAGGGACCCAGAACTGATAATCAGGACTTTTAGGCTGGGTGAATAAAAAATTGATGGTTGAAAATTTAAGAAAGAGTTATATTCTTTGTGTTTTGACATTTTGGAGGAGTTGACAGATAAAGACAAGGGTTGGGGGTATTTCCAATGACAAGGAGGTGCTTGGAGCTGGAGTTGAACCAGCGACCTTAGGATCACAGCTTTTCACACAAGGAGCATCTTACAGTCCACCGCTCTACCAACTGAGCTATCAAGGTGCTCTCTAGTCACAAGTGCAGAAAACATAGTGGCTTCGAAGACACACTATGCCCACAGAACTATTCCAACCCATGGTCAATGAAAAGCCCAGCCCTACCTGCAGAACACAGCTTTGCAGTTTGTACCCAACAGTCATTGCCAGGGACCCAGAACTGATAATCAGGACTTTTAGGCTGAGTGAATAAAAAATTGATGGTTGAAAATTTAAGAAAGAGTTATCTTGTTTGTGTTTTGACATTTTGGAGGAGTTGACAGATAAAGACAAGGCTTGGGGGTATTTCCAATGACATGGAGGTGCTTGGAGCTGGAGTTGAACCAGCGACCTTAGGATCACAGCTTTTCAAACAAGGAGCATCTTACAGTCCACCGCTCTACCAACTGAGCTATCAAGGTGCTCTCTAGTCACAAGTGCAGAAAACATAGTGGCTTCGAAGACACACTATGCCCACAGAACTATTCCAACCCATGGTCAATGAAAAGCCCAGCCCTACCTGCAGAACAAAGCTTTGCAGTTTGTACCCAACAGTCATTGCCAGGGACCCAGAACTGATAATCAGGACTTTTAGGCTGGGTGAATAAAAAATTGATGGTTGAAAATTTAAGAAAGAGTTATCTTCTTTGTGTTTTGACATTTTGGAGGAGTTGACAGATAAAGACAAGGCTTGGGGGTATTTCCAATGACAAGGAGGTGCTTGGAGCTGGAGTTGAACCAGGGACCTTAGGATCACAGCATTTCACACAAGGAGCATCTAACAGTCCACCGCGCTACCAACTGAGCTATCAAGGTGCTCTCTAGTCACAAGTGCAGAAAACATAGTGGCTTCGAAGACACACTATGCCCACAGAACTATTCCAACCCATGGTCAATGAAAAGCCCAGCCCTACCTGCAGAACAAAGCTTTGCAGTTTGTACCCAACAGTCATTGCCAGGGACCCAGAACTGATAATCAGGACTTTTAGGGTGGGTGAATAAAAAATTGATGGTTGAAAATTTAAGAAAGAGTTATCTTGTTTGTGTTTTGACATTTTGGAGGAGTTGACAGATAAAGACAAGGCTTGGGGGTATTTCCAATGACAAGGAGGTGCTTGGAGCTGGAGTTGAACCAGCGACCTTAGGATCACGGCGTTTCACACAAGGAGCATCTTACAGTCCACCGCTCTACCAACTGAGCTATCAAGGTGCTCTCTAGTCACAAGTGCAGAAAACATAGTGGCTTCGAAGACACACTATGCCCACAGAACTATTCCAACCCATGGTCAATGAAAAGCCCAGCCCTACCTGCAGAACAAAGCTTTGCAGTTTGTACCCAACAGTCATTGCCAGGGACCCAGAACTGATAATCAGGACTTTTAGGCTGGGTGAATAAAACATTGATGGTTGAAAATTAAAGAAAGAGTTATCTTCTTTGTGTTTTGAGATTTTGGAGGAGTTGACAGATAAAGACAAGGCTTGGGGGTATTTCCAATGACAAGGAGGTGCTTGGAGCTGGAGTTGAACCAGCGACCTTAGGATCACAGCGTTTCACACAAGGAGCATCTTACAGTACACCGCTCTACCAACTGAGCTATCAAGGTGCTCTCTAGTCGCAAGTGCAGAAAACATGGTGGCTTCGACGACACACTATGCCCACAGAACTATTCCAACCCATGGTCAATGAAAAGCCCAGCCCTACCTGCAGAACAAAGCTTTGCAGTTTGTACCCAATAGTCATTGCCAGGGACCCAGAACTGATAATCAGGACTTTTAGGCTGGGTGAATAAAAAATTGATGGTTGAAAATTCAAGAAAGAGTTATCTTTTTTGTGTTTCGACATTTTGGAGGAGTTGACAGATAAAGACAAGGCTTGGGGGTATTTCCAATGACAAGGAGGTGCTTGGAGGTGGAGTTGAACCAGCTACCTTAGCATCACAGCGTTTCACACAAGGAGCATCTTACAGTCCACCGCTCTAACAACTGAGCTATCAAGGTGCTCTCTAGTCACAAGTGCAGAAAACATAGTGGCTTCGAAGACACACTATGCCCACAGAACTATTCCAAACCATGGTCAATGAAAAGCCCAGCCCTACCTGCAAAACAAAGCTTTGCAGTTTGTACCCAACAGTCATTACCAGGGACCCAGAACTGATAATCAGGACTTTTAGGCTGGGTGAATAAAAAATTGATGGTTGAAAATTCAAGAAAGAGTTATCTTCTTTGTGTTTCGACATTTTGGAGGAGTTGACAGATAAAGACAAGGCTTGGGGGTATTTCCAATGACAAGGAGGTGCTTGGAGGTGGAGTTGAACCAGCGACCTTAGCATCACAGCGTTTCACACAAGGAGCATCTTACAGTCCACAGCTCTACCAACTGAGCTATCAAGGTGCTCTCTAGTCACAAGTGCAGAAAACATGGTGGCTTCGAAGACACACTATGCCCACAGAACTATTCCAACCCATGGTCAATGAAAAGCCCAGCCCTACCTGCAGAACAAAGCTTTGCAGTTTGTACCCAACAGTCATTGCCAGGGACCCAGAACTGATAATCAGGACTTTTAGGCTGGGTGAATAAAAAATTGATGGTTGAAAATTTTAGAAAGAGTTATCTTGTTTGTGTTTTGACATTTTGGATGAGTTGACAGATAAAGACAAGGCTTGGGGGTATTTCCAATGACAAGGAGGTGCTTGGAGCTGGAGTTGAACCAGCGACCTTAGCATCACAGCGTTTCACACAAGGAGCATCTTACAGTCCACCGCTCTACCAACTGAGCTATCAAGGTGCTCTCTAGTCACAAGTGCAGAAAACATAGTGGCTTCGAAGACACACTATGCCCATAGAACTATTCCAACCCATGGTCAATGAAAAGCCCAGCCCTACCTGCAGAACAAAGCTTTGCAGTTTGTACCCAACAGTCATTGCCAGGGACCCAGAACTGATAATCAGGACTTTTAGGCTGGGTGAATAAAAAATTGATGGTTGAAAATTTAAGAAAGAGTTATCTTCTTTGTGTTTCGACATTTTGGAGGAGTTGACAGATAAAGACAAGGCTTGGGGGTATTTCCAATGACAAGGAGGTGCTTGGAGCTGGAGTTGAACCAGCGACCTTAGCATCACAGCGTTTCACACAAGGAGCATCTTACAGTCCACCGCTCTACCAACTGAGCTATCAAGGTGCTCTCTAGTCACAAGTGCAGAAAACATAGTGGCTTCGACGACACACTATGCCCACAGAACTATTCCAACCCATGGTCAATGAAAAGCCCAGCCCTACCTGCAGAACAAAGCTTTGCAGTTTGTACCCAACAGTCATTGCCAGGGACCCAGAACTGATAATCAGGACTTTTAGTCTGGGTGAATAAAAAATTGATGGTTGAAAATTTAAGAAAGAGTTATCTTCTTTGTGTTTTGACATTTTGGAGGAGTTGACAGATAAAGACAAGGCTTGGGGGTATTTCCAATGACAAGGAGGTGCTTGGAGCTGGAGTTGAACCAGCGACCTTAGGATCACAGCGTTTCACACAAGGAGGATCTTAAAGTCCACCGCTCTACGAACTGAGCTATCAAGGTGCTCTCTAGTCTCAAGTGCAGAAAACATAGTGGCTTCGAAGACACACTATGCCCACAGAACTATTCCAACCCATGGTCAATGAAAAGCCCAGCCCTACCTGCAGAACAAAGCTTTGCAGTTTGTACCCAACAGTCATTGCCAGGGACCCAGAACTGATAATCAGGACTTTTAGGCTGAGTGAATAAAAAATTGATGGTTGAAAATTTAAGAAAGAGTTATCTTGTTTGTGTTTTGACATTTTGGAGGAGTTGACAGATAAAGACAAGGCTTGGGGGTATTTCCAATGACAAGGAGGTGCTTGGAGCTGGAGTTGAACCAGCGACCTTAGGATCACAGCGTTTCACACAAGGAGCATCTTACAGTCCACCGCTCTACCAACTGAGCTATCAAGGTGCTCTCTAGTCACAAGTGCAGAAAACATAGTGGCTTCGAAGACACACTATGCCCACAGAACTATTCCAACCCATGGTCAATGAAAAGCCCAGCCCTACCTGCAGAACAAAGCTTTGCAGTTTGTACCCAACAGTCATTGCCAGGGACCCAGAACTGATAATCAGGACTTTTAGGCTGGGTGAATAAAAAATTGATGGTTGAAAATTTAAGAAAGAGTTATCTTCTTTGTGTTTTGACATTTTGGAGGAGTTGACAGATAAAGACAAGGCTTGGGGGTATTTCCAATGACAAGGAGGTGCTTGGAGCTGGAGTTGAACCAGCGACCTTAGGATCACAGCGTTTCACACAAGGAGCATCTTACAGTCCACCGCTCTACCAACTGAGCTATCAAGGTGCTCTCTAGTCGGAAGTGCAGAAAACATGGTGGCTTCGACGACACACTTTGCCCACAGAACTATTCCAACCCATGGTCAATGAAAAGCCCAGCCCTACCTGCAGAACAAAGCTTTGCAGTTTGTACCCAACAGTCATTGCCAGGGACCCAGAACTGATAATCAGGACTTTTAGGCTGGGTGAATAAAAAATTGATGGTTGAAAATTCAAGAAAGAGTTATCTTTTTTGTGTTTCGACATTTTGGAGGAGTTGACAGATAAAGACAAGGCTTGGGGGTATTTCCAATGACAAGGAGGTGCTTGGAGGTGGAGTTGAACCAGCGACCTTAGCATCACAGCGTTTCACAAAAGGAGCATCTTACAGTCCACCGCTCTACCAACTGAGCTATCAAGGTGCTCTCTAGTCACAAGTGCAGAAAACATAGTGGCTTCGAAGTCACACTATGCCCACAGAACTATTCCAACCCATGGTCAATGAAAAGCCCAGCCCTACCTGCAGAACAAAGCTTTGCAGTTTGTACCCAACAGTCATTGCCAGGGACCCAGAACTGATAATCAGGACTTTTAGGCTGAGTGAATAAAAAATTGATGGTTGAAAATTTAAGAAAGAGTTATCTTCTTTGTGTTTTGACATTTTGGAGGAGTTGACAGATAAAGACAAGGCTTGGGGGTATTTCCAATGAAAAGGAGGTGCTTGGAGCTGGAGTTGAACCAGCGAGCTTAGGATCACGGCGTTTCACACAAGGAGCATCTTACAGTCCACCGCTCTACCAACTGAGCTATCAAGGTGCTCTCTAGTCACAAGTGCAGAAAACATAGTGGCTTCGAAGACACACTATGCCCACAGAACTATTCCAACCCATGGTCAATGAAAAGCCCAGCCCTACCTGCAGAACAAAGCTTTGCAGTTTGTACCCAACAGTCATTGCCAGGGACCCAGAACTGATAATCAGGACTTTTAGGCTGGGTGAATAAAAAATTGATGGTTGAAAATTTAAGAAAGAGTTATATTCTTTGTGTTTTGACATTTTGGAGGAGTTGACAGATAAAGACAAGGGTTGGGGGTATTTCCAATGACAAGGAGGTGCTTGGAGCTGGAGTTGAACCAGTGACCTTAGGATCACAGCTTTTCACACAAGGAGCATCTTACAGTCCACCGCTCTACCAACTGAGCTATCAAGGTGCTCTCTAGTCTCAAGTGCAGAAAACATAGTGGCTTCGAAGACACACTATGCCCACAGAACTATTCCAACCCATGGTCAATGAAAAGCCCAGCCCTACCTGCAGAACACAGCTTTGCAGTTTGTACCCAACAGTCATTGCCAGGGACCCAGAACTGATAATCAGGACTTTTAGGCTGAGTGAATAAAAAATTGATGGTTGAAAATTTAAGAAAGAGTTATCTTCTTTGTGTTTTGACATTTTGGAGGAGTTGACAGATAAAGACAAGGCTTGGGGGTATTTCCAATGACAAGGAGGTGCTTGGAGCTGGAGTTGAACCAGCGACCTTAGCATCACAGCGTTTCACACAAGGAGCATCTTACAGTCCACCGCTCTACCAACTGAGCTATCAAGGTGCTCTCTAGTCACAAGTGCAGAAAACATAGTGGCTTCGAAGACACACTATGCCCACAGAACTATTCCAACCCATGGTCAATGAAAAGCCCAGCCCTACCTGCAGAACAAAGCTTTGCAGTTTGTACCCAACAGTCATTGCCAGGGACCCAGAACTGATAATCAGGACTTTTAGGCTGGGTGAATAAAAAATTGATGGTTGAAAATTTAAGAAAGAGTTATCTTCTTTGTGTTTCGACATTTTGGAGGAGTTGACAGATAAAGACAAGGCTTGGGGGTATTTCCAATGACAAGGAGGTGCTTGGAGCTGGAGTTGAACCAGCGACCTTAGCATCACAGCGTTTCACACAAGGAGCATCTTACAGTCCACCGCTCTACCAACTGAGCTATCAAGGTGCTCTCTAGTCACAAGTGCAGAAAACATAGTGGCTTCGAAGACACACTATGCCCACAGAACTATTCCAACCCATGGTCAATGAAAAGCCCAGCCCTACCTGCAGAACAAAGCTTTGCAGTTTGTACCCAACAGTCATTGCCAGGGACCCAGAACTGATAATCAGGACTTTTAGTCTGGGTGAATAAAAAATTGATGGTTGAAAATTTAAGAAAGAGTTATCTTCTTTGTGTTTTGACATTTTGGAGGAGTTGACAGATAAAGACAAGGCTTGGGGGTATTTCCAATGACAAGGAGGTGCTTGGAGCTGGAGTTGAACCAGCGACCTTAGGATCACAGCGTTTCACACAAAGAGGATCTTAAAGTCCACCGCTCTACGAACTGAGCTATCAAGGTGCTCTCTAGTCTCAAGTGCAGAAAACATAGTGGCTTCGAAGACACACTATGCCCACAGAACTATTCCAACCCATGGTCAATGAAAAGCCCAGCCCTACCTGCAGAACAAAGCTTTGCAGTTTGTACCCAACAGTCATTGCCAGGGACCCAGAACTGATAATCAGGACTTTTAGGCTGAGTGAATAAAAAATTGATGGTTGAAAATTTAAGAAAGAGTTATCTTGTTTGTGTTTTGACATTTTGGAGGAGTTGACAGATAAAGACAAGGCTTGGGGGTATTTCCAATGACAAGGAGGTGCTTGGAGCTGGAGTTGAACCAGCGACCTTAGGATCACAGCGTTTCACACAAGGAGCATCTTACAGTCCACCGCTCTACCAACTGAGCTATCAAGGTGCTCTCTAGTCACAAGTGCAGAAAACAGAGTGGCTTCGAAGACACACTATGCCCACAGAACTATTCCAACCCATGGTCAATGAAAAGCCCAGCCCTACCTGCAGAACAAAGCTTTGCAGTTTGTACCCAACAGTCATTGCCAGGGACCCAGAACTGATAATCAGGACTTTTAGGCTGGGTGAATAAAAAATTGATGGTTGAAAATTTAAGAAAGAGTTATCTTCTTTGTGTTTTGACATTTTGGAGGAGTTGACAGATAAAGACAAGGCTTGGGGGTATTTCCAATGACAAGGAGGTGCTTGGAGCTGGAGTTGAACCAGCGACCTTAGGATCACAGCATTTCACACAAGGAGCATCTAACAGTCCACCGCTCTACCAACTGAGCTATCAAGGTGCTCTCTAGTCACAAGTGCAGAAAACACAGTGGCTTCGAAGACACACTATGCCCACAGAACTATTCCAACCCATGGTCAATGAAAAGCCCAGCCCTACCTGCAGAACAAAGCTGTGCAGTTTGTACCCAACAGTCATTGCCAGGGACCCAGAACTGATAATCAGGACTTTTAGGCTGGGTGAATAAAAAATTGATGGTTGAAAATTTAAGAAAGAGTTATCTTCTTTGTGTTTTGACATTTTGGAGGAGTTGACAGATAAAGACAAGGCTTGGGGGTATTTCCAATGACAAGGAGGTGCTTGGAGGTGGAGTTGAACCAGCGACCTTAGCATCACAGCGTTTCACACAAGGAGCATCTTACAGTCCACCGCTCTACCAACTGAGCTATCAAGGTGCTCTCTAGTCACAAGTGCAGAAAACATAGTGGCTTCGAAGACACACTATGCCCACAGAACTATTCCAACCCATGGTCAATGAAAAGCCCAGCCCTACCTGCAGAACAAAGCTTTGCAGTTTGTACCCAACAGTCATTGCCAGGGACCAAGAACTGATAATCAGGACTTTTAGGCTGGGTGAATAAAACATTGATGGTTGAAAATTTAAGAAAGAGTTATCTTCTTTGTGTTTTGACATTTTGGAGGAGTTGACAGATAAAGACAAGGCTTGGGGGTATTTCCAATGACAAGGAGGTGCTTGGAGCTGGAGTTGAACCAGCGACCTTAGGATCACAGCGTTTCACACAAGGAGCATCTTACAGTCCACCGCTCTACCAACTGAGCTATCAAGGTGCTCTCTAGTCGCAAGTGCAGAAAACATGGTGGCTTCGACGACACACTATGCCCACAGAACTATTCCAACCCATGGTCAATGAAAAGCCCAGCCCTACCTGCAGAACAAAGCTTTGCAGTTTGTACCCAACAGTCATTGCCAGGGACCCAGAACTGATAATCAGGACTTTTAGGCTGGGTGAATAAAAAATTGATGGTTGAAAATTCAAGAAAGAGTTATCTTTTTTGTGTTTCGACATTTTGGAGGAGTTGACAGATAAAGACAAGGCTTGGGGGTATTTCCAATGACAAGGAGGTGCTTGGAGGTGGAGTTGAACCAGCGACCTTAGCATCACAGCGTTTCACACAAGGAGCATCTTACAGTCCACCGCTCTACCAACTGAGCTATCAAGGTGCTCTCTAGTCACAAGTGCAGAAAACATAGTGGCTTCGAAGTCACACTATGCCCACAGAACTATTCCAACCCATGGTCAATGAAAAGCCCAGCCCTACCTGCAGAACAAAGCTTTGCAGTTTGTACCCAACAGTCATTGCCAGGGACCCAGAACTGATAATCAGGACTTTTAGGCTGAGTGAATAAAAAATTGATGGTTGAAAATTTAAGAAAGAGTTATCTTCTTTGTGTTTTGACATTTTGGAGGAGTTGACAGATAAAGACAAGGCTTGGGGGTATTTCCAATGACAAGGAGGTGCTTGGAGCTGGAGTTGAACCAGCGAGCTTAGGATCACGGCGTTTCACACAAGGAGCATCTTACAGTCCACCGCTCTACCAACTGAGCTATCAAGGTGCTCTCTAGTCACAAGTGCAGAAAACATAGTGGCTTCGAAGACACACTATGCCCACAGAACTATTCCAACCCATGGTCAATGAAAAGCCCAGCCCTACCTGCAGAACAAAGCTTTGCAGTTTGTACCCAACAGTCATTGCCAGGGACCCAGAACTGATAATCAGGACTTTTAGGCTGGGTGAATAAAAAATTGATGGTTGAAAATTTAAGAAAGAGTTATATTCTTTGTGTTTTGACATTTTGGAGGAGTTGACAGATAAAGACAAGGGTTGGGGGTATTTCCAATGACAAGGAGGTGCTTGGAGCTGGAGTTGAACCAGTGACCTTAGGATCACAGCTTTTCACACAAGGAGCATCTTACAGTCCACCGCTCTACCAACTGAGCTATCAAGGTGCTCTCTAGTCACAAGTGCAGAAAACATAGTGGCTTCGAAGACACACTATGCCCACAGAACTATTCCAACCCATGGTCAATGAAAAGCCCAGCCCTACCTGCAGAACACAGCTTTGCAGTTTGTACCCAACAGTCATTGCCAGGGACCCAGAACTGATAATCAGGACTTTTAGGCTGAGTGAATAAAAAATTGATGGTTGAAAATTTAAGAAAGAGTTATCTTCTTTGTGTTTTGACATTTTGGAGGAGTTGACAGATAAAGACAAGGCTTGGGGGTATTTCCAATGACAAGGAGGTGCTTGGAGCTGGAGTTGAACCAGGGACCTTAGGATCACAGCATTTCACACAAGGAGCATCTAACAGTCCACCACGCTACCAACTGAGCTATCAAGGTGCTCTCTAGTCACAAGTGCAGAAAACATAGTGGCTTCGAAGACACACTATGCCCACAGAACTATTCCAACCCATGGTCAATGAAAAGCCCAGCCCTACCTGCAGAACAAAGCTTTGCAGTTTGTACCCAACAGTCATTGCCAGGGACCCAGAACTGATAATCAGGACTTTTAGGCTGGGTGAATAAAAAATTGATGGTTGAAAATTTAAGAAAGAGTTATCTTGTTTGTGTTTTGAAATTTTGGAGGAGTTGACAGATAAAGACAAGGCTTGGGGGTATTTCCAATGACAAGGAGGTGCTTGGAGCTGGAGTTGAACCAGCGACCTTAGGATCATGGCCTTTCACACAAGGAGCATCTTACAGTCCACCGCTCTACCAACTGAGCTATCAAGGTGCTCTCTAGTCACAAGTGCAGAAAACATAGTGGCTTCGAAGACACACTATGCCCACAGAACTATTCCAACCCATGGTCAATGAAAAGCCCAGCCCTACCTGCAGAACAAAGCTTTGCAGTTTGTACCCAACAGTCATTGCCAGGGACCCAGAACTGATAATCAGGACTTTTAGGCTGAGTGAATAAAACATTGATGGTTGAAAATTTAAGAAAGAGTTATCTTCTTTGTGTTTTGAGATTTTGGAGGAGTTGACAGATAAAGACAAGGCTTGGGGGTATTTCCAATGACAAGGAGGTGCTTGGAGCTGGAGTTGAACCAGCGACCTTAGGATCACAGCGTTTCACACAAGGAGCATCTTACAGTCCACCGCTCTACCAACTGAGCTATCAAGGTGCTCTCTAGTCGCAAGTGCAGAAAACATGGTGGCTTCGACGACACACTATGCCCACAGAACTATTCCAACCCATGGTCAATGAAAAGCCCAGCCCTACCTGCAGAACAAAGCTTTGCAGTTTGTACCCAACAGTCATTGCCAGGGACCCAGAACTGATAATCAGGACTTTTAGGCTGGGTGAATAAAAAATTGATGGTTGAAAATTCAAGAAAGAGTTATCTTTTTTGTGTTTCGACATTTTGGAGGAGTTGACAGATAAAGACAAGGCTTGGGGGTATTTCCAATGACAAGGAGGTGCTTGGAGGTGGAGTTGAACCAGCTACCTTAGCATCACAGCGTTTCACACAAGGAGCATCTTACAGTCCACCCCTCTAACAACTGAGCTATCAAGGTGCTCTCTAGTCACCAGTGCAGAAAACATAGTGGCTTCGAAGACACACTATGCCCACAGAACTATTCCAAACCATGGTCAATGAAAAGCCCAGCCCTACCTGCAAAACAAAGCTTTGCAGTTTGTACCCAACAGTCATTACCAGGGACCCAGAACTGATAATCAGGACTTTTAGGCTGGGTGAATAAAAAATTGATGGTTGAAAATTCAAGAAAGAGTTATCTTCTTTGTGTTTCGACATTTTGGAGGAGTTGACAGATAAAGACAAGGCTTGGGGGTATTTCCAATGACAAGGAGGTGCTTGGAGGTGGAGTTGAACCAGCGACCTTAGCATCACAGCGTTTCACACAAGGAGCATCTTACAGTCCACAGCTCTACCAACTGAGCTATCAAGGTGCTCTCTAGTCACAAGTGCAGAAAACATGGTGGCTTCGAAGACACACTATGCCCACAGAACTATTCCAACCCATGGTCAATGAAAAGCCCAGCCCTACCTGCAGAACAAAGCTTTGCAGTTTGTACCCAACAGTCATTGCCAGGGACCCAGAACTGATAATCAGGACTTTTAGGCTGGGTGAATAAAAAATTGATGGTTGAAAATTTAAGAAAGAGTTATCTTGTTTGTGTTTCGACATTTTGGATGAGTTGACAGATAAAGACAAGGCTTGGGGGTATTTCCAATGACAAGGAGGTGCTTGGAGCTGGAGTTGAACCAGCGACCTTAGCATCACAGCGTTTCACACAAGGAGCATCTTACAGTCCACCGCTCTACCAACTGAGCTATCAAGGTGCTCTCTAGTCACAAGTGCAGAAAACATAGTGGCTTCGAAGACACACTATGCCCACAGAACTATTCCAACCCATGGTCAATGAAAAGCCCAGCCCTACCTGCAGAACAAAGCTTTGCAGTTTGTACCCAACAGTCATTGCCAGGGACCCAGAACTGATAATCAGGACTTTTAGGCTGGGTGAATAAAAAATTGATGGTTGAAAATTTAAGAAAGAGTTATCTTCTTTGTGTTTCGACATTTTGGAGGAGTTGACAGATAAAGACAAGGCTTGGGGGTATTTCCAATGACAAGGAGGTGCTTGGAGCTGGAGTTGAACCAGCGACCTTAGCATCACAGCGTTTCACACAAGGAGCATCTTACAGTCCACCGCTCTACCAACTGAGCTATCAAGGTGCTCTCTAGTCACAAGTGCAGAAAACATAGTGGCTTCGAAGACACACTATGCCCACAGAACTATTCCAACCCATGGTCAATGAAAAGCCCAGCCCTACCTGCAGAACAAAGCTTTGCAGTTTGTACCCAACAGTCATTGCCAGGGACCCAGAACTGATAATCAGGACTTTTAGTCTGGGTGAATAAAAAATTGATGGTTGAAAATTTAAGAAAGAGTTATCTTCTTTGTGTTTTGACATTTTGGAGGAGTTGACAGATAAAGACAAGGCTTGGGGGTATTTACAATGACAAGGAGGTGCTTGGAGGTGGAGTTGAACCAGCGACCTTAGCATCACAGCGTTTCACACAAGGAGCATCTTACAGTCCACCGCTCTACCAACTGAGCTATCAAGGTGCTCTCTAGTCACAAGTGCAGAAAACATAGTGGCTTCGAAGTCACACTATGCCCACAGAACTATTCCAACCCATGGTCAATGAAAAGCCCAGCCCTACCTGCAGAACAAAGCTTTGCAGTTTGTACCCAACAGTCATTGCCAGGGACCCAGAACTGATAATCAGGACTTTTAGGCTGAGTGAATAAAAAATTGATGGTTGAAAATTTAAGAAAGAGTTATCTTCTTTGTGTTTTGACATTTTGGAGGAGTTGACAGATAAAGACAAGGCTTGGGGGTATTTACAATGACAAGGAGGTGCTTGGAGGTGGAGTTGAACCAGCGAGCTTAGGATCACGGCGTTTCACACAAGGAGCATCTTACAGTCCACCGCTCTACCAACTGAGCTATCAAGGTGCTCTCTAGTCACAAGTGCAGAAAACATAGTGGCTTCGAAGACACACTATGCCCACAGAACTATTCCAACCCATGGTCAATGAAAAGCCCAGCCCTACCTGCAGAACAAAGCTTTGCAGTTTGTACCCAACAGTCATTGCCAGGGACCCAGAACTGATAATCAGGACTTTTAGGCTGGGTGAATAAAAAATTGATGGTTGAAAATTTAAGAAAGAGTTATATTCTTTGTGTTTTGACATTTTGGAGGAGTTGACAGATAAAGACAAGGCTTGGGGGTATTTCCAATGACAAGGAGGTGCTTGGAGCTGGAGTTGAACCAGTGACCTTAGGATCACAGCTTTTCACACAAGGAGCATCTTAGAGTCCACCGCTCTACCAACTGAGCTATCAAGGTGCTCTCTAGTCACAAGTGCAGAAAACATAGTGGCTTCGAAGACACACTATGCCCACAGAACTATTCCAACCCATGGTCAATGAAAAGCCCAGCCCTACCTGCAGAACACAGCTTTGCAGTTTGTACCCAACAGTCATTGCCAGGGACCCAGAACTGATAATCAGGACTTTTAGGCTGAGTGAATAAAAAATTGATGGTTGAAAATTTAAGAAAGAGTTATCTTCTTTGTGTTTTGACATTTTGGAGGAGTTGACAGATAAAGACAAGGCTTGGGGGTATTTCCAATGACATGGAGGTGCTTGGAGCTGGAGTTGAACCAGCGACCTTAGGATCACAGCGTTTCACACAAGGAGCATCTTACAGTCCACCGGTCTACCAACTGAGCTATCAAGGTGCTCTCTAGTCACAAGTGCAGAAAACATAGTGGCTTCAAAGACACACTATGCCCACAGAACTATTCCAACCCATGGTCAATGAAAAGCCCAGCCCTACCTGCAGAACAAAGCTTTGCAGTTTGTACCCAACAGTCATTGCCAGGGACCCAGAACTGATAATCAGGACTTTTAGGCTGGGTGAATAAAAAATTGATGGTTGAAAATTTAAGAAAGAGTTATCTTCTTTGTGTTTTGACATTTTGGAGGAGTTGACAGATAAAGACAAGGCTTGGGGGTATTTCCAATGACAAGGAGGTGCTTGGAGCTGGAGTTGAACCAGGGACCTTAGGATGACAGCATTTCACACAAGGAGCATCTAACAGTCCACCGCGCTACCAACTGAGCTATCAAGGTGCTCTCTAGTCACAAGTGCAGAAAACATAGTGGCTTCGAAGACACACTATGCCCACAGAACTATTCCAACCCATGGTCAATGAAAAGCCCAGCCCTACCTGCAGAACAAAGCTTTGCAGTTTGTACCCAACAGTCATTGCCAGGGACCCAGAACTGATAATCAGGACTTTTAGGCTGGGTGAATAAAAAATTGATGGTTGAAAATTTAAGAAAGAGTTATCTTGTTTGTGTTTTGACATTTTGGAGGAGTTGACAGATAAAGACAAGGCTTGGGGGTATTTCCAATGACAAGGAGGTGCTTGGAGCTGGAGTTGAACCAGCGACCTTAGGATCATGGCGTTTCACACAAGGAGCATCTTACAGTCCACCGCTCTACCAACTGAGCTATCAAGGTGCTCTCTAGTCACAAGTGCAGAAAACATAGTGGCTTCGAAGACACACTATGCCCACAGAACTATTCCAACCCATGGTCAATGAAAAGCCCAGCCCTACCTGCAGAACAAAGCTTTGCAGTTTGTACCCAACAGTCATTGCCAGGGACCCAGAACTGATAATCAGGACTTTTAGGCTGGGTGAATAAAACATTGATGGTTGAAAATTTAAGAAAGAGTTATCTTCTTTGTGTTTTGAGATTTTGGAGGAGTTGACAGATAAAGACAAGGCTTGGGGGTATTTCCAATGACAAGGAGGTGCTTGGAGCTGGAGTTGAACCAGCGACCTTAGGATCACAGCGTTTCACACAAGGAGCATCTTACAGTCCAACGCTCTACCAACTGAGCTATCAAGGTGCTCTCTAGTCGCAAGTGCAGAAAACATGGTGGCTTCGACGACACACTATGCCCACAGAACTATTCCAACCCATGGTCAATGAAAAGCCCAGCCCTACCTGCAGAACAAAGCTTTGCAGTTTGTACCCAACAGTCATTGCCAGGGACCCAGAACTGATAATCAGGACTTTTAGGCTGGGTGAATAAAAAATTGATGGTTGAAAATTCAAGAAAGAGTTATCTTTTTTGTGTTTCGACATTTTGGAGGAGTTGACAGATAAAGACAAGGCTTGGGGGTATTTCCAATGACAAGGAGGTGCTTGGAGGTGGAGTTGAACCAGCTACCTTAGCATCACAGCGTTTCACACAAGGAGCATCTTACAGTCCACCGCTCTAACAACTGAGCTATCAAGGTGCTCTCTAGTCACAAGTGCAGAAAACATAGTGGCTTCGAAGACACACTATGCCCACAGAACTATTCCAAACCATGGTCAATGAAAAGCCCAGCCCTACCTGCAAAACAAAGCTTTGCAGTTTGTACCCAACAGTCATTACCAGGGACCCAGAACTGATAATCAGGACTTTTAGGCTGGGTGAATAAAAAATTGATGGTTGAAAATTCAAGAAAGAGTTATCTTCTTTGTGTTTCGACATTTTGGAGGAGTTGACAGATAAAGACAAGGCTTGGGGGTATTTCCAATGACAAGGAGGTGCTTGGAGGTGGAGTTGAACCAGCGACCTTAGCATCACAGCGTTTCACACAAGGAGCATCTTACAGTCCACAGCTCTACCAACTGAGCTATCAAGGTGCTCTCTAGTCACAAGTGCAGAAAACATGGTGGCTTCGAAGACACACTATGCCCACAGAACTATTCCAACCCATGGTCAATGAAAAGCCCAGCCCTACCTGCAGAACAAAGCTTTGCAGTTTGTACCCAACAGTCATTGCCAGGGACCCAGAACTGATAATCAGGACTTTTAGGCTGGGTGAATAAAAAATTGATGGTTGAAAATTTAAGAAAGAGTTATCTTGTTTGTGTTTCGACATTTTGGATGAGTTGACAGATAAAGACAAGGCTTGGGGGTATTTCCAATGACAAGGAGGTGCTTGGAGCTGGAGTTGAACCAGCGACCTTAGCATCACAGCGTTTCACACAAGGAGCATCTTACAGTCCACCGCTCTACCAACTGAGCTATCAAGGTGCTCTCTAGTCACAAGTGCAGAAAACATAGTGGCTTCGAAGACACACTATGCCCACAGAACTATTCCAACCCATGGTCAATGAAAAGCCCAGCCCTACCTGCAGAACAAAGCTTTGCAGTTTGTACCCAACAGTCATTGCCAGGGACCCAGAACTGATAATCAGGACTTTTAGGCTGGGTGAATAAAACATTGATGGTTGAAAATTTAAGAAAGAGTTATCTTCTTTGTGTTTTGACATTTTGGAGGAGTTGACAGATAAAGACAAGGCTTGGGGGTATTTCCAATGACAAGGAGGTGCTTGGAGCTGGAGTTGAACCAGCGACCTTAGGATCACAGCGTTTCACACAAGGAGCATCTTACAGTCCACCGCTCTACCAACTGAGCTATCAAGGTGCTCTCTAGTCGCAAGTGCAGAAAACATGGTGGCTTCGACGACACACTATGCCCACAGAACTATTCCAACCCATGGTCAATGAAAAGCCCAGCCCTACCTGCAGAACAAAGCTTTGCAGTTTGTACCCAACAGTCATTGCCAGGGACCCAGAACTGATAATCAGGACTTTTAGGCTGGGTGAATAAAAAATTGATGGTTGAAAATTTAAGAAAGAGTTATCTTCTTTGTGTTTCGACATTTTGGAGGAGTTGACAGATAAAGACAAGGCTTGGGGGTATTTCCAATGACAAGGAGGTGCTTGGAGGTGGAGTTGAACCAGCTACCTTAGCATCACAGCGTTTCACACAAGGAGCATCTTACAGTCCACCGCTCTAACAACTGAGCTATCAAGGTGCTCTCTAGTCACAAGTGCAGAAAACATAGTGGCTTCGAAGACACACTATGCCCACAGAACTATTCCAAACCATGGTCAATGAAAAGCCCAGCCCTACCTGCAAAACAAAGCTTTGCAGTTTGTACCCAACAGTCATTACCAGGGACCCAGAACTGATAATCAGGACTTTTAGGCTGGGTGAATAAAAAATTGATGGTTGAAAATTCAAGAAAGAGTTATCTTCTTTGTGTTTCGACATTTTGGAGGAGTTGACAGATAAAGACAAGGCTTGGGGGTATTTCCAATGACAAGGAGGTGCTTGGAGGTGGAGTTGAACCAGCGACCTTAGCATCACAGCGTTTCACACAAGGAGCATCTTACAGTCCACAGCTCTACCAACTGAGCTATCAAGGTGCTCTCTAGTCACAAGTGCAGAAAACATGGTGGCTTCGAAGACACACTATGCCCACAGAACTATTCCAACCCATGGTCAATGAAAAGCCCAGCCCTACCTGCAGAACAAAGCTTTGCAGTTTGTACCCAACAGTCATTGCCAGGGACCCAGAACTGATAATCAGGACTTTTAGGCTGGGTGAATAAAAAATTGATGGTTGAAAATTTTAGAAAGAGTTATCTTGTTTGTGTTTTGACATTTTGGATGAGTTGACAGATAAAGACAAGGCTTGGGGGTATTTCCAATGACAAGGAGGTGCTTGGAGCTGGAGTTGAACCAGCGACCTTAGCATCACAGCGTTTCACACAAGGAGCATCTTACAGTCCACCGCTCTACCAACTGAGCTATCAAGGTGCTCTCTAGTCACAAGTGCAGAAAACATAGTGGCTTCGAAGACACACTATGCCCACAGAACTATTCCAACCCATGGTCAATGAAAAGCCCAGCCCTACCTGCAGAACAAAGCTTTGCAGTTTGTACCCAACAGTCATTGCCAGGGACCCAGAACTGATAATCAGGACTTTTAGGCTGGGTGAATAAAAAATTGATGGTTGAAAATTTAAGAAAGAGTTATCTTCTTTGTGTTTCGACATTTTGGAGGAGTTGACAGATAAAGACAAGGCTTGGGGGTATTTCCAATGACAAGGAGGTGCTTGGAGCTGGAGTTGAACCAGCGACCTTAGCATCACAGCGTTTCACACAAGGAGCATCTTACAGTCCACCGCTCTACCAACTGAGCTATCAAGGTGCTCTCTAGTCACAAGTGCAGAAAACATAGTGGCTTCGACGACACACTATGCCCACAGAACTATTCCAACCCATGGTCAATGAAAAGCCCAGCCCTACCTGCAGAACAAAGCTTTGCAGTTTGTACCCAACAGTCATTGCCAGGGACCCAGAACTGATAATCAGGACTTTTAGTCTGGGTGAATAAAAAATTGATGGTTGAAAATTTAAGAAAGAGTTATCTTCTTTGTGTTTTGACATTTTGGAGGAGTTGACAGATAAAGACAAGGCTTGGGGGTATTTCCAATGACAAGGAGGTGCTTGGAGCTGGAGTTGAACCAGCGACCTTAGGATCACAGCGTTTCACACAAGGAGGATCTTAAAGTCCACCGCTCTACGAACTGAGCTATCAAGGTGCTCTCTAGTCTCAAGTGCAGAAAACATAGTGGCTTCGAAGACACACTATGCCCACAGAACTATTCCAACCCATGGTCAATGAAAAGCCCAGCCCTACCTGCAGAACAAAGCTTTGCAGTTTGTACCCAACAGTCATTGCCAGGGACCCAGAACTGATAATCAGGACTTTTAGGCTGAGTGAATAAAAAATTGATGGTTGAAAATTTAAGAAAGAGTTATCTTGTTTGTGTTTTGACATTTTGGAGGAGTTGACAGATAAAGACAAGGCTTGGGGGTATTTCCAATGACAAGGAGGTGCTTGGAGCTGGAGTTGAACCAGCGACCTTAGGATCACAGCGTTTCACACAAGGAGCATCTTACAGTCCACCGCTCTACCAACTGAGCTATCAAGGTGCTCTCTAGTCACAAGTGCAGAAAACAGAGTGGCTTCGAAGACACACTATGCCCACAGAACTATTCCAACCCATGGTCAATGAAAAGCCCAGCCCTACCTGCAGAACAAAGCTTTGCAGTTTGTACCCAACAGTCATTGCCAGGGACCCAGAACTGATAATCAGGACTTTTAGGCTGGGTGAATAAAAAATTGATGGTTGAAAATTTAAGAAAGAGTTATCTTCTTTGTGTTTTGACATTTTGGAGGAGTTGACAGATAAAGACAAGGCTTGGGGGTATTTCCAATGACAAGGAGGTGCTTGGAGCTGGAGTTGAACCAGCGACCTTAGGATCACAGCATTTCACACAAGGAGCATCTAACAGTCCACCGCTCTACCAACTGAGCTATCAAGGTGCTCTCTAGTCACAAGTGCAGAAAACATAGTGGCTTCGAAGACACACTATGCCCACAGAACTATTCCAACCCATGGTCAATGAAAAGCCCAGCCCTACCTGCAGAACAAAGCTTTGCAGTTTGTACCCAACAGTCATTGCCAGGGACCCAGAACTGATAATCAGGACTTTTAGGCTGGGTGAATAAAAAATTGATGGTTGAAAATTTAAGAAAGAGTTATCTTCTTTGTGTTTTGACATTTTGGAGGAGTTGACAGATAAAGACAAGGCTTGGGGGTATTTCCAATGACAAGGAGGTGCTTGGAGGTGGAGTTGAACCAGCTACCTTAGCATCACAGCGTTTCACACAAGGAGCATCTTACAGTCCACCGCTCTACCAACTGAGCTATCAAGGTGCTCTCTAGTCACAAGTGCAGAAAACATAGTGGCTTCGAAGACACACTATGCCCACAGAACTATTCCAACCCATGGTCAATGAAAAGCCCAGCCCTACCTGCAGAACAAAGCTTTGCAGTTTGTACCCAACAGTCATTGCCAGGGACCCAGAACTGATAATCAGGACTTTTAGGCTGGGTGAATAAAACATTGATGGTTGAAAATTTAAGAAAGAGTTATCTTCTTTGTGTTTTGACATTTTGGAGGAGTTGACAGATAAAGACAAGGCTTGGGGGTATTTCCAATGACAAGGAGGTGCTTGGAGCTGGAGTTGAACCAGCGACCTTAGGATCACAGCGTTTCACACAAGGAGCATCTTACAGTCCACCGCTCTACCAACTGAGCTATCAAGGTGCTCTCTAGTCGGAAGTGCAGAAAACATGGTGGCTTCGACGACACACTATGCCCACAGAACTATTCCAACCCATGGTCAATGAAAAGCCCAGCCCTACCTGCAGAACAAAGCTTTGCAGTTTGTACCCAACAGTCATTGCCAGGGACCCAGAACTGATAATCAGGACTTTTAGGCTGGGTGAATAAAAAATTGATGGTTGAAAATTCAAGAAAGAGTTATCTTTTTTGTGTTTCGACATTTTGGAGGAGTTGACAGATAAAGACAAGGCTTGGGGGTATTTCCAATGACAAGGAGGTGCTTGGAGGTGGAGTTGAACCAGCGACCTTAGCATCACAGCGTTTCACAAAAGGAGCATCTTACAGTCCACCGCTCTACCAACTGAGCTATCAAGGTGCTCTCTAGTCACAAGTGCAGAAAACATAGTGGCTTCGAAGTCACACTATGCCCACAGAACTATTCCAACCCATGGTCAATGAAAAGCCCAGCCCTACCTGCAGAACAAAGCTTTGCAGTTTGTACCCAACAGTCATTGCCAGGGACCCAGAACTGATAATCAGGACTTTTAGGCTGAGTGAATAAAAAATTGATGGTTGAAAATTTAAGAAAGAGTTATCTTCTTTGTGTTTTGACATTTTGGAGGAGTTGACAGATAAAGACAAGGCTTGGGGGTATTTCCAATGACAAGGAGGTGCTTGGAGCTGGAGTTCAACCAGCGAGCTTAGGATCACGGCGTTTCACACAAGGAGCATCTTACAGTCCACCGCTCTACCAACTGAGCTATCAAGGTGCTCTCTAGTCACAAGTGCAGAAAACATAGTGGCTTCGAAGACACACTATGCCCACAGAACTATTCCAACCCATGGTCAATGAAAAGCCCAGCCCTACCTGCAGAACAAAGCTTTGCAGTTTGTACCCAACAGTCATTGCCAGGGACCCAGAACTGATAATCAGGACTTTTAGGCTGGGTGAATAAAAAATTGATGGTTGAAAATTTAAGAAAGAGTTATATTCTTTGTGTTTTGACATTTTGGAGGAGTTGACAGATAAAGACAAGGGTTGGGGGTATTTCCAATGACAAGGAGGTGCTTGGAGCTGGAGTTGAACCAGTGACCTTAGGATCACAGCTTTTCACACAAGGAGAATCTTACAGTCCACCGCTCTACCAACTGAGCTATCAAGGTGCTCTCTAGTCTCAAGTGCAGAAAACATAGTGGCTTCGAAGACACACTATGCCCACAGAACTATTCCAACCCATGGTCAATGAAAAGCCCAGCCCTACCTGCAGAACACAGCTTTGCAGTTTGTACCCAACAGTCATTGCCAGGGACCCAGAACTGATAATCAGGACTTTTAGGCTGAGTGAATAAAAAATTGATGGTTGAAAATTTAAGAAAGAGTTATCTTCTTTGTGTTTTGACATTTTGGAGGAGTTGACAGATAAAGACAAGGCTTGGGGGTATTTCCAATGACAAGGAGGTGCTGGGAGCTGGAGTTGAACCAGCGACCTTAGCATCACAGCGTTTCACACAAGGAGCATCTTACAGTCCACCGCTCTACCAACTGAGCTATCAAGGTGCTCTCTAGTCACAAGTGCAGAAAACATAGTGGCTTCGAAGACACACTATGCCCACAGAACTATTCCAACCCATGGTCAATGAAAAGCCCAGCCCTACCTGCAGAACAAAGCTTTGCAGTTTGTACCCAACAGTCATTGCCAGGGACCCAGAACTGATAATCAGGACTTTTAGGCTGGGTGAATAAAAAATTGATGGTTGAAAATTTAAGAAAGAGTTATCTTCTTTGTGTTTCGACATTTTGGAGGAGTTGACAGATAAAGACAAGGCTTGGGGGTATTTCCAATGACAAGGAGGTGCTTGGAGCTGGAGTTGAACCAGCGACCTTAGCATCACAGCGTTTCACACAAGGAGCATCTTACAGTCCACCGCTCTACCAACTGAGCTATCAAGGTGCTCTCTAGTCACAAGTGCAGAAAACATAGTGGCTTCGAAGACACACTATGCCCACAGAACTATTCCAACCCATGGTCAATGAAAAGCCCAGCCCTACCTGCAGAACAAAGCTTTGCAGTTTGTACCCAACAGTCATTGCCAGGGACCCAGAACTGATAATCAGGACTTTTAGTCTGGGTGAATAAAAAATTGATGGTTGAAAATTTAAGAAAGAGTTATCTTCTTTGTGTTTTGACATTTTGGAGGAGTTGACAGATAAAGACAAGGCTTGGGGGTATTTCCAATGACAAGGAGGTGCTTGGAGCTGGAGTTGAACCAGCGACCTTAGGATCACAGCGTTTCACACAAAGAGGATCTTAAAGTCCACCGCTCTACGAACTGAGCTATCAAGGTGCTCTCTAGTCTCAAGTGCAGAAAACATAGTGGCTTCGAAGACACACTATGCCCACAGAACTATTCCAACCCATGGTCAATGAAAAGCCCAGCCCTACCTGCAGAACAAAGCTTTGCAGTTTGTACCCAACAGTCATTGCCAGGGACCCAGAACTGATAATCAGGACTTTTAGGCTGAGTGAATAAAAAATTGATGGTTGAAAATTTAAGAAAGAGTTATCTTGTTTGTGTTTTGACATTTTGGAGGAGTTGACAGATAAAGACAAGGCTTGGGGGTATTTCCAATGACAAGGAGGTGCTTGGAGCTGGAGTTGAACCAGCGACCTTAGGATCACAGCGTTTCACACAAGGAGCATCTTACAGTCCACCGCTCTACCAACTGAGCTATCAAGGTGCTCTCTAGTCACAAGTGCAGAAAACAGAGTGGCTTCGAAGACACACTATGCCCACAGAACTATTCCAACCCATGGTCAATGAAAAGCCCAGCCCTACCTGCAGAACAAAGCTTTGCAGTTTGTACCCAACAGTCATTGCCAGGGACCCAGAACTGATAATCAGGACTTTTAGGCTGGGTGAATAAAAAATTGATGGTTGAAAATTCAAGAAAGAGTTATCTTTTTTGTGTTTCGACATTTTGGAGGAGTTGACAGATAAAGACAAGGCTTGGGGGTATTTCCAATGACAAGGAGGTGCTTGGAGCTGGAGTTGAACCAGCGACCTTAGCATCACAGCGTTTCACACAAGGAGCATCTTACAGTCCACCGCTCTACCAACTGAGCTATCAAGGTGCTCTCTAGTCACAAGTGCAGAAAACATAGTGGCTTCGAAGTCACACTATGCCCACAGAACTATTCCAACCCATGGTCAATGAAAAGCCCAGCCCTACCTGCAGAACAAAGCTTTGCAGTTTGTACCCAACAGTCATTGCCAGGGACCCAGAACTGATAATCAGGACTTTTAGGCTGAGTGAATAAAAAATTGATGGTTGAAAATTTAAGAAAGAGTTATCTTCTTTGTGTTTTGACATTTTGGAGGAGTTGACAGATAAAGACAAGGCTTGGGGGTATTTCCAATGACAAGGAGGTGCTTGGAGCTGGAGTTGAACCAGCGAGCTTAGGATCACGGCGTTTCACACAAGGAGCATCTTACAGTCCACCGCTCTACCAACTGAGCTATCAAGGTGCTCTCTAGTCACAAGTGCAGAAAACATAGTGGCTTCGAAGACACACTATGCCCACAGAACTATTCCAACCCATGGTCAATGAAAAGCCCAGCCCTACCTGCAGAACAAAGCTTTGCAGTTTGTACCCAACAGTCATTGCCAGGGACCCAGAACTGATAATCAGGACTTTTAGGCTGGGTGAATAAAAAATTGATGGTTGAAAATTTAAGAAAGAGTTATATTCTTTGTGTTTTGACATTTTGGAGGAGTTGACAGATAAAGACAAGGGTTGGGGGTATTTCCAATGACAAGGAGGTGCTTGGAGCTGGAGTTGAACCAGTGACCTTAGGATCACAGCTTTTCACACAAGGAGCATCTTACAGTCCACCGCTCTACCAACTGAGCTATCAAGGTGCTCTCTAGTCACAAGTGCAGAAAACATAGTGGCTTCGAAGACACACTATGCCCACAGAACTATTCCAACCCATGGTCAATGAAAAGCCCAGCCCTACCTGCAGAACACAGCTTTGCAGTTTGTACCCAACAGTCATTGCCAGGGACCCAGAACTGATAATCAGGACTTTTAGGCTGAGTGAATAAAAAATTGATGGTTGAAAATTTAAGAAAGAGTTATCTTCTTTGTGTTTTGACATTTTGGAGGAGTTGACAGATAAAGACAAGGCTTGGGGGTATTTCCAATGACATGGAGGTGCTTGGAGCTGGAGTTGAACCAGCGACCTTAGGATCACAGCGTTTCACACAAGGAGCATCTTACAGTCCACCGCTCTACCAACTGAGCTATCAAGGTGCTCTCTAGTCACAAGTGCAGAAAACATAGTGGCTTCGAAGACACACTATGCCCACAGAACTATTCCAACCCATGGTCAATGAAAAGCCCAGCCCTACCTGCAGAACAAAGCTTTGCAGTTTGTACCAAACAGTCATTGCCAGGGACCCAGAACTGATAATCAGGACTTTTAGGCTGGGTGAATAAAAAATTGATGGTTGAAAATTTAAGAAAGAGTTATCTTCTTTGTGTTTTGACATTTTGGAGGAGTTGACAGATAAAGACAAGGCTTGGGGGTATTTCCAATGACAAGGAGGTGCTTGGAGCTGGAGTTGAACCAGGGACCTTAGGATCACAGCATTTCACACAAGGAGCATCTAACAGTCCACCGCGCTACCAACTGAGCTATCAAGGTGCTCTCTAGTCACAAGTGCAGAAAACATAGTGGCTTCGAAGACACACTATGCCCACAGAACTATTCCAACCCATGGTCAATGAAAAGCCCAGCCCTACCTGCAGAACAAAGCTTTGCAGTTTGTACCCAACAGTCATTGCCAGGGACCCAGAACTGATAATCAGGACTTTTAGGCTGGGTGAATAAAAAATTGATGGTTGAAAATTTAAGAAAGAGTTATCTTGTTTGTGTTTTGAAATTTTGGAGGAGTTGACAGATAAAGACAAGGCTTGGGGGTATTTCCAATGACAAGGAGGTGCTTGGAGCTGGAGTTGAACCAGCGACCTTAGGATCATGGCCTTTCACACAAGGAGCATCTTACAGTCCACCGCTCTACCAACTGAGCTATCAAGGTGCTCTCTAGTCACAAGTGCAGAAAACATAGTGGCTTCGAAGACACACTATGCCCACAGAACTATTCCAACCCATGGTCAATGAAAAGCCCAGCCCTACCTGCAGAACAAAGCTTTGCAGTTTGTACCCAACAGTCATTGCCAGGGACCCAGAACTGATAATCAGGACTTTTAGGCTGAGTGAATAAAACATTGATGGTTGAAAATTTAAGAAAGAGTTATCTTCTTTGTGTTTTGAGATTTTGGAGGAGTTGACAGATAAAGACAAGGCTTGGGGGTATTTCCAATGACAAGGAGGTGCTTGGAGCTGGAGTTGAACCAGCGACCTTAGGATCACAGCGTTTCACACAAGGAGCATCTTACAGTCCACCGCTCTACCAACTGAGCTATCAAGGTGCTCTCTAGTCGCAAGTGCAGAAAACATGGTGGCTTCGACGACACACTATGCCCACAGAACTATTCCAACCCATGGTCAATGAAAAGCCCAGCCCTACCTGCAGAACAAAGCTTTGCAGTTTGTACCCAACAGTCATTGCCAGGGACCCAGAACTGATAATCAGGACTTTTAGGCTGAGTGAATAAAACATTGATGGTTGAAAATTTAAGAAAGAGTTATCTTCTTTGTGTTTTGAGATTTTGGAGGAGTTGACAGATAAAGACAAGGCTTGGGGGTATTTCCAATGACAAGGAGGTGCTTGGAGCTGGAGTTGAACCAGCGACCTTAGGATCACAGCGTTTCACACAAGGAGCATCTTACAGTCCACCGCTCTACCAACTGAGCTATCAAGGTGCTCTCTAGTCGCAAGTGCAGAAAACATGGTGGCTTCGACGACACACTATGCCCACAGAACTATTCCAACCCATGGTCAATGAAAAGCCCAGCCCTACCTGCAGAACAAAGCTTTGCAGTTTGTACCCAACAGTCATTGCCAGGGACCCAGAACTGATAATCAGGACTTTTAGGCTGGGTGAATAAAAAATTGATGGTTGAAAATTCAAGAAAGAGTTATCTTTTTTGTGTTTCGACATTTTGGAGGAGTTGACAGATAAAGACAAGGCTTGGGGGTATTTCCAATGACAAGGAGGTGCTTGGAGGTGGAGTTGAACCAGCTACCTTAGCATCACAGCGTTTCACACAAGGAGCATCTTACAGTCCACCCCTCTAACAACTGAGCTATCAAGGTGCTCTCTAGTCACCAGTGCAGAAAACATAGTGGCTTCGAAGACACACTATGCCCACAGAACTATTCCAAACCATGGTCAATGAAAAGCCCAGCCCTACCTGCAAAACAAAGCTTTGCAGTTTGTACCCAACAGTCATTACCAGGGACCCAGAACTGATAATCAGGACTTTTAGGCTGGGTGAATAAAAAATTGATGGTTGAAAATTCAAGAAAGAGTTATCTTGTTTGTGTTTCGACATTTTGGATGAGTTGACAGATAAAGACAAGGCTTGGGGGTATTTCCAATGACAAGGAGGTGCTTGGAGCTGGAGTTGAACCAGCGACCTTAGCATCACAGCGTTTCACACAAGGAGCATCTTACAGTCCACCGCTCTACCAACTGAGCTATCAAGGTGCTCTCTAGTCACAAGTGCAGAAAACATGGTGGCTTCGAAGACACACTATGCCCACAGAACTATTCCAACCCATGGTCAATGAAAAGCCCAGCCCTACCTGCAGAACAAAGCTTTGCAGTTTGTACCCAACAGTCATTGCCAGGGACCCAGAACTGATAATCAGGACTTTTAGGCTGGGTGAATAAAAAATTGATGGTTGAAAATTTAAGAAAGAGTTATCTTGTTTGTGTTTCGACATTTTGGATGAGTTGACAGATAAAGACAAGGCTTGGGGGTATTTCCAATGACAAGGAGGTGCTTGGAGCTGGAGTTGAACCAGCGACCTTAGCATCACAGCGTTTCACACAAGGAGCATCTTACAGTCCACCGCTCTACCAACTGAGCTATCAAGGTGCTCTCTAGTCACAAGTGCAGAAAACATAGTGGCTTCGAAGACACACTATGCCCACAGAACTATTCCAACCCATGGTCAATGAAAAGCCCAGCCCTACCTGCAGAACAAAGCTTTGCAGTTTGTACCCAACAGTCATTGCCAGGGACCCAGAACTGATAATCAGGACTTTTAGGCTGGGTGAATAAAAAATTGATGGTTGAAAATTTAAGAAAGAGTTATCTTCTTTGTGTTTCGACATTTTGGAGGAGTTGACAGATAAAGACAAGGCTTGGGGGTATTTCCAATGACAAGGAGGTGCTTGGAGCTGGAGTTGAACCAGCGACCTTAGCATCACAGCGTTTCACACAAGGAGCATCTTACAGTCCACCGCTCTACCAACTGAGCTATCAAGGTGCTCTCTAGTCACAAGTGCAGAAAACATAGTGGCTTCGAAGACACACTATGCCCACAGAACTATTCCAACCCATGGTCAATGAAAAGCCCAGCCCTACCTGCAGAACAAAGCTTTGCAGTTTGTACCCAACAGTCATTGCCAGGGACCCAGAACTGATAATCAGGACTTTTAGTCTGGGTGAATAAAAAATTGATGGTTGAAAATTTAAGAAAGAGTTATCTTCTTTGTGTTTTGACATTTTGGAGGAGTTGACAGATAAAGACAAGGCTTGGGGGTATTTACAATGACAAGGAGGTGCTTGGAGGTGGAGTTGAACCAGCGACCTTAGCATCACAGCGTTTCACACAAGGAGCATCTTACAGTCCACCGCTCTACCAACTGAGCTATCAAGGTGCTCTCTAGTCACAAGTGCAGAAAACATAGTGGCTTCGAAGTCACACTATGCCCACAGAACTATTCCAACCCATGGTCAATGAAAAGCCCAGCCCTACCTGCAGAACAAAGCTTTGCAGTTTGTACCCAACAGTCATTGCCAGGGACCCAGAACTGATAATCAGGACTTTTAGGCTGAGTGAATAAAAAATTGATGGTTGAAAATTTAAGAAAGAGTTATCTTCTTTGTGTTTTGACATTTTGGAGGAGTTGACAGATAAAGACAAGGCTTGGGGGATTTCCAATGACAAGGAGGTGCTTGGAGCTGGAGTTGAACCAGCGAGCTTAGGATCACGGCGTTTCACACAAGGAGCATCTTACAGTCCACCGCTCTACCAACTGAGCTATCAAGGTGCTCTCTAGTCACAAGTGCAGAAAACATAGTGGCTTCGAAGACACACTATGCCCACAGAACTATTCCAACCCATGGTCAATGAAAAGCCCAGCCCTACCTGCAGAACAAAGCTTTGCAGTTTGTACCCAACAGTCATTGCCAGGGACCCAGAACTGATAATCAGGACTTTTAGGCTGGGTGAATAAAAAATTGATGGTTGAAAATTTAAGAAAGAGTTATATTCTTTGTGTTTTGACATTTTGGAGGAGTTGACAGATAAAGACAAGGCTTGGGGGTATTTCCAATGACAAGGAGGTGCTTGGAGCTGGAGTTGAACCAGTGACCTTAGGATCACAGCTTTTCACACAAGGAGCATCTTAGAGTCCACCGCTCTACCAACTGAGCTATCAAGGTGCTCTCTAGTCACAAGTGCAGAAAACATAGTGGCTTCGAAGACACACTATGCCCACAGAACTATTCCAACCCATGGTCAATGAAAAGCCCAGCCCTACCTGCAGAACACAGCTTTGCAGTTTGTACCCAACAGTCATTGCCAGGGACCCAGAACTGATAATCAGGACTTTTAGGCTGAGTGAATAAAAAATTGATGGTTGAAAATTTAAGAAAGAGTTATCTTCTTTGTGTTTTGACATTTTGGAGGAGTTGACAGATAAAGACAAGGCTTGGGGGTATTTCCAATGACATGGAGGTGCTTGGAGCTGGAGTTGAACCAGCGACCTTAGGATCACAGCGTTTCACACAAGGAGCATCTTACAGTCCACCGGTCTACCAACTGAGCTATCAAGGTGCTCTCTAGTCACAAGTGCAGAAAACATAGTGGCTTCAAAGACACACTATGCCCACAGAACTATTCCAACCCATGGTCAATGAAAAGCCCAGCCCTACCTGCAGAACAAAGCTTTGCAGTTTGTACCCAACAGTCATTGCCAGGGACCCAGAACTGATAATCAGGACTTTTAGGCTGGGTGAATAAAAAATTGATGGTTGAAAATTTAAGAAAGAGTTATCTTCTTTGTGTTTTGACATTTTGGAGGAGTTGACAGATAAAGACAAGGCTTGGGGGTATTTCCAATGACAAGGAGGTGCTTGGAGCTGGAGTTGAACCAGGGACCTTAGGATGACAGCATTTCACACAAGGAGCATCTAACAGTCCACCGCGCTACCAACTGAGCTATCAAGGTGCTCTCTAGTCACAAGTGCAGAAAACATAGTGGCTTCGAAGACACACTATGCCCACAGAACTATTCCAACCCATGGTCAATGAAAAGCCCAGCCCTACCTGCAGAACAAAGCTTTGCAGTTTGTACCCAACAGTCATTGCCAGGGACCCAGAACTGATAATCAGGACTTTTAGGCTGGGTGAATAAAAAATTGATGGTTGAAAATTTAAGAAAGAGTTATCTTCTTTGTGTTTTGACATTTTGGAGGAGTTGACAGATAAAGACAAGGCTTGGGGGTATTTCCAATGACAAGGAGGTGCTTGGAGCTGGAGTTGAACCAGGGACCTTAGGATGACAGCATTTCACACAAGGAGCATCTAACAGTCCACCGCGCTACCAACTGAGCTATCAAGGTGCTCTCTAGTCACAAGTGCAGAAAACATAGTGGCTTCGAAGACACACTATGCCCACAGAACTATTCCAACCCATGGTCAATGAAAAGCCCAGCCCTACCTGCAGAACAAAGCTTTGCAGTTTGTACCCAACAGTCATTGCCAGGGACCCAGAACTGATAATCAGGACTTTTAGGCTGGGTGAATAAAAAATTGATGGTTGAAAATTTAAGAAAGAGTTATCTTGTTTGTGTTTTGACATTTTGGAGGAGTTGACAGATAAAGACAAGGCTTGGGGGTATTTCCAATGACAAGGAGGTGCTTGGAGCTGGAGTTGAACCAGCGACCTTAGGATCATGGCGTTTCACACAAGGAGCATCTTACAGTCCACCGCTCTACCAACTGAGCTATCAAGGTGCTCTCTAGTCACAAGTGCAGAAAACATAGTGGCTTCGAAGACACACTATGCCCACAGAACTATTCCAACCCATGGTCAATGAAAAGCCCAGCCCTACCTGCAGAACAAAGCTTTGCAGTTTGTACCCAACAGTCATTGCCAGGGACCCAGAACTGATAATCAGGACTTTTAGGCTGGGTGAATAAAACATTGATGGTTGAAAATTTAAGAAAGAGTTATCTTCTTTGTGTTTTGAGATTTTGGAGGAGTTGACAGATAAAGACAAGGCTTGGGGGTATTTCCAATGACAAGGAGGTGCTTGGAGCTGGAGTTGAACCAGCGACCTTAGGATCACAGCGTTTCACACAAGGAGCATCTTACAGTCCAACGCTCTACCAACTGAGCTATCAAGGTGCTCTCTAGTCGCAAGTGCAGAAAACATGGTGGCTTCGACGACACACTATGCCCACAGAACTATTCCAACCCATGGTCAATGAAAAGCCCAGCCCTACCTGCAGAACAAAGCTTTGCAGTTTGTACCCAACAGTCATTGCCAGGGACCCAGAACTGATAATCAGGACTTTTAGGCTGGGTGAATAAAAAATTGATGGTTGAAAATTCAAGAAAGAGTTATCTTTTTTGTGTTTCGACATTTTGGAGGAGTTGACAGATAAAGACAAGGCTTGGGGGTATTTCCAATGACAAGGAGGTGCTTGGAGGTGGAGTTGAACCAGCTACCTTAGCATCACAGCGTTTCACACAAGGAGCATCTTACAGTCCACCGCTCTAACAACTGAGCTATCAAGGTGCTCTCTAGTCACAAGTGCAGAAAACATAGTGGCTTCGAAGACACACTATGCCCACAGAACTATTCCAAACCATGGTCAATGAAAAGCCCAGCCCTACCTGCAAAACAAAGCTTTGCAGTTTGTACCCAACAGTCATTACCAGGGACCCAGAACTGATAATCAGGACTTTTAGGCTGGGTGAATAAAAAATTGATGGTTGAAAATTCAAGAAAGAGTTATCTTCTTTGTGTTTCGACATTTTGGAGGAGTTGACAGATAAAGACAAGGCTTGGGGGTATTTCCAATGACAAGGAGGTGCTTGGAGGTGGAGTTGAACCAGCGACCTTAGCATCACAGCGTTTCACACAAGGAGCATCTTACAGTCCACAGCTCTACCAACTGAGCTATCAAGGTGCTCTCTAGTCACAAGTGCAGAAAACATGGTGGCTTCGAAGACACACTATGCCCACAGAACTATTCCAACCCATGGTCAATGAAAAGCCCAGCCCTACCTGCAGAACAAAGCTTTGCAGTTTGTACCCAACAGTCATTGCCAGGGACCCAGAACTGATAATCAGGACTTTTAGGCTGGGTGAATAAAAAATTGATGGTTGAAAATTTAAGAAAGAGTTATCTTGTTTGTGTTTCGACATTTTGGATGAGTTGACAGATAAAGACAAGGCTTGGGGGTATTTCCAATGACAAGGAGGTGCTTGGAGCTGGAGTTGAACCAGCGACCTTAGCATCACAGCGTTTCACACAAGGAGCATCTTACAGTCCACCGCTCTACCAACTGAGCTATCAAGGTGCTCTCTAGTCACAAGTGCAGAAAACATAGTGGCTTCGAAGACACACTATGCCCACAGAACTATTCCAACCCATGGTCAATGAAAAGCCCAGCCCTACCTGCAGAACAAAGCTTTGCAGTTTGTACCCAACAGTCATTGCCAGGGACCCAGAACTGATAATCAGGACTTTTAGGCTGGGTGAATAAAAAATTGATGGTTGAAAATTTAAGAAAGAGTTATCTTCTTTGTGTTTCGACATTTTGGAGGAGTTGACAGATAAAGACAAGGCTTGGGGGTATTTACAATGACAAGGAGGTGCTTGGAGCTGGAGTTGAACCAGCGACCCTAGCATCACAGCGTTTCACACAAGGAGCATCTTACAGTCCACCGCTCTACCAACTGAGCTATCAAGGTGCTCTCTAGTCACAAGTGCAGAAAACATAGTGGCTTCGAAGACACACTATGCCCACAGAACTATTCCAACCCATGGTCAATGAAAAGCCCAGCCCTACCTGCAGAACAAAGCTTTGCAGTTTGTACCCAACAGTCATTGCCAGGGACCCAGAACTGATAATCAGGACTTTTAGTCTGGGTGAATAAAAAATTGATGGTTGAAAATTTAAGAAAGAGTTATCTTCTTTGTGTTTTGACATTTTGGAGGAGTTGACAGATAAAGACAAGGCTTGGGGGTATTTCCAATGACAAGGAGGTGCTTGGAGCTGGAGTTGAACCAGCGACCTTAGGATCACAGCGTTTCACACAAGGAGGATCTTAAAGTCCACCGCTCTACGAACTGAGCTATCAAGGTGCTCTCTAGTCTCAAGTGCAGAAAACATAGTGGCTTCGAAGACACACTATGCCCACAGAACTATTCCAACCCATGGTCAATGAAAAGCCCAGCCCTACCTGCAGAACAAAGCTTTGCAGTTTGTACCCAACAGTCATTGCCAGGGACCCAGAACTGATAATCAGGACTTTTAGGCTGAGTGAATAAAAAATTGATGGTTGAAAATTTAAGAAAGAGTTATCTTGTTTGTGTTTTGACATTTTGGAGGAGTTGACAGATAAAGACAAGGCTTGGGGGTATTTCCAATGACAAGGAGGTGCTTGGAGCTGGAGTTGAACCAGCGACCTTAGGATCACAGCGTTTCACACAAGGAGCATCTTACAGTCCACCGCTCTACCAACTGAGCTATCAAGGTGCTCTCTAGTCACAAGTGCAGAAAACAGAGTGGCTTCGAAGACACACTATGCCCACAGAACTATTCCAACCCATGGTCAATGAAAAGCCCAGCCCTACCTGCAGAACAAAGCTTTGCAGTTTGTACCCAACAGTCATTGCCAGGGACCCAGAACTGATAATCAGGACTTTTAGGCTGGGTGAATAAAAAATTGATGGTTGAAAATTTAAGAAAGAGTTATCTTCTTTGTGTTTTGACATTTTGGAGGAGTTGACAGATAAAGACAAGGCTTGGGGGTATTTCCAATGATAAGGAGGTGCTTGGAGCTGGAGTTGAACCAGCGACCTTAGGATCACAGCATTTCACACAAGGAGCATCTAACAGTCCACCGCTCTACCAACTGAGCTATCAAGGTGCTCTCTAGTCACAAGTGCAGAAAACATAGTGGCTTCGAAGACACACTATGCCCACAGAACTATTCCAACCCATGGTCAATGAAAAGCCCAGCCCTACCTGCAGAACAAAGCTTTGCAGTTTGTACCCAACAGTCATTGCCAGGGACCCAGAACTGATAATCAGGACTTTTAGGCTGGGTGAATAAAAAATTGATGGTTGAAAATTTAAGAAAGAGTTATCTTCTTTGTGTTTCGACATTTTGGAGGAGTTGACAGATAAAGACAAGGCTTGGGGGTATTTCCAATGACAAGGAGGTGCTTGGAGCTGGAGTTGAACCAGCGACCTTAGCATCACAGCGTTTCACACAAGGAGCATCTTACAGTCCACCGCTCTACCAACTGAGCTATCAAGGTGCTCTCTAGTCACAAGTGCAGAAAACATAGTGGCTTCGAAGACACACTATGCCCACAGAACTATTCCAACCCATGGTCAATGAAAAGCCCAGCCCTACCTGCAGAACAAAGCTTTGCAGTTTGTACCCAACAGTCATTGCCAGGGACCCAGAACTGATAATCAGGACTTTTAGGCTGAGTGAATAAAAAATTGATGGTTGAAAATTTAAGAAAGAGTTATCTTCTTTGTGTTTTGACATTTTGGAGGAGTTGACAGATAAAGACAAGGCTTGGGGGTATTTCCAATGACAAGGAGGTGCTTGGAGCTGGAGTTGAACCAGCGACCTTAGGATCACAGCGTTTCACACAAGGAGCATCTTACAGTCCACCGCTCTACCAACTGAGCTATCAAGGTGCTCTCTAGTCGCAAGTGCAGAAAACATGGTGGCTTCGACGACACACTATGCCCACAGAACTATTCCAACCCATGGTCAATGAAAAGCCCAGCCCTACCTGCAGAACAAAGCTTTGCAGTTTGTACCCAACAGTCATTGCCAGGGACCCAGAACTGATAATCAGGACTTTTAGGCTGGGTGAATAAAAAATTGATGGTTGAAAATTCAAGAAAGAGTTATCTTTTTTGTGTTTCGACATTTTGGAGGAGTTGACAGATAAAGACAAGGCTTGGGGGTATTTCCAATGACAAGGAGGTGCTTGGAGGTGGAGTTGAACCAGCGACCTTAGCATCACAGCGTTTCACACAAGGAGCATCTTACAGTCCACCGCTCTACCAACTGAGCTATCAAGGTGCTCTCTAGTCACAAGTGCAGAAAACATAGTGGCTTCGAAGACACACTATGCCCACAGAACTATTCCAAACCATGGTCAATGAAAAGCCCAGCCCTACCTGCAGAACAAAGCTTTGCAGTTTGTACCCAACAGTCATTACCAGGGACCCAGAACTGATAATCAGGACTTTTAGGCTGGGTGAATAAAAAATTGATGGTTGAAAATTCAAGAAAGAGTTATCTTCTTTGTGTTTCGACATTTTGGAGGAGTTGACAGATAAAGACAAGGCTTGGGGGTATTTCCAATGACAAGGAGGTGCTTGGAGCTGGAGTTGAACCAGCGACCTTAGCATCACAGCGTTTCACACAAGGAGCATCTTACAGTCCACAGCTCTACCAACTGAGCTATGAAGGTGCTCTCTAGTCACAAGTGCAGAAAACATGGTGGCTTCGAAGACACACTATGCCCACAGAACTATTCCAACCCATGGTCAATGAAAAGCCCAGCCCTACCTGCAGAACAAAGCTTTGCAGTTTGTACCCAACAGTCATTGCCAGGGACCCAGAACTGATAATCAGGACTTTTAGGCTGGGTGAATAAAAAATTGATGGTTGAAAATTTAAGAAAGAGTTATCTTGTTTGTGTTTCGACATTTTGGAGGAGTTGACAGATAAAGACAAGGCTTGGGGGTATTTCCAATGACAAGGAGGTGCTTGGAGCTGGAGTTGAACCAGCCACCTTAGCATCACAGCGTTTCACACAAGGAGCATCTTACAGTCCACCGCTCTACCAACTGAGCTATCAAGGTGCTCTCTAGTCACAAGTGCAGAAAACATAGTGGCTTCGAAGACACACTATGCCCACAGAACTATTCCAACCCATGGTCAATGAAAAGCCCAGCCCTACCTGCAGAACAAAGCTTTGCAGTTTGTACCCAACAGTCATTGCCAGGGACCCAGAACTGATAATCAGGACTTTTAGGCTGGGTGAATAAAACATTGATGGTTGAAAATTTAAGAAAGAGTTATCTTCTTTGTGTTTTGACATTTTGGAGGAGTTGACAGATAAAGACAAGGCTTGGGGGTATTTCCAATGACAAGGAGGTGCTTGGAGCTGGAGTTGAACAAGCGACCTTAGGATCACAGCGTTTCACACAAGGAGCATCTTACAGTCCACCGCTCTACCAACTGAGCTATCAAGGTGCTCTCTAGTCGCAAGTGCAGAAAACATGGTGGCTTCGACGACACACTATGCCCACAGAACTATTCCAACCCATGGTCAATGAAAAGCCCAGCCCTACCTGCAGAACAAAGCTTTGCAGTTTGTACCCAACAGTCATTGCCAGGGACCCAGAACTGATAATCAGGACTTTTAGGCTGGGTGAATAAAAAATTGATGGTTGAAAATTTAAGAAAGAGTTATCTTCTTTGTGTTTCGACATTTTGGAGGAGTTGACAGATAAAGACAAGGCTTGGGGGTATTTCCAATGACAAGGAGGTGCTTGGAGCTGGAGTTGAACCAGCGACCTTAGCATCACAGCGTTTCACACAAGGAGCATCTTACAGTCCACCGCTCTACCAACTGAGCTATCAAGGTGCTCTCTAGTCACAAGTGCAGAAAACATAGTGGCTTCGAAGACACACTATGCCCACAGAACTATTCCAACCCATGGTCAATGAAAAGCCCAGCCCTACCTGCAGAACAAAGCTTTGCAGTTTGTACCCAACAGTCATTGCCAGGGACCCAGAACTGATAATCAGGACTTTTAGTCTGGGTGAATAAAAAATTGATGGTTGAAAATTTAAGAAAGAGTTATCTTCTTTGTGTTTTGACATTTTGGAGGAGTTGACAGATAAAGACAAGGCTTGGGGGTATTTCCAATGACAAGGAGGTGCTTGGAGCTGGAGTTGAACCAGCGACCTTAGCATCACAGCGTTTCACACAAGGAGCATCTTACAGTCCACAGCTCTACCAACTGAGCTATGAAGGTGCTCTCTAGTCACAAGTGCAGAAAACATGGTGGCTTCGAAGACACACTATGCCCACAGAACTATTCCAACCCATGGTCAATGAAAAGCCCAGCCCTACCTGCAGAACAAAGCTTTGCAGTTTGTACCCAACAGTCATTGCCAGGGACCCAGAACTGATAATCAGGACTTTTAGGCTGGGTGAATAAAAAATTGATGGTTGAAAATTTAAGAAAGAGTTATCTTGTTTGTGTTTCGACATTTTGGAGGAGTTGACAGATAAAGACAAGGCTTGGGGGTATTTCCAATGACAAGGAGGTGCTTGGAGCTGGAGTTGAACCAGCGACCTTAGCATCACAGCGTTTCACACAAGGAGCATCTTACAGTCCACCGCTCTACCAACTGAGCTATTAAGGTGCTCTCTAGTCACAAGTGCAGAAAACATAGTGGCTTCGAAGACACACTATGCCCACAGAACTATTCCAACCCATGGTCAATGAAAAGCCCAGCCCTACCTGCAGAACAAAGCTTTGCAGTTTGTACCCAACAGTCATTGCCAGGGACCCAGAACTGATAATCAGGACTTTTAGGCTGGGTGAATAAAACATTGATGGTTGAAAATTTAAGAAAGAGTTATCTTCTTTGTGTTTTGACATTTTGGAGGAGTTGACAGATAAAGACAAGGCTTGGGGGTATTTCCAATGACAAGGAGGTGCTTGGAGCTGGAGTTGAACCAGCGACCTTAGGATCACAGCGTTTCACACAAGGAGCATCTTACAGTCCACCGCTCTACCAACTGAGCTATCAAGGTGCTCTCTAGTCGCAAGTGCAGAAAACATGGTGGCTTCGACGACACACTATGCCCACAGAACTATTCCAACCCATGGTCAATGAAAAGCCCAGCCCTACCTGCAGAACAAAGCTTTGCAGTTTGTACCCAACAGTCATTGCCAGGGACCCAGAACTGATAATCAGGACTTTTAGGCTGGGTGAATAAAAAATTGATGGTTGAAAATTTAAGAAAGAGTTATCTTCTTTGTGTTTCGACATTTTGGAGGAGTTGACAGATAAAGACAAGGCTTGGGGGTATTTCCAATGACAAGGAGGTGCTTGGAGCTGGAGTTGAACCAGCGACCTTAGCATCACAGCGTTTCACACAAGGAGCATCTTACAGTCCACCGCTCTACCAACTGAGCTATCAAGGTGCTCTCTAGTCACAAGTGCAGAAAACATAGTGGCTTCGAAGACACACTATGCCCACAGAACTATTCCAACCCATGGTCAATGAAAAGCCCAGCCCTACCTGCAGAACAAAGCTTTGCAGTTTGTACCCAACAGTCATTGCCAGGGACCCAGAACTGATAATCAGGACTTTTAGTCTGGGTGAATAAAAAATTGATGGTTGAAAATTTAAGAAAGAGTTATCTTCTTTGTGTTTTGACATTTTGGAGGAGTTGACAGATAAAGACAAGTGCTTGGGGGTATTTCCAATGACAAGGAGGTGCTTGGAGCTGGAGTTGAACCAGCGACCTTAGCATCACAGCGTTTCACACAAGGAGCATCTTACAGTCCACAGCTCTACCAACTGAGCTATGAAGGTGCTCTCTAGTCACAAGTGCAGAAAACATGGTGGCTTCGAAGACACACTATGCCCACAGAACTATTCCAACCCATGGTCAATGAAAAGCCCAGCCCTACCTGCAGAACAAAGCTTTGCAGTTTGTACCCAACAGTCATTGCCAGGGACCCAGAACTGATAATCAGGACTTTTAGGCTGGGTGAATAAAAAATTGATGGTTGAAAATTTAAGAAAGAGTTATCTTGTTTGTGTTTCGACATTTTGGAGGAGTTGACAGATAAAGACAAGGCTTGGGGGTATTTCCAATGACAAGGAGGTGCTTGGAGCTGGAGTTGAACCAGCGACCTGAGCATCACAGCGTTTCACACAAGGAGCATCTTACAGTCCACCGCTCTACCAACTGAGCTATCAAGGTGCTCTCTAGTCACAAGTGCAGAAAACATAGTGGCTTCGAAGACACACTATGCCCACAGAACTATTCCAACCCATGGTCAATGAAAAGCCCAGCCCTACCTGCAGAACAAAGCTTTGCAGTTTGTACCCAACAGTCATTGCCAGGGACCCAGAACTGATAATCAGGACTTTTAGGCTGGGTGAATAAAACATTGATGGTTGAAAATTTAAGAAAGAGTTATCTTCTTTGTGTTTTGACATTTTGGAGGAGTTGACAGATAAAGACAAGGCTTGGGGGTATTTCCAATGACAAGGAGGTGCTTGGAGCTGGAGTTGAACCAGCGACCTTAGGATCACAGCGTTTCACACAAGGAGCATCTTACAGTCCACCGCTCTACCAACTGAGCTATCAAGGTGCTCTCTAGTCGCAAGTGCAGAAAACATGGTGGCTTCGACGACACACTATGCCCACAGAACTATTCCAACCCATGGTCAATGAAAAGCCCAGCCCTACCTGCAGAACAAAGCTTTGCAGTTTGTACCCAACAGTCATTGCCAGGGACCCAGAACTGATAATCAGGACTTTTAGGCTGGGTGAATAAAAAATTGATGGTTGAAAATTCAAGAAAGAGTTATCTTTTTTGTGTTTCGACATTTTGGAGGAGTTGACAGATAAAAACAAGGCTTGGGGGTATTTCGAATGACAAGGAGGTGCTTGGAGGTGGAGTTGAACCAGCGACCTTAGCATCACAGCGTTTCACACAAGGAGCATCTTACAGTCCACCGCTCTACCAACTGAGCTATCAAGGTGCTCTCTAGTCACAAGTGCAGAAAACATAGTGGCTTCGAAGACACACTATGCCCACAGAACTATTCCAAACCATGGTCAATGAAAAGCCCAGCCCTACCTGCAGAACAAAGCTTTGCAGTTTGTACCCAACAGTCATTACCAGGGACCCAGAACTGATAATCAGGACTTTTAGGCTGGGTGAATAAAAAATTGATGGTTGAAAATTCAAGAAAGAGTTATCTTCTTTGTGTTTCGACATTTTGGAGGAGTTGACAGATAAAGACAAGGCTTGGGGGTATTTCCAATGACAAGGAGGTGCTTGGAGCTGGAGTTGAACCAGCGAATTTAGCATCACAGCGTTTCACACAAGGAGCATCTTACAGTCCACAGCTCTACCAACTGAGCTATGAAGGTGCTCTCTAGTCACAAGTGCAGAAAACATGGTGGCTTCGAAGACACACTATGCCCACAGAACTATTCCAACCCATGGTCAATGAAAAGCCTAGCCCTACCTGCTGAACAAAGCTTTGCAGTTTGTACCCAACAGTCATTGCCAGGGACCCAGAACTGATAATCAGGACTTTTAGGCTGGGTGAATAAAAAATTGATGGTTGAAAATTTAAGAAAGAGTTATCTTGTTTGTGTTTCGACATTTTGGAGGAGTTGACAGATAAAGACAAGGCTTGGGGGTATTTCCAATGACAAGGAGGTGCTTGGAGCTGGAGTTGAACCAGCGACCTTAGCATCACAGCGTTTCACACAAGGAGCATCTTACAGTCCACCGCTCTACCAACTGAGCTATCAAGGTGCTCTCTAGTCACAAGTGCAGAAAACATAGTGGCTTCGAAGACACACTATGCCCACAGAACTATTCCAACCCATGGTCAATGAAAAGCCCAGCCCTACCTGCAGAACAAAGCTTTGCAGTTTGTACCCAACAGTCATTGCCAGGGACCCAGAACTGATAATCAGGACTTTTAGGCTGGGTGAATAAAAAATTGATGGTTGAAAATTTAAGAAAGAGTTATCTTGTTTGTGTTTTGACATTTTGGAGGAGTTGACAGATAAAGACAAGGCTTGGGGGTATTTCCAATGACAAGGAGGTGCTTGGCGCTGGAGTTGAACCAGCGACCTTAGGATCATAGCGTTTCACACAAGGAGCATCTTACAGTCCACCGCTCTACCAACTGAGCTATCAAGGTGCTCTCTAGTCACAAGTGCAGAAAACATAGTGGCTTCGAAGACACACTATGCCCACAGAACTATTCCAACCCATGGTCAATGAAAAGCCCAGCCCTACCTGCAGAACAAAGCTTTGCAGTTTGTACCCAACAGTCATTGCCAGGGACCCAGAACTGATAATCAGGACTTTTAGGCTGGGTGAATAAAAAATTGATGGTTGAAAATTTAAGAAAGAGTTATCTTGTTTGTGTTTTGACATTTTGGAGGAGTTGACAGATAAAGACAAGGCTTGGGGGTATTTCCAATGACAAGGAGGTGCTTGGCGCTGGAGTTGAACCAGCGACCTTAGGATCACAGCGTTTCACACAAGGAGCATCTTACAGTCCACCGCTCTACCAACTGAGCTATCAAGGTGCTCTCTAGTCACAAGTGCAGAAAACATAGTGGCTGACACAACACACTTATCCCACAGAACTATTCGACCCACATGGTTAATGAAAAGCCCAGCCCTTCCTGCAGAACAAAGCTTTGCAGTTTGTACCCAACAGTCATTGTCAGGGACCCAGAACTGATAATCAGGACTTTTAGGCTGGGTGAAAAGAAAAAACTTGTGGTAGAAACATCAGGATTTGCGGTCCCTAAAAACTCTTGCGCGCCGGAGTGCTCCTCGTACAATGCAAGCACCGAGGTCTACTGGATCCTCCAAGAACGGACAAGCCATTTTTCAAGAGAGCTCATTGGTCAGTGGGCAGGGTTTTTATACTCGGTGAGTTTAATCTGGAACTTAACCTGCCCCAGAGCAGGTTAGCTGTTCATCGTATGTTGCCAAGGAGACTCGCCTTGCTAAGAAGTGAACCCGGGTCATAGAACAGGAAACCCCGAACTTACCCTCGAAGTTACCTCGCTAAGCAGTAATCCTGCTTCGTAGAACAGGCCCCAGGAGGGAAACAGGGTCAAACACAAACTAAAAACTCACAAGACTGGACTACAGGGGAACAGGAACAATAGGGAACAGTAACACCAAGAAAAATACACAAGATTCTCTCAAATAAAACCAGAAGAAAAGTGAATTAACAGAACATATGAGAGTAACAACACAGTTTTCACCTCACACAGGGTGAGAGTTGCACAAGAAAGCTAACAAACCTCATTTAATACGTCAAGTAAACTACCTCCTGAGGAGTTAACATAGTGTTAAATTTGAGAAAGCAGGTAACCTTCTCATAACATGATGCCATGCAGGAATTCAGATTGTTGCTGATGAAACAACTTGAAAAAATGACATGCACCCTTGATATTCAGTTTTTAATTACATGAGTCAAACCTGTTGTAACTGGACCATACAGTGAGACCAAACAAGTTATTCCAGACCAGGGGTCGGCAACCTTAAACACTCAAAGAGCCACTTGGACCAGTTTCCCACAGAAAAGAAAACACAGGGAGCCACAAAACCTCTTTGACATCTAAAATGAAGATAACATTGCATATATCTTTTTTTTTTTTACCTTTATACAAAGTATATAAAAAACTGTAGCGAGTTGCATTTATGAAATAAATGAACTATTTCGGCGAGTGTCTGTCTTCTTCTGTAGTTAAACCGCAAGATATCAAAATCTACCCGGATACAGCAATGCTGCTTTTTGATTGGCTGTTCAGTAGATATACTTTATTTGATTGGCTTGTGCGTGGCACGCAGCTTCTGAACTCTCTGAGAAACTCAGTTGATTTCCCCCTGTTCTGTAGTTGAAGAAGTGCAACTTGGTGGACATCACCGTGTTCATTTAAATGCGTGAGAAATACAATGTGTGGTGTGTGAGCGTGTGAACGAGTGGGATTGCGTGTGTCATACACTGAATGCGTGAGACTTGAGAGCCCTGTGCTCACGCATCATCGATGTACTCCCGAGCCATGCAAAACGGTCTTCGCAAATGTTGCACTGAACGCCTTCCTTTTCAGTCTTGGTAAAGTTTTCCCACACCACTGATGTTTTAGGTCGGGATTTGGGTTGGGTTGTGTCCATGTTTTTCTCAGCCGCTGCCTCGGCCATGGCTGTTTCTTTTCTGTGCGTCCTGCTGATGTTTACACGCCGGTGTCCATGGACATATATAAAGACCCGACGAATCGATTACAGAATTTGTTGGCAACGGATTTTTTCGTCACGACGAATCGACTTAATCGATACGTTGTTGCAGCCTTAATAGTTTATTTAATGTTACAAGAGCATTATAATCTTTGAATTTAGAATTACAAAATAATAATAATAAAATAAAATAAAATGTAATTAAGTATTTATTATTTATTTTCCAAATCCATTGGGAGCCGCAGCTTAGGGAAGAAAGAGCCGCATGCGGCTCCAGAGCCGCGGGTTGCCGACCCCTGTTCCAGACCCTCACGGTGACAAGTTCACAATGGTTCACGTTCAGAGAGATACACACAAGCTGCATCTAAAACGCCTAAACTATGACAGCTTGAATACCTTGCATGGAAAGAGACTAATTCAAGACACATTTTCATCCCAATTTGTTGGCAAAAATCTCAGTGACAGCTGGAGATTTTCTGTTTGAAGATCTCTCAAAATTCCCCCCTGGGCAACAATTAGTTTCTCCAAAACTTATTTTCCCTGTTCGTTCAGGAGGGAGACACAGCTCTTAGCCTCGAGCCAACTCTGGGAGCCAAATCACAGAAATCTACAATGCAGTTTCTCACAGTATCCCTCCAGTCAGACAGAGAATGTAAACCTGAGAAACACTCAAATCTAATTATACACAGTGGATTTAGAAATGTTGGATTATATTTAGAGTCTAAATCTTTTGGCTGAAGCTGTAAATCCCACTTTGGAAACAGCTTAAACTGTAATGGGATCAATGCAAAGTGATCCTGTGTGGGTGTACAGAATTATGGATTTTATTCACAAGTAGCTCTTCTGGAAGTGAGTCGTGTTTAGTTTTAATTAAAATCCAACAACCATTTCATTATGGGGGACATTTCTCACATTCAGAATATTCAATATCAACATTTACTGAATGCAAAACCTATAGGCTACTCATGAATGAGGATTCAGAGCACAAGATACCAAGAACCTGCCGGAGGCTGCAGTCATTAAGTTATCTTACATTTACAGAGGCGTCCTGCACATGATTGATTTTAGATGACAGTCAAGTTTCTATACCGAAGAGGCTCTGGGGTTGTAACCATAGACTGTATATAGACTGGACAGCGTCTGCCTCCTCGCTGGGTGAAGCAACCCCGTGAACAGCACACTCTGGTAACAGGCTGCAGTATAGGTCATAAATCCCACCTACCCAGCCATCCTCATGGAGTTGTGGACAAACTTTAGAATTCCTCAGACTGGTACTGGCTTTTGGTACCCGGGTATTTTATTTTCTAACCTGTTATTTTTAGCTATGAGTCAGCAGTTACTTACCTACAAATAAATCTGAGTGAAAACCAGACTGTTTATTTATTTATTTTTCTATATTAATTTTCATTCATATATAGTTCAGTAGTGGCTGGTGAGTTTTTTTCTCCAGGGAGAGCCATAAATCTTAAAACAGGTATTACAGCAATGTACTGAATTATGTGAACCAAGGGCACTTACATACATTTGCTAACTTGAATTAACATTTTCCACACGGACCTTTGATTGTCTGTTTTTCAAGCTTTCTTAGTTTTTAAAAAGGTCTAATTTTTCATGGTTTAATTTTAATGAACAGCTGATCAGGTCCAATCTCTTTAACTCTCAATCTGCAAATACCTTCTCTCAAACAGCATTATTTTTTTTAGAGACTTAACTCTCTATGACTTCAACTCCTTTCAAAAGTTACTGAATTACTGATTAACTGCATCATAAAAGTAATTCAGTCACTTTAAACTGTAATTTATGGCTTACTTTTTACTTCAGTAGCCTACACGTCATCCTCTCCTGGTTATTTGTTCAGTAAAAGCAGCAAACTCATAAATTTATTTAGGAAGCATGTCCTAAAAGCACATTAAGTTCTTATGCAGTGTAATGCTTCAGAGAAATACTGACATCTTATTGCACAGATTCAGTATCCAAATTCAGCTTCATGTACACACTACACACTATGCACACACACACACACACCCACACACACCTCACCATGGCTAGTATCGACACTTATGCTATAAACCAAGCAATAATACACACTGCATTCTTCACACTCATGCTTCAGGCAGGCACACAAACCGCACAATCACAGCAGGTGTATCACAGTTCAGTTAGAGCGATCATGGACTTCAAATCTGAACATTTCTCTCCGACTTCAGAGGACTGAGCCTCTCTTAATTTTCATCCTGATTCCAAGAAGTGTCCACAGGGGGTCCATTTATGTCCACAAAGAGAAGTGAAGACAGGCTCTCTTCCTGCAACCTACTGCTGAGCTTAGCTGTCCTGTCTCTGTAGATCTTTTTTTTTTTCTTCTACAGGCTTCATGCATGAGGACCAGAAACTTTACTACTAGCCCATTCTTCCACAAGGAAAAGAGAGCAGCAAGCACTTTGTTTTCAACTCCAAACTTGCGGTTATTTCAGTCATACAACTGCTTGATGGTGGCTCAAAGTTTTTCTAAGAGGAGCCCTCATCTTCAACCTGACAGAAACAGAGTCCTCATTGGCCATGGATAAGCTAACATCATCTCTGTTGTTGTTGTTCTGATTAGGGTATACAGAAATTGATCCAAAATCAATGGACCCATTCAATGGATCCATTCATCCATTGATCCAAGTCATATGTGATGAATTTGGCTTGCCCTTTGACATATTTTTCCATAGTCACTGAGTCTACAGAGTAAACAACAGTGAAATTTATTTTGATCAGAAATGTTCTTCCTTGAGATGCATCACCCCGCAGCAGTCTGTAATGAACTGGTCTGAGGTCTCGCTACAAACAAGCAGCTGCTGGAAGAGAGTAGGTGATGAATTTAGTCTCTTTGCTGAAGACATTTGGCAAAGTTAAAAAGATGTTTGGTGGCTGGTGCTGTGGCTAGGACCCTATATGTACTGTTGATGAAGTTAGGTGCTGTTCTGAGCATTATTTGTGGCTATAGAGTGGCGTTTTGGTTGAGGTTTGTTTATGGCTCCTCAGACCGCTGTGTATTGCTATCGTGTGGTTGTTACTAAAGTTGGTATAACTAGAGAAGCAAGAAGTTGGCAACATTCATTTCTCCAGGTGGTGTCTGGTGTTATGGTGTGTTTGACCCTAAATTAATTTTATGCCGGAATATCCCTTTAAGACACCGTTAACTTACTCAGTCAGTCCATATCATAACAGGAAAATAAGACTTAGTAATGCAGTAGCATATAAGAAATATCTTAAGGAAAGGGACCTGTTGGCACATCACTGTAGACACCCTGCTGAGCAGCGTGTGATGGCTCCCTCTGAAGCTCACCTGTAATCACACTGCCACCGTGCACGAGTCTGCCGTCACGTGCTGCTCAGGCGTGCAGTGTGTGTAGTGTTAAGTACGGCAGGCTTTGGAAAGAGCTGTGACAAATGTCAGCACCGCTGTGAAAACTGTTGTAGCATTTCCTACGCCAGTCATGACTGTCCGCGGATTAATACGTCCACTCACCTCTAATAGTCCGTCAATCAAACAGGCACGTGGTCAGGTGGTAGAGGAAAGAAACAAACTTGGAGAGCTCCACAGACGAAGATAAGAAGAAACAAGCCCTGAAAGGAGAATGAGACTTGGAAAATCAGCTAATTAATGCAAGTCTTCAGCTGTGCTTCTTATGTCTTTTCCTTCAAAGATGAAAAATAGTTCCTCGTTTGTGTTGTACATCAACTAAGAACTTAAAACATCCATTAGGTTCATTAGTTGGATTTTCTCGTGCAGACAGTCATGTATGGCTTCTTCTGCCCCCTGGTGTTTAGTCACAAAATAAAAAGTGTTTGTCGAAGTCAGCTGGCTTTGAAGGTTTAGTTGGGTGGTTGTTAAACGCCTCATTAAAAAAGCACGTGCAATAATCTGCTGATGTCCGCGTGCATCCTCCACTGTCCGGATGACTCCGCATAATTTCTAAACCTGGCTTTACGGATTTGCTCCTATTAGAGTATTAGTAAGGTCACACACCGATAATAGGCGATGAGGCTTGGCTCTCAGTCGGTGTTTCAGATCATCCCAAAGGTAGTTGAGCTCAGGACTTTATGCAGGCAGATGCAGTTTCATGATAAGTAATCCTTTCGTTTCGGTCAGGGGTGGGGAACCATGTGCCATGGAGAGCCGAGAGGCTGCAGGTTTTCTTTCCAACCCAAAACTCCACCAGGTGATTTCACTGATTAGTCCCTGCTCTCTGCTTGGAGGTAAGGTAATCAGTGAAATCACCTGGTGGAGTTTTGGGTTAGAAAGAAAACCTGCAGCCTCTCGGCTCTCCATGGCACATGGTTCCCCACCCCTGGTTTAGGTGATGGTTACGGTGGCCGAGAACCGCCACTGCTTAAAAAAAAAAATGGGGAAGAAGAAGAAGAAGAAGCCAAAATGGAAGTTACCAATGCAAAAAAAAAAAAACAAGAAAAAGGAGAAGCCACAATGGAAGTTAACAAAAGAACAACAACAACAACAACAAAGAAAAGTGGCGATGCAAAAAAACAAAAAACAAAAAAAGGTAATTCCTGGGAAAATAAAAGGATGCAAATAAAAAAGCTTATGTTTGTTTCACACTGGAGAGATACCTCATGTTTGATTCTTAGAGAAGGATATGAAAGACAGGATTGGCAGTCAGGAGGCTGATGATGATGATGATGATGATGCTTTGTTTGAAGCATAATTTAAAGACAAATCAAGTCAGAGCAAGATCAAGTCCAAAATATTCATTGAAAAGCTTTATTAAAAATGTAGTCGGCAGGAGGAAAGTTGAATTGGTGAACATTGCGATAAGCCACAACTTGTGTTACAAAGTGCTCCATGAATCACCGGTACAGTGAGCATAGATTCGATGATGTAAGGACATTTTACAACAATCAAAAATGAAAATATTCTGTGCTTAAGCTCTGAAAACATGATTTTACATTAAAAAGTAAACATTAGTTACTCGAATTTAAATGAATTTCAGGTCAGCATGTCTTCGATACATGCAGATGAGTTATTGACTTAAAACCCGCTGTTCCAAGATGTGTTTTTTTTTCCTTTGGCTTGGCTCAATTTATCGATTGAACCAGCCATAACAATATTGATCCGTGTCTTTGGCCTTTGACCCAGGGTCACAGTTACTGATGCAGGAACCTGTGCAGGAACGACAATGACTAACTACGCCCATATTTTGTTACCCACATCCATGTTGAGGAATTGAGTTGTTCTTTGCTATGGCTTTGATTCAATAGAAATCACACTAATACGAATATTTCATCATCACCATTGTTAAAAATGGAAGTCAAGAGGTTTGTAGCAAGACCTTACATAAAAACCATGCTACCTATTTTTGTTTCAAACATCCTTTAAGTACTAGACAAGGTTTAGAAATATGACCTTTTATTTCTTTGACCATTTAAGAAATAAGAAAAGGGTTTCCATTTTGCAATTTCCTTAAAAAAAATCAATAACAAGGCAGCAATGGGAAACAATTATGAACGAACAAAGCAGAGAGAATTTATAAGCTTCCATGGGAGCTCACTGTGCAGCCTAATGAGTCTTTTCTCTTCATTTATCCTCGCTGTTACCATCAGCTTCACAACACACTTTATTGTTCATGACTGACATAAAAGCTGATCTTAGCCAATAGTCAAAAGAAAATGAATCTTTTAGTGTCGGGGACATAAACATCTTCTCTGTGTGACAGAAAAGTCTTTTATCGAACATGATCTGAGTTTTGATTTCACAGATTATGAATGTTTTTGTAACTTTAGATCATAAAGCTCATCTTCAAGCCAAAACATAAAACTACAGATTCGTTCAGTACAAATCTACTTTTCCAAAATCATCAAATATTGCCAATCTTCTTAAAACCTGACGTGTTGTGTTTCTTCATTATAACACCCCATGAACACACACGCACACACACACACACACACACACTGTAGCTTATTTCACCCCACCACCACATACACCGTCGTGCTGCAAGGCATACTTACTACGAACTATATATGTACAAATCCACCGCTGAAAAAAGTCCCTAACAACTCTGCTAGATCTTTTCCTGTTTAGGTTATATTTACTTAAGATTACAGAACATGGTTATTTAGGTGAGCAATGACCTTCGTAAAATTAATATTTGTGAGTGTCTTTGAAGAGGAATCAAAGGCATCTGCTGCTGAAGTTCAAACAAGTCCAGTGAGTGAAAGTACTGAGATTAAAAGAAACGTTATTGATCTTATCAGTTCACTGGATTTGTTGATTGAGGAAAATATAGAAAAAAGCAGCTTCACCCATGAGGCCCTGCAAAAACAACAAAAGAAAACACTATATCAAATGAAATCCAAACGGGTTGGAAGAGATTTGATTTCTCAATGACTGATCTTGGTTTCCAGACAACTCTTTGCCAGGTTTTGGAATACTTTTAGTTCTTGAAAAGCATTTTTGTAAAAAACTTTAGCTGCTTCAAAGGGCCTTTGACATTGTAGCACATTATTTAAAACTTTTGTTATATCACCGTGAAGGTCCCTAAAACCATCCCCAAATGGAGGGTGAAGCTCTTCCTTTAAAGGAGGCTTAGTATGCTCATCTATAGTTTGATACATACATGTTACAGTGTTGGATGTCCATGCTTAACCATGGGAAAGTATGGAAACATGAGACGCACAGATGTTGGAGCAATCCCTGAAATGTGTTTTCTGTTCTTTTTTTCTGAATAGCTCAATTTGAAGACTTGGCCTGAACCTGATGCCAAGCTTTTCCATTAGATGTTTTCTCTAAAGGCGTAATATTGAGGTTGTTTTATGACTACATGGCTGTGTGAACGGTAGCACCCCCGAGCTGTGTCAAACTTTCCATCAGGGGAAAAGCAGCAAAAAGGAAGCTTTCCAGGCAGAGGCTAAAAAGCGATGAAATTAAGGTTTTCACAGATGCCAGTGTAAGATAGGAAAGGGTTTTTTTAGCTGTAGATCATGCTTAGGTAGTCTATAAGTGTTCCAGACTGACATAATGAAAGGTAAAAGGAGTATAATAGGTCTCCTTTAAAGATTCAGTGTGGTCCAAAAGTGGTCACATTAAAACTGGACGTTAATAAAGAAACCTATTAGATGTGTGTCCTCTTCCACCTTAACACAGCAGCGAAATAAATCCTCATTTAATCATCAGTCCTCATGAACAAGGAGATAATATGGTTTAATAAAGCATGAAATATTGTAAATGAGCCAATTTCAGGTTGTCATACAGATGTTCCCTTCACATCAGCGCCTGGCTTCTCTTACATTAATTTTCCAATTAGGATATTTAATTTTTTAGGTTGAATGTGGAGTTAAAGGGATTACAGAAAACGACTCAATCATCAGAGATCTACCCCGGTAAATGTTCGAGTGCAGCACACAGGAAAGAACGTCCTGTGCTGAATGGTCCCTAGAGGATGAAACTTCATTACTTTTCAGATTCACTCCCTGACTTTTCATTTAGCGCCACCACAAGGCTTGTATTTGAAAGACATTACCAAGGTTGAAAAAAAAAAGTATTAAAAAGTGTCCCGTTTCGGACATGATGGCACAAGATATTAAGACCAGAAATGATCAGCCGCAGAGGTTTGATTCAGTGGACAAGTTAGAAACATTTGACCCCAGATTATATTTACAGCCCTATTGATTGGTCACCCACTCATATATTTAACAAAAGGTCTTACTTCCACTCATAGCACTTCACAAATAGACACCACTGATACAGCAGCAATAAAAAAAGAAAAACCAAACAACTGTAGCACAACACAGTTAAATAGGCACAGCAGAGCATTGGCAAAAATGTAGTGCACCTTCAATGATGTGGGTCAGTATATGGCTCTCTCTGTTGGACTGAAGTTCATGTAGGTAAAGAGATTAAACAAAGACAGTCTGTTTGGAGATGCAGTAAAAATTATTCACAATGGAGGACCTTTTAGGCGAGAGTGTAGAAAGAAGGGATGTAACAGTCTCGTCAATTTCACTACGCAATCATGGAAACAAATAAGAAGGAAACAAAGTAGAGGTTTAAGTGTAAGCAGGCCATATCACCACTGTGTAAACGGGGCATTTTAAAGTCTAAATTTGTCTTTTTTTCAAAGTATTATGACAAATTTTGTACCATGATTCATTAAAAAGGTCTTATTGTATCGTAAGATTGTGATACTGTTACATCCCGAAAAAGAAAGTGATGGAATAAGAAGAGACTGATAGTCCTTTCACCTTTAAAAACAGCACCTACTGTGTACATCCTTCAAGTTGTCAGGGACGACTAAACAGCAATGACTCAAAATCCCCCAAGTGCAACACAATCATTCAACAAACTCCATTTCTTGCACATGATAGAAGGAAGGATGGATGCCTGTGTGTGTGTGTATGATGTAGAAAATGGCGACACACACACACACACACACAAGGGTTAAAATGATTTTCCCTTTAAAGCCTGGAAGGGCGGCTTTTGTTTCTTACTCTTCATATGTCAAACAAGTGCAAGAAAAAATCTAGTGTAATCAAAACCAGGCGGGTAAAGTGCTTTTAAACTCACTTAGTGGAAAATGTAATCAGACACAACAGAAGAATACATTCATCAGTGAACATGATGTGTTTGTGTGTGTACAGCCTGGACCCCCCCAAAACAAAAGTCATTCAGGATTAACTACTTCATTAAACCCTTATCCTTCACTCTTTCATCTATTAAACATGACATGAACTCCTTAACTTCCCTGTCACCAATACTCTTCACAAAAAGATAACTCGACGATCTCAGTAACAATAAGCATCAAAACTTGATAAGAACACAGCCTTTTTTCAGTTATTCAACAATATTCAAGTGCATCACACATCGCCAAGAATGACTCCGATCATTCTGCTTGTGTACCTCATGGGTCAGGGTTTAGTCCCAAACTTTTTATTTCCTCACTTGCCTCACATTGAGGCATGCAAGAGATAAGAAAACTCCGGATTTCCCTTCCAACAGAGCATTCGCCACAGAGCTAAATCCATCTTCTGAGGCTTTACTTCACTTACTGCTTCTGCGAAATCAGACTGGGACAAAACAGAAATATACCCCTCTTTTCTCTCATGTCTGTGCACAAGGGCCGCAGCAGAGGCTTCTGTAAATAATGCGCGATCCCTCCACCAGAGCAATCAGTTTAAATTTAGCTTAACACGCGCCATAGATTTCCATTATTGATTCTTGCACTGAACACATCGGTGAATCAACTGAATGACTTCTTGGATACTCTTATCACGTTTACCTCCAGCTGTGCAGGGCGTCTGAGGATTTGCAGTCAGATTCAGGGTGACATTATTATTGTTTCCATCAATATAAATATAGCAACCGACCCAGACACCCAGCAGCAGAAACCTCCCGATGTCTCCTCTTCAGTCTTCTGTCGGCTCCAGCTTGTCAAATCAGATCTTATAAAAGTATTTCTACATTGGAGACCAGCTCTTACGTAAACCTTTTCCTTAGGAAAAATTAAGAAAAAGCGAAAAAAAAAAAAAAGTAAAATTAAACTCCTCCACATAGAAACATATCACAGTACAGGGAGACGGTGCAGATCTGGTTTTCTGCTCAACACAGCAGTCCAGCGTGGACGATTGTTGATCCTGTATGAGAGCCAATCACAGCCTCATTAAGGACTCAGTGGGACAGACAGCCTCTGGCAGAGATAATATCACTTGGGTGGAGAGGGCCATATAGGTAGAGGGTGGGCCTCTGTGTTGAAGATGTACTTGTCCAGACTGAGCTCGTCCATGTCATCAGAGAAGAGCAGGTACATGTACTTCAGGGTCTCACCCAGGAAGAAACTCTCCATCTTGTCTCGGGGTCCAGGGTTGGTGGGGTCTCGCACGTTGTTGATGGACGTGTAGCCACCATCAGGCACCTGCAGGATTGAGATTTTTGGTTACCTTGAGGATACATAATCATGAAGGTGCTGTTTATGGGTTTGGCGCTTGATGTGTTATGATCTTGGAAAACATCTTTAAGCTCTTGTGGATCACTGTGAACCGAGTCCAGACTGATAGGTCTGACAGGTCAGCTATGAGGAGCGCTACACCTCATGTGATTGAGGGATGATCTAACTATCAGAAGTGGATTTTGTTTGGAGCTGGATCAAAGAAAGATATTACATATTATTACATATTACATTATTACCTTTTTAGTGAAAAATGTTGACAAAAAGAGGATTTGATGGTTTACAAACCATTTGAAATCAATATTTGATTACATAATCATCTAGGATTTTCTCTTTTTACAGAGATTACCTGGATTCTCTGTGTCTGATGTAGGTGATGAAATCCACAAATGTTCTGTAATGTTATGTTGAGTAACATTGTTCTGAAACTTGTAAAGAATCTGCCAATGAAATCTTTCACAGTGATGATCCTCCTCTTATCCTTACTTCAGTGAGACCCAGCCTCGAAGACAGCCTCTTTGTACAAAGTCATGTTACCTACCTATACTTGTGTACATACAGAAAAAGTGCGGTCAGCATTTTAAACCACACTGAAGTTGGTCTGAGGTCAGCTGAGTGTACCTTAGTGTATTTGTTGAAGCTCTGCAGTATGTCCCATCCCCAGTCTCTGTACTTGGTTTCTTTGGTGAACCTGTACATGTAGAACAGACTCTCCACTGTCTCTGGTCTCAGCAGGTTGTGTCTGTCTGCAGGCTGGAAGAAAAAAGGGGGATTTGTCAGTAAATACCATCATGATAAAAGTATTTTTTTCCTTCTTTTGCACAAAAACATGAAGATTTTTAGATTAAATAACCAAGGATGGTTCTGAGGGACTAGACACTAGAGTTCCTCCATAAGCGTATTTTAAGTAATCTTTCTAAGTTGTATTATGTTTTACTCTCGGTAAGAAAACATCTGCCCCTCTTCAGCACTTGGGCGACATCGATCAGGGCACCAAAGATCCAAGGATGTATAACCACAGGACAAACAAATGTCTCAAATACCAGATGGTTCATTTTAGCGTTCTGTTTCTAGGAAGTAAATAAGAGCCGTCTTCTTTTTAATCTGACAATTATTACCTGAGTTTGAAGTCCTAGAGTAAGAATGAGCTCCTGAAATGTTTGGAATATTTCCTCCGTCTATCTGAGGTTAATGGAGGTAGCTGTTGAGATGAGTACAGAGATATTGGATCCTTTAAAATACCCTGAGCACTCAATTTAAAATAAAATGAGCACTGAGGAGGGTTAGAAAGGTTGTGCTCAAGACTCCCATGACTAATTTAGACGGGCTGATTAAAATTTCGTTTAGTGGGCTCTCTTAATAATAAGTCAGTAGTGGGCTGTGTCACTCATTTAGTTTGTGTGTAAATACAAGACACTTAAGTAAATCAGGGCTTACACATCCTTCCAGTGAAGACAGGTTTGAATAAGAGGAAAAGTTTCTTCTTTTTTTTGCATGAATAAAGAGAGTTAAGAGAATGTTTTTCTGCTTTAGTTTATGACCACAGCAGTCTCAAAGCATCCAGATGAGGATAAGAGTGATTGTATGAAATAAAAACAGAATATAGTGATAAGAAAATGACTAAAACTGGAAAAAAGGGGTAAAAAAAAGGTCCTCATTTCTGCTTCATGCCTTACCTTGACAATGACATCTCGCCCGTCACTGGGCTGCAAACTGAAGTGAGCAATCTCTGGGCTCAGCCCTGTCTCCATCTGTTTGTACATCTGATGACACGTCTCCATCAGCTGCACGGCCAGATCCATGTGGTCCCCTGGGAGGCCATTGTGGACTCCGAGCGCTAGGGTTCCAGGCAGGAAGCACACGAGGTGGTCCTATCAGAGACAAGAGAAAGATACAATTGAGAAGAACTGAACTGTGAAATGATGAGAGATAGCGATAAGAGCTGCGATTGATTGGGTCGACTAATAGAGAAAAAGACTGACTGAACATGAGCTTGCACAGCGACAGATCCAACAAAACCACAAAGGCTTATTGATTTAACAAGGTGGTCATTGTCCGTGGATGTGAGCGCATTGAGCTTTGGAACAGTGTGGGGAACAGCCTCTGACTGTCACAGCTCTTGTGCTGTGTGTGTAGTGATTTAAAGACACAGGAGATCTACAACGAAAACACATGTATCACACGGTATCTTCCATGTACATAGAGGACACCTGGAGGGCCTGCAGAAGTGCAGAAGTGTTATGCTGATCATTTTTCAAATTTCCATAATTTTTTTGTATACGGTTTTCATCTAAAAGCAGTTTGTTTAGGCTAAAACATACAGGATGCGTGTTTGGAACATGGCGGCATCGAGAGCAGCACCGCCAAAGAAACACGACAAGTCTATTTTTGCTGCTCTACGCTTCCAATACGCATCAATCCACACAGAGACGATCGTTCTAGACAGGATGTCAAGCATGAAAACCGTGCACGTCATCTGCTATTTCAAAATAAAACACAATATGCGATGAGAAATACTTCCTGGTTCTGGATTTATCAGTACCACAGAACAATCCGATGGTCAATCCCTGATCCATGTGGACCCCAACAGGACTTTTAACTGCTAACTGTGTCTGAAGGTAACAGCATAAAGGAACATAGTTTACTTTATTAAACACGTGTAAACCTGCAAAAACAGAAACTGTAAAATCACGTTGCTTTTTCATATAGAGTAGAGGCTCAACGGTCACTGAATTATATCCAAATTAGCAGGAAATAGACCAAAACAACCTGTTGTGAGCATGTTGTTTCCTCTATACTGAGCCCAGCTGGCTGGACCAGGGCTGGACTACACTGCTGCCACGCTCCAAATATGCATCCTGTATGCGATACCCAGGACTGATCTACGGAGCAAATATGGAATGCGCTCAATACCGATCCTGTATGTTCTCGGCTTTAGACCGTCTCTCATCTTCTTCTGAGATGCTTTTTGAGTGATAAGAAGAACACAGGGAGGTCCTTTAGTATATCTCTCCTCTTGATGCCTGGATTGAGATGCGACGTCTCACCTCTGCATACTAAGACGACGAGAGAAATGTTAAACTTAAATCTGTGCTGATGGTTGCTGCAGACTCGCTCTCATACTAATCTTCTCTAAACTTTGCCTGCAGAAGTGACACCTGCTGAGCTTTTTCAATAACAGGAGTACGGCGTTAGAGAAGAGGACGATAGATAAGAAGTTACTCTCTACATGGATCATAATGATAATAAGAGAGGTAAGGAGCGGATAGAAAGCCAATCTGTTTAAGTTTCATGCTGCGTTCCTCTCTGCACAAATAGCATGATCCGATCAATGTCGACTGTTTGCACAACTGGATAATATGCACCGTCTGCATCTCTACATGCTTTCATAACACAGAGAGGAGATGTGACTGGCGAGAGATTCATCAGCAAAAGTTTCTCATTGTGGATATGAGTGACTGTAAGCCGATTTTGGTCTTATTAACTGTAATTATAAACAGGGACTTCAGTCTTAATTTGAAGTCCTTGGAATTCAACGGGGAACCACAAACCCGTGAAGAAACGTTAAGGCTTCATAAACTCAATAACAAGGTATCACTGTAGTCCATAAAAACCCACTCTTCTGTGAAATCAAATACTCCCTGTGCTTCACAGATCATCATTTCTAAGTGCCGGAGAAGGTGAATAAGGCTCCACGTTGATGTGCATATAGAGCTTTGGAGTGAGATCCCATCACGAGCGATTACTGCAGACGCATTTGGAGATGCACAATCTAGTCAGTTTTGCTTTGAGCTGCTTATTAATGATCAGCCAGACAACACTGTTAACACGATTATATAAACTAGGGATGTGCACAGTTATTCGGATATTTGTGTAATAATAATATTCGTTTATGCTATAGAAAAAAAAGAAAAGGGGAAAAAAAAGCAAAAAGCAAAAAAAAGCTTTTTTTTTTTTTTTTTTTAAATTACGTTTTTACCGTCATGTCTTAATAAAAGTGTGCATTAAACAAGCTAAAATGTGTGGATCATGTGTGTGTCTCTTTCTGTCTGGCTTGCTGCTCTGGTCTTGCAGCGCTGGCCTGCAGGTTAACTTCCTTAGAGTAAATCAAGACATGCGATCAGCCAGAGCGATGTCGGTGAGAAAAAAGAGCAAAGTTTAAGTCTAGTTTAGAAAATAAACATTATTGAACGTGATGTTGTCTGACTCTGAAGACTCTTCATTATGTGCTTATGGTGTGAGGCAGGCCGATGACGCAGTAGGCTGCTTGGCTTGAGTGCAGCGGAGTGGAGTTTAATTGCTTTGATCTTTTACATACTTTATGTCATTCTCCAGCGCTAAAATAAAATTCTGTAACATATTTTTAATATTATAAGCATGGCTTTCATGTACTCTTAATATTTATTTCAGATGATATCTGGCCATATAGATTGACATGTGCTCAATTTGGGCTATTTTCTGGGAGTTAATTAATTTTCTTGTAATCGAATATTCGGTTTCAAAATGGTTGTTTAAACGTCAGTGAAATTAAGCGCTGGGAACATCCCTACTATAAAAACTCACAAATGATTATAATGCAATAGCAATAATCATAACACATTATGAAGCATTTTATCATGACTTACAAGGTCAGGTATAATAATGTGTTATAACTGTTAACAACTCACTGACAATGCCCACATAGATAATGCAATGGAACTGATGAGTGATAAATGAGCTTATTTACCATCTTCGGGTTGAAGCGGTTGTGGTTCAGCTCTCCAACAAAGGTCAGTTTGTTTGGCCCCGTCTGTCTCACCAGGTGCTTCTTCACTCCCTCTATGGCCTGAAGGTAGTCCTCCAACAGACTGGTTCAACAGAAACAGAGACAGTTGTAGATCTAAACACCAGCATCTACACCATTACAGATGTTAGCCAGTCTGTTTCAGGAAATTCAGCTTTAGCAAGACTAAAGTCAGTGTCGCCAATTACTCTTCAAGTGGAGACATAAAAGGGAAAGTGGATGAACTGCTTGCATGAAATATTGAAAGTGGTTCAGTTAGCAGCTTTCTCTTGTGTCAGTCAGTTTGATTTAACTCTCCTTTTCTTAGAAATATTAATATTTTTTCCACACTTGTCTCAGTACTTTTAAACATTATAAATTACAATTTGATCTTTGCAGAAATATCATCTTTTCAAGCTCTGATGCACAGTTAGTTTTACAGCTCTAATGCTCTACTTTGAACTCTCCCACAATCAGCAAACAGGCTCAAAAGTGTAAAGGTGGAATTACTCTTCTTCTGTCTTGCCTCCCTGGATCCATTGTTTCAGCAGGTACTCGTAGTAGCTGTCTGCTCTGGCTCCAAGCGTGTAGACCCCTTTGTGGGTGAACTGGCCGCTGTTGGTGTTGATGAACATGGGCACCAGGCCGTCATGTTTGCCCGGAAGCTTGTGGACCAGCCTCATCACCTCATTTGCAACTTCCTAGAAAGGTTAAAAAAACAAGTCAGACTACGAGTAAGAAACCTCAAAGTCTCCTTTCATATACTCTTCTTTTTTGAGCAACTGTCTATGAATACTATCAGAAATTTTAAAATTCAAGTCAGGCTCAGACAAAAGGGACATATTTACATATTGACTGAAAACACTGGGGGAGTGTCTCCTCAGTTATTTAATATCTGACTTTATCTGGACAAGAACCCTCCATCTAAATGGAGAAAATATCAATACTGACTCCTTAAACTGAAATAATTCCATGTGAGATTTGATGCTCCTTGTATCCTGACCTGGTATTGTGGGTCCTGGGTGAGGCGGCTCAGGTCTCTGAATTCTAGCTGAATGCTTGTAACTTCGGCTAGCGTGCTGTCTGACGTCCATCGAGGGGGGTGTGCCGTTCCCTTGCCGATATTGACGTCAGAGAACGGGATCTTCGAGGGAGTTTTAAAGGCAGGCATTAACCTGGACCCGAGATCTTTCTGTATGTGCAGAGAAAAACAAAACCACAGGTGAAAACTCTTTCCCTTTGACTCCTTCAAATTCAAGTATTGCAACAAATCGGAAGTCACTTGTTCTCTTGCAACCTTGATAATTTAGAGGAGGGGTCGCTGAACTCATTAGCTCTAAAACCTGTGAGGGTAATTGCCATTTGATTGTATCTGATTTCATGAAAAGCCTGAACACAGAGCTGTTTTTTATAACCTTGTATGACTCACGGCTTTCTCAAAGAAGAGCTGGTCTCCTGTCAGATGGTAGGTGCTCAGCAGACCTCCAAGGACACGGATGGTTGTCTCAAACAGATTCACATCCACGTTCTTGTCGAAATTGAGGTCGTTCTCCACCCAAGTCTTCGCTTCTGCAAACTCTGTGATGGCAAACGTCAGAGAGGAGAGGTATTTTTGATGACATTTAATAAACACGGGAGATCAGCCGGCTTTATCAGGTGGTTTGGTAACAGGCTCCACTGGTTTTAAGATGCACTCCTGCGGCATTGTTATTAAGGACATTGAAGCGTCAAAAAAAAAGATGAAAGCTGATGCAGAAAAAAAAGAGATATCATCTTTTCGGGCATTTTTGGCTCTTTTTTAATCAAAAACATTACTCACGGCAGAACTTGACAACTCACAAGTTGTGTCTCGCTCTTAATAACCAATGTAGCCTTGAGCAGATATGAAGATTGACTGGTAAGTTATTAAGTCAGTATGAGAGATTCTGTGTTTGACAGTACCTTCTTTCAGGCCCAAAATCCACATGGTGTCCAGGGAATCGATGAGAGTCAGACCCAGACCGAACCACTCGCCAAAGGATTTGGAAATCGGCTTGAGCTCATCGTGACCCCAGGAGTAGCTCTTATAGCCTTTCCACGCATGTCTAAAAGCTTCGCGTACAGCCTCCAGTCTGTCCACAATTCCAGTAGAGACTACAAACAAAAGATTGAATCAGAAATGAAAGTGTGAGAGCTTTAGATGATGAGGAAATATGCTGTGTCATATGCTCCTTGAACGCAGCGAGGTGTTACCTTTCATCAGCGTCGGTCGAAAGTAATATAAAAAAGGTGTTGGGATTGAAACAGCATACACCGACAGATAGTGATAACACTAAGTTACAGAATACGTTAGGCAAAAGTTTTGAAGTGAGATCTAAAAGTTGGGCAAGTTTCTAGAGGCAGGAACAGCAAAATTAAAAGAAATGTGAATCGTCTTAGTTAAACATCCATGTAAATCTCTGTGTACTTGCTTTATAAGTTCTTAATAAGAGTTTTGGACAAGTTCTTCTCAGTGTGGATTATTTCTCACCTTCCAGGGGTACAGGGTCAGCAGGGTTGGCTGGGGCTGGAGGTGCTGCAGCCTCTTTTTCATTGGCTGAGGGTGGAGGCTCAGTGGCTTGATCGGCTTCGATCATCGCTCCTCTCCAGCTGCGTGACAAAGGCAGAAACCTGTCACTCACCTGCAATATTCATACCTGCTTCTTTAATACTGCAACAAAGACTGCAGGGCATGGGTGCAGCAGGAAACTGTTCTTATGACTCTCCTCGGAGAAATGAAGTACATTTCTACACACCATCTTTAGAGTTCTTTCAAGGGTTAAGATATCAAAAAAACAAAAACAGAACTCACCTGACAATTTTCTTTTCCTTCTCTTCCTCCTCTCCTTCATCTTGAACCACCTCTTGCTCTTTCTTCTCTTCACCCACCGTGTCTGACATGTTCCCATCTTTCTGCAGGCTCGGTGGACCTCTCTTGTTCGGGAATGGCTTTTTCTGCGGAAAAAAAACAAAACAAGAGGTAGAGATAAAAACAGGAGGAGCAAAACCGACATCTGATGAAAGAGGACACATACACATTTATAAGTTGTAAAGATTTCATGTTATAAGAATCACAACAGACCAAGAAGTACAGACCGAAAGGCACAGGTAGAAAACATTAAACAAGAACTGAAACTACAAACCTTTTCAAAATTTTGAGTTTCTAAAATTCTCAAAAACTATGCCTTACATCAGGGTTCCTACACAGATGGAATTTCCATACTTTTTTATACCCTACTTTTTAGAATTATTTTTGGAAATACCTAATTTTCTACTTTAGAAAACAGTATTTTATAACTGTGGTAATAAAGTCTGTTAACATAAACATTTTTCCATACTTAATTTTTTTATTTACAACATTTATTTATTTATCTACAACAAAAAATAAAAAAAATAAGTAAGTACAAAAATAAAAAAATTAAAAATACAAGTAAGTGCTGGAATTCGGGTTTTATAGATCTTGAAATACATAAGATGTTAAGAAATGAAAAGTAAAAAGAAAATAAGTTAAATGAACTACTGTGCGTTAAGAGAAATACAAATGTAGACAAGTCGGTGAAAACTATAAAGTCCATAAAAGAGGTAGAATTTGAATTGTATGATTATAAAACATCACATAAATATATTTCAAAAAGAAAACAACTAGAAGAGGAGAGTGCTAATTCAAAATGATGAGAGTTTCTGAACGTGATCTAGGAAAGGTCCCCCCTTTTTAAGACCTGGAAATTGATCAAATTACTTCCATACTTGCATAGGAACCCTGTTTAATTTATCTTTTAGTTGCCTGCTATCTTCAGACATTAAGCTCAGTTCACACAATCTAATTAAATTGAAGCAAATAAATGGCGGGGCAAAACCTCTGATCCTCCAACACAGACGAGTGTGTGCCTGCAGAGTTCAATCTTTGACATCTCTGGCTTTAAAAAAAAGACATTATAAATAATCAGAATTTTTGTTTGTTGAAATAAACTGAAAAAATCAGCTCGAACCTTGATGGGAGGTTTGGGCAACATGGGCACATTTGGTGCTTTGGGCTCCAACACAGGATCAGGAACAACAACCGGACCTGCATCTGGCCCCACATGAGGCCCCTCCACAGGAGCCAGAGCTTTACCCGCATCTTCTTGACCCAGTACAGGCTTCACCCCTGGAAGAACAGCCTTCAGCTCCCTGTCATTCAGCTCCAGCCAGTCATCTCTGTCAGACAACCCTGCACACCGACAACCACGCACACACACACATAAGCAAAGACACAGAAAAAAGCAGAGTTCATACTATTCCTAGTAGTTTTGTAATGAAGCTTTAAATAACTGTGATTCAGTTGTCGAACAAAACCCTTCACAAACATTGAAAACAGAGTCTCGCCCCTCATATTTGTAGAGAATTGTCTTCTTTTTCTTTGCTAAGCCCCCGACTGAGTCTTCTGAGCATACAAGAAATCAGCTCTTTCCAAGTTTCATAACATTTAGGAGAAACTTGTTTTTCACATTTCCCTACTCTGGAGAGATTTTCACAGAGCTCAGATTTTGGCTGTGAATAAAAAAGAAAATGTTCGCAGAGTGGATACTAAGCCCCAACAGGGAGAGAAATAGCACCATTTTTAGATCCAGCCATCTTAGTGTGGACGTGGTCTGAAAATCAAATACAGTACATGTGGAGGTATAAAACTGCCAGAGCAAGCAGGTGTGAACAAAGAAAAATGAGGCCAAAACAAATCCAAACAAAGACTGCAACTATCACAGAGCCTCATGGAGCTGAGACTTCGTAATTTACTGCAATTTAGCTTCAACGCCAACCACAACACACAGGCAATCCAACTCATTAGAATCAACTAGTCATGAAGCTGGACCGTTAAATTAATGACTGACTTTGTCCCTACCAGTATTTGCATTTTTATGTGCGTGTGAGAGAGCTTAGAGTTTATGTGGGCATTGTTTACCTCTCCACTGCTCTGTGAGGCTGGGATAAGAGAGCAATCCAAATATGAGCAGCAGGGCCAGCAGGAACAAGATGAGGCTTCGCTGGAGCCGAGACAGCTGCTTCCATTTCTGTAGGCAGGAAATAAAACACAGAGCTAACTACACAGAAACATGTCGAACAGCTCTGCAATTTAAATCAAGAGCATCTGTCAGCAGATCTAAATATCCTCCCACTTCTTTATATCTCTTGAAAATGTCGTCTTTAAACTAGCAGAGTGAAAGGAGAGCCCGCTGGCCTTCCTCTTTAAGCTTACTCGGTACGAACTCAGCATCCCGCTCCACCTGACCGCTCGCAAATAAACAATCTAACCAACTCTATTGGCAATGCAGAGGCGAGGATAGAGCCGGGGTCCCTCAGGGGGAGAAAGCTAACAGGCAGAGAGGCACCATTCTGCTACCTGCTCTAATTAACACCTGTGCAACACCGTGAAAGTATTGAGCCATCGTCTGCAGGCTCACAGAAGACTTGATCTCAGGGGATATTTTTTTACTTTACCCTGCTCAAGTTCATTCAGCAAAACAACACCGACAAACTCAAGTGAATATAAAGGTGCATCTTTAAGAAAATGTGTGGTGGTGGGACTCATTACTGACCCAGAATGTAGGGGAGTCCGGGGCTTGCTGTCACACTTTTCACGCTCTTATATATTTCTTGGAATCAATACATCATATATAAACAAAATGTGTTCCAGATGAAAGACCAAAGTCTCAGGTATATATTTCATATTCATGTCATTTTCATATCTTGTGTCAGTGCAGAGTTTATAAGATTTTTTGGGACTGATGCCGATACCGATTATTAGGGGGGGTGATTACCGATTAATCGGCCGATTTTTTAAATTTTTAATGAAGTTATAAAACACATATATACTGCAGATATCTACTGTATACTGTATACTCTAGATATACTGTAGGCTACTAGTCTTCGCACCGACAGGAAGACCGACTGATCAAACTCAAACCAGAAAAGCGTTTTCAATGACCATTTACAGGATAAGTCGGGGATTTTTTAAATTGCGAAAAATTTTTGAAGTGAAACCGAATCTTGTTCTCTGCATTTTATTCCTGAAAATATTGGCGAAAATCGGCAAGTTTTGGCCAATTACCAATTAGTCTCAAACGGGCTAAAATTGGCCAATTTAATCGCCTCCTGATAAATCGGTCGGGCCCTCTCCCCTAACAAGTCCATATGTATTATTGCTAGGATTTTTATCTGGAAGAAGCTTATTTTAAAATATATAGTTTTTTTTTTTTTTTTTCACTTTGGGTTGTGCTAAATGGTTAATTGGCGCTCGTCTCAGCTCACAATGTGCCCTTCTCTTCTCAGACAGGACACGACCCCTGACCGTGTAAAGCAGTGGTTCTCAAGTCCAGTCCTAAAGCCCCCCCGTCCTGCATGTTTTGGATGTTTCCCTGCTCCAACACACCTGATTCAAATGATCAGCTCGTTATTAAGCTGACGAGCTGATCATTTGAATCAGGCGTGTTGGAGCAGGGAAACATCCAAAAAATGCAGGACAGTGGGCCTCGAGGACTGGACTTGAGAACCACTGGTGTAAAGGAATAAAACCAGTATTCCACTTTTTAGTTGCACCCTCTGGTGGCAAAGATAATTGCAATGTGAAAACTTATCCATGTGACAACAAGCCCCGGTCTCCCCTATATCTTTTATGGACGTGACAGTTGAGGCAAACATGCATGAGTGTGCTGTGTGAGTCTCAGTGTGCGGCCCAAAGAGACTCTCCTGCCTTTTTCAACATGACAGGTTCTGCTGTAAACACATTTCACCATGGTGGGTACTGTATTAAAATTCTAGAGATGTATGTTTTTGAAGGGTTTTGAAACACATAGTTTAAGCGAAGTCCTTGGTATAGGAGGATGGCGACAAAACTTGCTCCTTCCTCTGATTTCCTATTTCCCCATACTCGAAGAAAACAGAGCTCTGACTGCGGCTGATAAGATGTAGTTTAAATTTATGGAAGGATAGTCAGATATTGAGCTGTCAGGGGATGAGGAGGAGATGCAGACTGTCGGCTGAAGAAGAGTTATGGGAACATATTATTGATGCTGCCCGTTTTGGATTAAAATTTGGAGGCAAACTGAGGTTCTGAATTTTTAATTAAAATGCAGAGACTCGAGGTTGGAGAAAGGTGGGCAGAGAGGTATCTGTCTTCAGTACTGAGTTTCAGTCCTGATCAAATGTAAAAGGGTGGAACAATTGTAAAGAAAAATTAACATATCCTTGTGAAAAGATTCATTTAATCTTCAGTTGACATACTTATGAGAGAAAAACGACACCTTTATAAAGACAGAAAAATGACTTCAGCTTTCTGTGAAAATTACAAATGTCAATTTGTAAACAGGCTGCTGTTAAAGATTTTAGACAGTACTAATGATTTTACTGTCTACATAAGAAACCACAGGGAGCACAGAAGGTGCTTCTGTCTTTTCTGCCTGGAGTTTGCATCGTGTCCCTCCCTCGGGTTCTCCGGTTTCATCCCACACTGGGTCAACATGCTCCTTATTAAATTGCCCTTCGGTGTGAGTGTGTCTGGATGTCTGCCTGTGGGCTAGCTCTGTGATAAACTGGTGACCTGTCCAGGGTGAACCCTGCCTCTCCCCCAGTGACAGCTGGGATAGGCCCCCCGACAACCCTGAAGCAGATAAGCAATAATCCAGGGGTATTCAGTTAGAAACATGTACGCTAATATTCTCAGAGTGCTGACACCCATTAATACACACTTTTTTATTACTCACTTAATGAATTTATAATCATCAAATGCAGTCCCAGCTTGATGAAATTTAAGGTTTTCATAATAATCTGATATTTTTAAGCTTTGAGGTTCAGGTTTGCAGGTTTGCTTGCTTTACAAAGAAAGTCACTGTCTATTTTAGAAAATGGCATTTGCCCAGGAGTGGTCTCGTAACCTGGCAGTTAAGTGTCTCTACAATAACGTGATGACAGATGTCATATTAGGTGTCACATGATGGCAGTAAAGCAGGTCCTATTCATAGAGAAAAGCTCTTAACTGGAGGTGAATTTTCAGGGTGGATAGTTAGCAGACCATGATTCATTTTCTGGACCCGCACTGAGGGGGAGAAAAGGAAACTCACTCGCTCTACAGGTCTGCAGCAACTCCCGCTCCTAAGAACAAAAGCTTTCCTTTGAAAATGCTGAACAAAACCAATGTGACTGGTAATAAATCATGCAGAAAAGTCCGCTTGTTAGCTTCCAATAGCTTTCACATCTTTCATGGCTTTACTCTTTATATGACTTTCCACTTCAATAAAGGTTATACATTATAAAGATATGGCATATGTGCATTTTTTTGCTTTGTAAAAAACAGACTCAGCCAAGATGCCAATCTACAAAAAGATGATTTGCAGAGAATAGTTTTTTCAGGATTCATCCACCGTCATCATATTTGACGGCCCGCATGCAGAGGGGGGGCTCTGAGCCAGATTGAGATCTCTACCATGAAGCCTAGAGGAGCAAAAGTCTCCTGATATACTGCTGAAATAAAATGTTACAGATCAGTCGATAAGAGCGCTGCCATGCTTTTTCAATTCAGTGAAACTCGTAAATTATGTTTGTGTTGTTTGCTGATGGAGCTCTTTGAAAATAGCTGACGAAATAAATCTGATCGATGATGACTTAGCATAAATGGATAAGAGGATACACTGTTTGTTAAATGTTGAGGGGGCAAAGTCTGTAAACTAAAAGGATCACACATCGGTAGGATTCAATATACATCAGAATGATTTGATCCGACTGGAAGTTAATATCTTCGATAATAACTTTAGTGTCGTCATGTGTCAATTTGTTTTTTACTGACTGTTTCTTTCATTGAATCTCAGTGCTACAGGAGGTGAGTGTCTCTTTTATGAGTGCAATGATACAATAAAAACCATATAATCTTATATCAGACCATCTTTTCTTTTTTTTAGGTTGGGATTATTTGTTATAACTGCGCCTTAAAAACCTACAACACGAAGCCTCAACGAGAAGTGGTTCATGATAACAAGCTGGAGTGCAGCACATGTTTTGTCGACTGAAGCACTTGTATCTGCATCCATTAAATAGGTTTATTGGGGCGTCTCCTAATGGGAATTACATGCGAGCCAATTTAAAATCAAACACAAATTATCAACATACTCGGGGGATGAGAGCAGATCGTGTTATCAGCACATGTTAACGAATCCCTGCAGGATTTTCTGAACTTGTTTTTTTTTTTTTTGTTTTGGGAAGGAAGGAGCTATAATAACAGCAAAAACAACAAAATATTCCTGAGCAAGGAACCTGCACAGACGTATGCACCTGGGACATCTTTCTGTCATTATACATCAGGTTACACTGCTATCCAGGAAAGTTTCTTTTTTTTCACACATGCTCCCCAGAATAGCTCTCTGGCTCCTTTTCTCTGGTTTTGACTTTTCTCTGCAGGGTAAACTTTGTGTCTAACTAAAAGTGTCAAATGTTGTGCATCGAACACAGAGGGGTTAATTATGCAACTGGTGTGTGCTACACTTAACTCTAAAACCTGTTAATGCACAGAGTGCACAAGTCAATCTTCAGTTACTCTCCATGCTGAGGGAACCTTGACAGATATATTAAAAGGCCTATTTTTAGAGCAGAATGAAATATATTTACAGCCTGGTATGAAGAGCAGTTTTGGCCTCTGTACCCTATTTCCTCTATTTCCCTGTTACCAACAACCATACAGTGATTAATTTTCAATCTACTAATGCATTTTGATTGTATGGAGAAATATACGCATAATAAGTCATTACTGAAGACATGGCTGATTTGCCTGACAGGTGAATGAATAGGGGTGGAAATCACGATACGATATTATTGCTATTTTTAACATTTTGCAATACAGTAGGTATAGAGATACAAAATATTGTGATTCATACAATTTTTTAACTGTTTAGTTAATTTAGCATTTGTCTTTCCTTTATGTTTGTCTTATTTACACAGTATTTTATTTTCATGTAGCACATCTTGCAAACCATATATGTATTTGTTGTACTAACTTTCTCCTGCTCCATGATGTCCCCTTTGCCAACCTCACCGGACAAACAGTTGATTTTATTTTTCCATTATCATAGATTTGACTTCATATTAGCAATTAATTTGAAAAATCGATACTTGGTAAATGAGTCGATACGATATATCACCAGACAAAATATTGCGATACGATGCTGTATCGATTTTTTCTCCCACCCTATGAATGAGCTGTTGCTATATGCAGGGCTTGACACTAGCTTTTTTTCACAGGGAGCAAATATTCAAAAATTGCCCACAAAAATCTTATGAGGACAAATTAGGGAAATAAAGAGGAGTGTCTTATTGGTTGACAAGAGTACTATTATTTGGAATCAATTTTAGATTAACTGGTCCCATGACATGGAAGCTACTGAAGCAAAGGATCAAAATTTGCCTTTAAATTTAACACAAATTTTTTTAGACAAATTAGGGAAAATAAAGAGGTGTGTCTTATTGTCTGACCTTAGAACTATTATTTGAAATCAATTTTAGGTCTTTCGGTCACATGACATGGAAGCTATTGAAGGAAATCAGCCTTTTCTGAGAACATCAACTGGTAATTTATTGACAGTCCCTTATTCAACACCCGACATTGACAGCTAAGGTGCCGAGTAGATTTAACCGTGCTGCTGATGCTATTCCCAGTTATTGAGAATGAGAAGACACCGGTAGATCTGCAGTAAATGTCTGTCAGATATCCAACCTAAAACTAATTTCATCGTGGTATTTACATGAAAAAACATTTGTTGCCCCGGCTGATTTTTTGTGCCCCTAAATACCTTTTACAATTATCACACATCTATTTTTAGTCACAAATGCGAGTGAAATGGTCGCATTGTCGAGCCCTGTATATGCTAGGCATTGAGGCCTCACCTTGTTTCTAAACATGCTGAAGATTTATGAAGTCATCTATCCAATATGGGGACCACCATCTTTTGTGCCTCCTCCTCACAAACAAACTGTTGACATCACTTATAATATACACTCTATGCTTTCATCTGATTGAGCAGTTACACAAATGTGATCACACTGAGGTTATAAACACAGTTGCAGAGATGAGAGATTAACATGGAAACACTGAAAGCCCCCCTGAGCGAGGGAAAAGCAAATAAAGGTATGACAGGTAATATGAGAAGAGCTACATGATATACCTGCAGATCAAAACCAACAAAGTATATGACAGAAGCTCACAGGGCACAAGGACGAGAGAGAGGCATAAGAAATTTCAAAGTAAAGATAACAAGATTAAAGAAAATGTGGAGGAGACAGGAGAGGCGGTGAGATGAGCGGAGTTTGTTTTATCTCACTGTAGTAATCAGACACATAATGTGCTGAGGAGAGGCTTTTATCTGAAGAGTTTGAAAGTTCAGGGCAGGCTGCTCCACAACAAAGAAGGTGTATGAAAGTGAGAGGGAAAGCATGAGAATCGATTTGTTACAAAAAAAAAGATAGATTTCTTAGGGGAAGGGATGATCTGTCTCAGCCAAAATCAGAGGCATAACCAAGCAGTAGGATATTTGAAGCCGAAGCCTTATTGTACATCCTCTGTCAGAACTAAATGACATTTACCTTTGGCTGTTTGTCTTGTGAATATCTATCTTCACTGTAGTGACATGGTTTCTAAATTTAAATTCCAAAAATGTGCTGCTTCACAATCAAAGATGTGTGAAAGCTGGCATGGAGGGGCACGTTTAGCTGTGAAATCTGAATGAATTTAGTGTCAACCAAGTGCTACAGGACCCAAGAGTCTCCCACAGATGCCTCACTTGGTTTGACATGGTGATAGCAAAGGCCTGGGCATATGTTTAACAGTATTTTCATACACCTCTATTGTGATCAAAGTCGACCCAGAACAGTCGTCTCTCAAGTGAATCTCTCAAAAATGAGCCTAATTCTCTCATACTTCAAACTCAATGTTTTTTATAACACAGCTGTAAAACTCTAACAGAGTCAAGCTTTGCATACTGCAGCATATGACGACTCACCCTCCAGCAGGACTGTCTCCGGTGTTTGCCGTTGTTATAAGAGTGACTGTGTGGATCACTGAGGGTCAGAGAGATGAAGTCCTTTCTGGAAGGCGGATACATCCTCTGATCGGGGCAGACAGTTGTGGGTCATAGAAGCTGCACTAAGACAGAGAGAAAAGAAACAGTAAACCTTACAAAAAGTGTCCCAAAATGATGTGAGTCCATCTTTATTCAAACACATTCGTTATACTAATGAACCATATGTAATCAGTTATATTACCTAAAATGTCAGCCTTAAAACTATTTTCTGCCTTCAATTAGACACCTGTTCGACCAATTGAGTTGGATCTCGAAGACTCCAAAATCAGGCAACTGGACTGTATAGAGTTTGCACTTACACTGCAGTTCTAAGCTCTCTCCCCAGGAAGCTCCACAAACATCCACACCTGGGACCATGTGACCACAACACCTCACATGAAAGGGGTAGTTGACAACGACCCATTCAGGTTAACGACTCTCGGGATAAATACCCGGAGATGTTTTTTTTTTTTGCAATTAGATAAATACCTGCTCCCCTCACTAGCTATTTTAGAACTGAAGAAGCTTCTTGGATAAGAGGCAAAATGTCTTCTCAAACGCTACAAAGTCCAGTTGCCTGATTTTGGAGACTTTGAGATAACCATGACGTGGATAAATGAGAATCTACATGGACTTTACAAAGGATAATTTTTTGACAGGGCTTGCTTTTAGATGATATAAACCAGCAAAAATGAAAGTTATCGCATATGTCTCACAACTTGTCTACACGACACAAATTTCCATTATTTTGGCACAAGAAAGAAACTTGTAATCTTGGTAACTTTTAGAGATATATTATGTGAGAAAACAGACACTTGAATTTCCTTCTTGGATTAATTAAGTTCTTCTTCTTCCTCTTATTTCTGCTTCAGTACCATGGACAGCTCATGATAAGAGTCTGATGGCAGTTTTGCGCATGCTCAGGAGTGAATCTGAGGATACGGGTGTCAACACTTGATGAACTCACGGGAAACTATTTGAAAGCACTGATTGATCATAGATGGTGTTCTGTTTTTAACACAAAACACGTTAATGGAGATAAATACTCAGGTTTGTCAGTGGTAAACATTTTTCACAATATCAGACATCTGCCAAGTAATAAAGCAATACAACACCCTGATTATTTTCATCTCAGACTGCTCTGTAGCAAACACAGGCAGTGCTAGTTTAACCGATATCTCCTCAATGTGACTCGCTGACAACATTTTCATTTGTAAATTCGACAAAAAGACAGATAAGTCGCTGTAGCGTTTAACTAAACGAGCTTTATCAGTTTATCGACTACAGCAACGAGCTAATAAGGTTCAATAGACTCACTGTCACTTTAAAGACATCCCGGACCTCTACACAACCCAAACATGCAGTACATACACAACGATTAAAGTCAAAAACACACACCCAGGTGCCTCTCTCTCTCTCTTTCTTTCTCTTTCTCACCTTTGTGCTTCACAGCGACGTTTTCTCTCCTGGATGCTACACAAGCTGTTAGCTAACCACGATGGGAAAGCTGCTTTATCACTTGTTTTCCAAACAGCAGGGATTCACAGATAGGTTGTCAGAAAACCTAAAAACAGACGGAACAATTTATCTGACTGTCACTATAAACGAATTCAGTGTTAGAAAAATTAAACTAGAGGAAGCATGGTTAAAGTTGAGCGACTAAGCTACCACAGCCAGATGAGAGACAGAGGCGGAGAGCTGACGACGACTCACGTAAGACGTCACGTGACGTAAACTTACGTTGCAGCTGAGCGTTAACCCTTTACATCCCTACACCGTAGTGTACTCATAGACTGTATAGCCCATGAGCATTCCCAACTGGTATTTACATTCATTTTTATTTTAATTTGGTGTTTTATGAATTGAAAAATTATTTGGTAACACTTTACTTGACGCCTATCTCTATAAGGCACCATAAATATATGTATCATGCATTATAATCACGCTATAGCCCTGTAACTATAGTTATAAACACTCATAAATGATCATCATGCTTTATAGCAATAATCACAACACATAATAAAGCATTTTATCATGACTTATGAGGTCAGGTATTATAATATGTTATGCTTATTGCTGTAAAGCCTTATGTTTATTTATTTTAATAAAAGTATTAGTATTAGTATTTTTAGTAAAAACCTTTTACTTTTTTTTAACACTGAAGTATGACAATGACACCCTTTGTTACATGATTCTTGCCCCTGATGACATAGTTTACCTTTTTGCAGTGAAGACAGCCATGACTTAAACTGGCAGTGAACTGGAATTTACTGAAAAGCTATTATTGGAACATTACAAGAGTTGTTCATACAAATTTGCACAAGCTCTTTCAATTAACTACCCACTTTAAAATCTACAGCAACAAATAAGTATTGCATCCTGACTGATCACAATAAGGTTAAAATGATGTGAAGCAAACCATGAAAATTAAAAAAAAAAAAAAAAACGGAGAAATTTCAATTTGTTTGGTGTAGTCAACAACAATTTGTAACCAAAAGGTTTACTAATTGTTATATTTAGCATATTGTTATACACACTTAGTAAAGAACCCCCTGACAACTCTACTTAAGTTAATTCTTATGATTTTTTCCACTGCAGCTCATGCTACACCATTGATATATACTAAAATAAACAACTTAATAATTAGATATGATGAAGTACACTCATTGCAAAAATTATGTACCTCATTTTTAAATAAAACAATTTATTAAATGAGCTATTGGAGGGACCACATAAGACAGATGTCCAGCATGTAGTTTTATATATTTAAAAAAGATTTTTTTTACAAAACAAATATAGTAATAACAATAGTGTGTCTCAGCCAGCTAAGGCAATCAAATGATAAGACTAAATTCAATCAAAAACAGAAACAGAAAACACTGTAATTTACACCAAGCCAGAAAAGCAAACCAGCGGTTTGGATGCACAACTTTAAATACAACTTGCCTTGTGGAGGTCTAAAATAAGGACATTTCCTGGTTACATGATAAACATACAGATGTGACGGTTTTCCACAGCTATGAATTTGGTAAAAACAAGAACCCTCATTTTTCTGAACTGCAATGCTGCTGTCAATGATGAGCAGGTAGACTATAAACACATCGTAAACTCCCTGAGATCTCAATCATATGCCTGTGTACTCCACGCAGAGTGTACTGCACACTGCTCATCAGTCACTGCTGATATTGTTTGGGTGAATACATCACATCCTGACCCTGCTGAGAAGCAACAAGCCTTGCTTATTTTCTCTTGAACCTAGCACTACTCAGATTGAATGAAGCACAAATCTGGGTTGACAGCAGTTACTCAAAGCTGAGCGGGGGGTGATGGGCACTTCTGTTTACCAGTGTGCCAAAGAAATTCTGCAAAGCTGCAGCCATAGCTAAGCATGACCTTGAAGGTCCAGCAGAAGAAATTAAGTTGTAGCTGCTAAACTGTAGTCTTTGGTTTTCCATTGAATATTTGCAGAGTTTCTTTTTAAAGGGCTATTCACAAGTGTTGAGGCGGTGTAAGCTGTATATCTAAGGTACATCTGCAGCTAAAACAAAACACTTGAAGGACTGACTACTTTCCCCTTTATCTTTCATCTCAAGTTTTCATTGCATACTTGGTATAATTCAATGCAATAAAAAGTCTTTAACTGTATGCATTTGAAGACATTTTGACAATTAACAGATGATGAGATATGCTAAGATACAAGTAAGATGTCAATGTTGATTGTAACAGGTTAACCCCTGTGGCTTCTTTGAAGAGATGCTGCTTATTGCGCATTTTTCATTTCGACCCAGCTCCTCAATCTGGGGCTTCCTTGACATGTTTTGATTTCAAAACTGCAAGAGGTGACTAACAAGGGTTAACCACTTTAGAGTAGATGAATGGTAGTGTCAGTTGGGTTTCCCCAAACAAGTCTTATGAAAAGAGCAAGTTCAATAGGTTTCGAGTCTCTCTTTATATTCTCTCAATTTTTTTTTTCCTTTCATCAGTTATTTCTCAAAATAACCCTGCAATGTCATTGCAGAAAATGCTTGTCAAGGTCAGGAGTTTATGGCGCAGTTGTTAGAGGCTATTTTCAGCTGCATACAAATATGTTTAGAGTTCCAGCATGTATTTAGAGCAGCAGGATGATGTACGAGGGAGTGCTCAAGTAAATCTAAGAGCTTGTGGTAATGAAAGACCCGTTTCAACAGTTTTTGGACAACAATCGCAGTTTCTAGCATAGAGGACAGACATGGGGCTTTGGACATGCACTATTAAGTAAAACTAATTCAATGATGAATTTAGTCTTTTTAAACATTCAACATTTCTGATTGTGACATTTTAAGACTTATTTTAATGCAAAAAAGCGTGACCAAAATCTTGCATAAACAACGGCTTAAGTGCCCATAAGTGTATCATTAATGTGTCATACCTGAGATGTAAAAATGAAGAACTCTATAGAAACAAATAAAAAAATGTTTTGCACCATAACAAAATAGAGAAATTTGGCAGTATCAAGTGTGTATGAAACAAAAAGTCTTGGGGGGGGGGTTACACAGAAGTTGGGTATCAAAGGGAATCTTGATTAGCACCTTGGAATAAGTGACCCATCTGAGTGCACTGACAGAAGTCGTTGACTTCACTGGCCTGGACATACACCGCCAATGAGACGACAGTAGCTGTGTCTACATGCAGAGCACATTGTTAAGAGGTCAGGCCAGACACTCTGACTTTATACGTAAAAGGCAAATTATGGCAGAAGCCCACAATATGTGAAAAAAATCAAGCAACTTACAAAAACAACATTGTGTATAAAATGATAAAAACATACATTTTTAAATTATTCAAAACAAGATAAATGTCTCTGTAAACAAAATTGACTCCTCTGTGAGAAATCCATGGAGATACCTGTCCTCTCAAAATCATTTGATAAAGTCATTCAACTCGAGGGAAACAGGAGAGGGAGGGACATCTTCAGGAAAAAGTTGTTCCAGCTGTTGTCTTGGTGTCCAGGGTTTAAAACGAGGTCTGTATCCTGGATCTGAGAGTCTCGTGAGAGTTCAGCTTTGTAGCGCCTCTAGCTGAAACACACAGGTCCTATAGTGAAGCCGAAGGGGTGTGTGAAGTTTCCGCCTTCCATTACTGCCAGGTCTCTCAAAGGGAGCAGCTGGAGGTCCTCAAACTCAAACACAGACTCTCGAGTTCCAGAAAGGCTCCCCTCTCCGGGCTGACACATGCGAAACAGAAAACATCTTATTTAGGTTTAATCATCATGACTCATCGGTTCTCACATAGTAGGATATTTGCTTTGTGTTTTGTCTCAAATAGAACTTCAACTACTTTATTCCCTTCATCAGAGGGATGCTAGAACTTTTCCCAAGTTACATCTGGCTGTGAGCTGCATCAAGGCTCATGGCCAAATCTCCATGAGGCTGTCTTGGCACTAAAACAAAGCCTCTCTATCCATCTATACCAGGTCCATGGATGCTGTGGTCTTTAATCCAACTTTAAGAGTAAAAAAAAATAACACTACTCCCTCTAAAAATAATAAACTCATAACAGAAAACCCCAAATTTGGTCCTGACATACAAGCCTGAGAGTCCGGCATCTGCCTTTGTCAGGCAGCCAGTGAGCATCTGTGGCCCTCATTTTGGCAGTGTTCTCAAATTTTTTCCCACTCAGTCTTTGCCTGCAGCTTTTTGGTCAACTAAGCAAAAGACATCAATCTGACTGGCTGAACAGCTTGGTGAGTCAGAGTACGAGAGGAGAAAGAGAAGTGAGAGAACAAGCAGACAACAAGTCCTTTCTTTTTTACTTCAAAGTCTGACAAAACCAGAGACTTTTGGTTCTTATAAACATATTCTTCATCGCTATTAGCAACATTAGGAAAATCAGAGTGGTGAGCAAGAGCTGTGAAGAAAGGAACCAAATTACACTTTAATACAACAACCTACCATAGTGGCAGCTGTTTTAGATTTAGTTTTCGCGTTTGAAAAGAAACGTTGATTGTTTTCGTCTTAATTTGGTCTTTTTGTTTGAACTGGTTTGGAGGGGTAGTGTTTACGTTCAAGATTTCCCCCCAAAACTGGCACTTCCTCAGATCCTTCCTACCCCACCTTTAATGACTACTAACGATATAGTATACTCAAAGAAAAAGCCTGTTTTGCCCCTTCATGACAGTCCTCTGCCTGTGGTGGCATGGCTGGGAATCAAAAGCCTTACTTGTGCGGTCAATACATGTCTCAAAGTCATGAGAAGGTTTGAATAAAAGATACTGTGAAAGCTGAAACAGGTGAAATGTTGTTGGTTATTCCCAGGCCAGCCAAGACTTTACCTCAACAAGAAAAACTACAACAGCATGGCTTAACCCCCTCAAGCTTCTCAGGAGAAACTAGCGAGAGAATGTTCTACATACCACGCAATCTGTCAGTGTTCCCAGGTAACTCTGCTTCCTGCTGTCAGTGAGGAATTTGATATCCCTCTCAGTCTGGCCCAGTTTGTGTCCTGGATGGCAAGAGTAAGTCACCTTCTGGATGGCAGAGGTGCTGTGCAACCTCAGGAAACGCATCTGCACCACATTGGCGCCTGGATAGTAAAACTAAATGACAAGAAATAAGACTGTAAAGCATCAGTAATGGTCGCAGGTTTATAATGATCAATATTTGTTGGACAGAGCTGTACATTCAATGACTGGGAAACTAGATGCTCTAAAACAACACTACAACCTCGTGTCTTAAAAACAAATCTGTAAACAGATAAAAGTAAAACAGCTTTGATTCTTATTTTGTTCTTAGAGTGAATGACTCACCTGAAACCCCTGCTCCAGCTTGCTGAGCCACTGATAATTTCCGTCCTCAGTGAATTCTTCCATCCACGCTTTTATGGGCAACTGAAAAGGCAAACCAAAGCAGATCAGAATGCATACCCATACAGGTGCTGTCATATAAGAGACTTTTGAAGGTCAGTGACGTCCAGACAGCTGCTAATGAACTCCAAATTAACATTCTGCTCAAGCATGAACCAAAGGTAAATTGGATACCTCAGTAAGAGATGCATTCACTCCATGCAGCCTGAGACCAATCCGTATATTATTCTTTGGTTCACTGAGTCAATTCTTTGTGTTGGTATTTACTGTATAAGAGTGTGCATAGTGAGGTGAGAGGGGTTGCATGTTTTTATTCAGACTTGGGTTCAGAGTAATGAGAGAATAAATCTGTGTCTCCATTGTGCTGATGTGCTCTGGATGAATGCCGTGCCTTATTTAGCCACACATTGTTCTGCTCCCTTCTGCAGGGGAGGACACATTATTCATGCACAAAGCTAACATTGTTAAATACTTCTTAAAGGGCATCTACCCGCTAATACAGCAAATACAGTTATCAAAAGAAGCTGCTTTACTGCATATAATCAGACCTCAAATGGAGCATTATTCAAAGGCAGTAGACACTACATCATTATGTTATTTAAAACAAAATATAAAGCATATGTTTTCATGGGATACAGGGATGTACATTCGTAGTAACAATTATCATTATCATCGTTTTGTTGTTGTTGTTTGTTATTTTCACTGTGGTGATTTTTTTAATTCTTTTTTTTTGCTATTTTTACTATGATGATTAGTATTATTATATAATAACATATATGATATACATTTAAACCATTAGTGTAGATAAGGGGTGGGACTAGATAAGTCTCGACTTCTTCCCACTCCTTTTTGAACTCTAATAACTTTGTTGTCATTTTTTGTTGTATTCTTTACTTTTTTATTGTTGTTTCTTTTTTAGATGTTCAAAATAAACTTCAATCAATCAATCAATCAATCAATCAATCAATCAATCAATCAATCAATCAATCAAGTATATCTATATTGAAGATATCAACTTAGGATCTACTGTATCTATATCTACTTTTTCATCATACTTTGTTCTATCAAAGCAAGATGATTACTTTTTTCTAAACAGTGTCATCTACAAGATGATGAATCCTTTAACGTGCCTCAACAACAACTACTGTAATATTTTTAGAGTAGATCCAGACGGCTGGTGACCTGACTCAGCACTACCAGCTTTACAGTTTAAATTGTTGCTTACATGAAACCTTTTTTTTGCCTTTGTTTAAAATGAGCTTCAATAAACCAAATTAGAAAAGTTTACAGCTTTGTAATGTTTGTTTTTCTTATTGTTTGTACTTGTGTGAACTTTGGTCATGTTTGTAGAGAAGATATTTGGATTATTCGCAGGTTGATCTTGAAATTTTTTTACTGAATTATACTTTTAACTTGTGTTGAATCAAAATACAAACTCTTTAGGTTAACTTGGACTTGGAAAAAAAAAAACTTGGCAAGAATCACCACTTCTTAAAAACATATTCTGCCAATACTAAGTGACAATTACCATGACCAGTATAAGAAAAAAGCTCTCTGACTGTGTACACCAATATCCACTTAACGTTTCGAGTGTTGTTTTGAAAGTTTCTTTTCTTATTGCTGCTTCTTTTACATCAATATCTCTCCAAGAACCTTTTTGTCCTCCTCAATATTACAACAATTCTCCGACTTTTATTTCTTTTTGAAGCTGGTAGTTATTCCAGGTGGTCTCTGGTTTAATTTTCAGCTCACGCACTATTTGACTTATTACAAGAACTCCTGTGAACAAAGACTAAGATTAAAACAGGTGACACCTTTGTAATGACTTCCATGATTATACTAAATTTGGTTTATAACACAGTGGCACTCCTTTCCTTTGGTGTAGTTTAAAACTTGTTGCTAGCTTGACTTATTTTTTCATGAACCAACTTTGGATCATTTTCATATTATTTTTCCACAAAAAAATTAAACTTATTAAGATTATCTTTCCCAGAATATATGGTAATTCTCTGATAACACCAAGTAAACAACCAAGAGTCTCTTTTATAGTACACTTTAGGCTTACATACTCATCTTTGTTGGTCATTCCATTTCATCTACAAAGGTACAGATTTCTGTTGACAACTGCAGGTTAGCTCTTGTGTAGTGTCAGTTTTAGTTAATAGTGGAGGATTTTATGAGTACTTCAGCTGTTGTTTTTCTATCTTCTGCTCTCCTGCTTATCCTGAATCGAATGGGAACATTGAGTAGCCTATTGTTATCTTAATGCTAACTACCTCACCTGCTACTGTAGGGTGATAAGTCAGAGGAGATCACCTGTTTCAATCCACATCAGAGTGAAACTCCTGTGTTCATGTATGTCCAAATCGCCTGAGCCAAACTGGGAAACGCCCCCCAATTTCTGTAAAACCTCTCCGCACAACACTGGCATGAAAGCACCATAAATCACTTTAAAGGTGCTTTTGTCACAGCGTCAAGTCCACTCATCACTATAAAAACTGAGTTGACACACACCAAATTGGAACTCAGCTTGTACAACAGCACAATATGAATCTAGCAGTGAGTCACTAAACCTGAGGGGCAATTTCCTGCAGCCTTCCTTAGGTGATGTCTTCATACCTGTGAGTCTCGGGGATGGAGGCAGGTCTGCACTGATGCGGAGGAGAAGCTGCAGTACGCCAGCAGAGCGTCACCATTGCTGCCCTGGTTGGGGTCAATGTAATACATTCCTGCAGAGATAAGTGAGGTCAGCAGTGATGGAAGTGCTGAAAGTTACATTTACAGAAACACTGAGCCATACAGGAGCATGACCCCTTATTGCATTATTTAAAGGTAGAGAAACAAAGTGTAAAATAAAATGAGATATTGATCCTACAGGCAACTGCTGAGCACACTACTAGGCACAAGAAATGTAGATCTTAAGATAGGAAATAAGGATCAATTCCTCATTAGATATAGAACAGAATACCTCTGTCTATAAATGTAGAAGTACTTTGACTTGTTTTGTATTTTGAAGACATAAACAAGTGAAGATTTTCATGTTATCTTTAGATACAAGAGTATGAAAAATAACCACAAATCTTTTCTTAACCCTCCTGTGTATCAGTGTGATTTAAAATGGCCTGCTTTAACAGTGGCTGTTGTCCAGGAAAGATAAAATCTGACACCAGCTTGGGCAAAGTGGCAATAAAACCTCAACAGTGCCCCTGAGACAGTTAGGCGGCAGAAATGTACAACGTCTGAGCGCTGGGTCAATCAAGGCAAAATAAACACACAAACACTCAAAAAGGGTTGTTATTTCCACTGGCCAAGATATTATCATAATGTAATCTTGATAACATTATGATAATGGTGATAACGGAACAATCATGAGCTACAACTTGTTTTGAAGGAATGAAATAATATATATGTATTAAATGTGTAATCATAAATCACAGGTTTTCACAGAAGTAAAGGGGGATATGAATGTAGAATTTCAGTGACAGTGGCTGTACTAAGTGAAAATATTAGTAGTTTTTTAAAGGATTGTGTATTCTTTTCTTAATTGAAGTGACAAAAAAAGTGTGTGATAAGAAAAAAAATGCTAAAAAACTAAAATATAGTTAATTCCCTTATGGCTTATGTGTGGATTCATTTTTCTCAGTAACTGACCACTGCTGTATTCAGGGTGACAGATCCACAGCTCTTGACAGGTGGTAGCAGGATGCTCCTTGCTGCCATCAGGAGGATCCAACAGCAGCCGAAGCTCCTGCTGCAGAGAGTCTAGCAGAGTCTGGATCAGAGGATAGTTGGGCTTATCCGACAAATACATCAGGTCCTGCACACGAAGAGGGAATCAAATAAATACACACCCACATGCAGGTTTAAAGACAAGTTGATTTTAGAGGGTGAAAATTAAGGTGTTTCATTTCTTTATTTTATGACTGTTTATAAAGAAAAAGTTCTAATAGAAAATGTTTGACTTTTGCATTGATAGAGAGTTCTTCATTAGACATTAAATCTATAAATAATTTACCTTTATTTGAGACAATGTCATGTTCAGTGACTCTCCTGGAGGTCCAGGGACCCCGGGTGGGCCCTAAAACACAAAAGATTTACATGGTACACACATCAACAATATTCAAACAAAGTTCATAGTTTTGGAAACTTTAGATCTTACTTTTACTGAGGGTGTGTTATGAGCCATTCAGAGTCTGTTATAAAGCATGTAAAACTGATGACATTGTGTGCTTCAGAAGGCAGTATGTGTTTTTTAGGTATTAACTCTCATGAATGTAATTATAAATGGTTATAAATTCTACTACACATGGTAAGTGTTCCCACGCTTACAGAAAATAAAGTCAAATTAATGCTGGTTGAAACATGTCTCCTGATTCGTTTCTAAACTAAAAAAAAACAAAACATTAAATACACTTGGGGTTTAGCAAAACTTTTCCAAAACTTTCATGCACCTGCAACACATTTTCACAATCATATAAAATTAGCATTTATCTAAGTAATGCTGACACAACAGTAAGATGTTAATGGACTGTATTATACAGATTATAAAAAAGGCAATTTAAACATCACTTCTCATTTTTTTCTGGGTTAAATCATTTTTCAAAACTTCTCCAGGCCTGTACGTTGTATTTTTTCAATGCCCACCACTTTTCCAGGTGTCCATGGTCATACAAACCCTTACACTAGTCAAGACAAATTTAAACACTTAAATGATTCAGCACAAAGAATAACTGAGCTTGGAGGAGTGAGACAAAACTGGATAATGTCTTTAGACTTTTCATATGTAGGTTGCTCCTTAAATGAAGCGATGTGGTGTTAAACTGTAGGATCATGTAAAATAACTGAGTCTCTGACAATAACTAGTGAAGCTTAAGTTACAGTAACGTTAAGAAAAGGTCTGCAAACAGCACCACTGTCAGATTTAGCCATATGTATCTGTTCGTGTTATCATTTTTGAGATAAACTGTTTTTTTGTTTTGTTTTGTTTATATAATCTGTCTTTAATCCACTTTGTCTCATCCTCTGCTTTCTTACTCTCTTGTACTCACCGGGAGCCCCCTTCTGCCGGGTAATCCAGGCAAACCTGGGTAGCCTTTCAAACCCTGCAGGGAAATTCAAAATGTGATAAGCATGACAGAAATTACACACACAAGCACAGTTCTGAATGGAAATATCAAACCATTTTCTATAACCCGTGCTGATATAGATTAAAACAGAATCCACAGCAAAAACCCATTACATTGTGATGTCACTTCCCGAGGGTGACGGCTTTATGATTATAGGTGCCATCAAAACAAAGCAGAGTGGTCGCAGTGTAATGTAAAATAATCTCCCAGGGGGAGTTCGCTTGAGATAACAGTGAGAAAAGAGCGGAGTGAGTTTGATCTGTCAGGACAGGAGCCCATGAGAAGATAATATCATACCTTTAATCCAAACAAACCCTGCAACAGAGGAGAGAAAAAGAGATGAAAAGGTCATGAGTGTGGTTTTTCTCTGTGAAGTGGATTTAAGAATGGTGATTTTCTGAGTGCTTTCATTTGCTGCATTAAGACCCCATCAGCCACAGTTTCACAGATTTTATAACCTCAGCTGTTGGATTTTCCCCCTTAAGACACAGCAGGTTGAACACAATCACTATGTGCTGCTGAACTGTGAATGAGTCAACAGTCTGAGCTCAAGAAAACACTACCTGGCAGACAGACCCTACAGGACTGACCTCAGTTATTATAAAACAAAAGCATTTTCCTCACATGTTCCAATCTTCTGCTGCTATATATTGTTTTATATATGATGGGATGAAAGTATCTGGGTGGCATATGGAATGCTTAAGGATAAAACTAATAAATGCACTTATGTCTAACATTAAAGAGCAATAAAACTGAATTGAATTGAAAATTTAAAAATAAAACATACAGGCAGCCCTGGCATCCCTGGTGTCCCCCTTGGTCCTGGCAGACCAATATTTCCCTAAAAACAATTTTAAAAAATATACGAAAATAAAAAGTATGCATTTGTTACACTTGGATTATATGAAAAAAAGCTAATGTTGTCAAACATGTGAAGATTTGCAACATCAAATAAAAGAAAAAAAGACGTAGTTATTCATGTACCTGCTCTCCTTTCTGTCCCTGTGGACCTGGCAACCCAACAAGACCACGAATACCCTGAAAAAGCAAAGGGATAGTATTTCTTAAGAGACACGCTCATGTTTTCAGTGGCCTATCAATGCTATAATATGATAATGTGATGTGGAAAACTTTCAGCTTATAAGAAGTTACAACAAGTCAAATTTGCTGATTTATGAAAAAACTCGACCAACTTCTTACATATAAATCACATCATTTCTTGAAGAAAAACTAAAATATTTTGAGGAAAACATTTTTCTTTTCCCTTTTCTTATACTTTTCACACAGTGGTTCTCAAGTCCAGTCCTCGAGGCCCACTGTCCTGCATGTTTTGGATGATTCCCTGCTCCAACACACCTGATTCAAATGATTAGCTCGTTATCAAGCTCTGTAATGGCTTAATAACGAGCTGATCATTTGGATCAGGTGTGTTGAAGCAGGGAATCATCCAAAACATGCAGGACAGGAGGGGCTTGAGGACTGGACTTGAGAACCACTGTTCTAACATGACATGGCAAAATGATGGAGCCAGATAAATAAAATTTGGCTGCTCCTCCCCTGTCGACAGTGCTTGAATGCAAACATGCAACTGAACTACACCTTTAGAAGTAAACATTTTTTGTGTTCAGAACCTAGAACTGCTCAATTTAAATGGAAAAGAGACTTCAACAATCTCTAAAATCTCTTGTGAGAAACTTTTGGAAGTTTTGAGTCAGTTTTTGTGCACCCTCTGAGCAAAATGTGGCACCTCTCAACTCTTCTGATCTTGATCTGGTCTTCTTCAACTTCAAGAAGTTTACTCTGCTTTAGGAAAAAAAACACCTGTGCTGCCCTGTATGCTCCCATCCATACAGTCCTTATCATAGGATGAACAAGGAGGGACACTTATGCACAGCTTGTGCTTTGGAGTGTGTTCGCAAAAGCAGCTTGATTGGATTATATACATAAAAAAAGGAAAAACACTGCGTCATGATGAACCACCGTGCAGCTTGCATGTGTGGATCTGAGCCAAAGGCAGCTCCAGACTGATTGAGTCTCTGATTATTATGGAGACAGAAATGTCAAAGTAATATTCAAAGACTTTATACACTGATTTATTGTTTCTAGGTTATCTAGAGTTGGAATCATTGTCTCCATCACTGAAAGGCTTGGGTGTAACAGTGCTGATAGTGCAGTCATCACAAGCTCTCAGCGGACACTTTAACTTTCAGTCTGTGAGTGGCCGTGAGCCAAGTGGATGTCGTTTACATTTGCATAGAAATTTATCATCTTTTGCTCCAAATGAATCAGGCCTTTTGTCATGCAACTCCATCGTGGTTTCGCACAACAACATCAGCAATGGCAGAAAAACAAAAAAAGCTTGTTGCTGATAGTGTTGTTTGCATTAGTATACCATCTGGAGGCATCTTACAGGAGCTTTAGATTCATGTCTGCATTTTCTCCTTTGAGATCTTTGAGTTTTTGCCATGAAAGCCTTAAGAGCTCTCACCTTTGTGCCATCAGCTCCAGGTGGTCCAGGCAGTCCCATGTCTCCTTTCTCACCCTACGGACACAAACAACACGGTTTATCCTGCACTTTTACTGAGACAGCGGATCTGCACGATGAAAGATTAAAGCGCATGGTGGCTGACGAACGCCTGAATGGAGCCCAGTGGCTGAAAGGACCGGATAAGCAAACACCTCAATAACACATCCGTCTGAATTTGAATGCGAGTTGCTGAGACACAACTTTTCTGATATCTTTAAAACAGTATACAAAGTTATCCATATTGTACACACTTCACTCTGAATTCCACAAAGAGTGGGTTGTATAATCTGTTGTGAAAGCTTCAATGATTTTCTATCAGTATTAGCCATGCGTATTGAAATGGTTCTGAGATTTTAGAAACACGACTCAATGTACAAAAAAACTTTTAGAAGCAAGCTGTCTCCAAAACCTTCAGTTTCATCAAACCTGTTTACCTCTTTCCCCTTTCCACCGTTATCCCCCAACTCTCCTTGTAAGCCAGGAATTCCCTGAGTAAGAAAAATAAAAGCATTAAGGAACAGTCTTGACAGATGAAATGCACCTTTGATTTTCAAACTTTTGCATGATACAGCTCTCTTATCTAGGAATCATTGAACAGGACAGATTGATGAATAGACAAATATGTGCCGATATGTTCAGCTTCAAGAACGAGTAGATGTTTAATGACCTTAAAAGTGGACTTACAATGAGCCCGGGCCAACCCGGGATGCCAGCTTGTCCTGTGTCTCCCTTTTCGCCCTAAAAGACCAAACACAAATCTATTTTTGGCTCTTAAATCATGATTAAACCCGACTTGCAGCAGGCCATCAGCCTGTTCCCGTTTATCCCACCTTTGGTCCTCTGATTCCCCTGGTCCCTCTGACTCCAGCTTTTCCTCGTTTCCCCTGCAGACAAGTTTGCCATGTTTTTCAATGAGAGGAGATGCAGGAGACAATCTGATGTTTTATGTATGAAGCTGTACAAGGACAGTGGCTGTTTCTGACGATGTTCCTTTTTCATTCCATGCACACACTGTACATTAACAGCAGGAAAAGCCTCATTTTCAAGGGCAACCAAAAGCCCTCTAACAGTTGTAAACAACTGTTCGCATTAGCATTACAAAGACTGTTTCATTATTGTATTCATTTACCATTAAATTATTAAGTTTTGCCTACAACCTGCAAACTCCTCACAGACGGAAACACAGAGCCCTTACCCTCCTTCCAACATGGCCTGTCTTCCCTGGTGGTCCGATCTTGCCATCGTCTCCCTTCAGAGGTAAAATAAAAACTGATCAGTTCAATGTCCTTTACTGGTTGGAGAATTAAGCTTATGATTAAAAGGAGACCTATTACACTGATCTGTATTTCAGTGCAATGTTGAATGAGCTCATTAAACCTCGGTAAAGCTCCAAAGCGAGAGGTACACAGATGTTGGCGTAATCCTTGCATTTGTTTTCTGGCTTCTCTAAACAGGTTGTTACGAAAACTTTATGAGACTTGGCGTGAACCCCAGACTCTGCCGTTCTAGTTTCACAATACTGAAAGTCATACTAACCCAGAAGCTCTTTCAAATTTCCCCTCACCTGGAAAGTCTATTTCACTGTTTGCTCACATTTGTTGATTCAGTGTGCCTCGGTTAGTTTCTGTTTTATTGGTTGTGAAGCAAAGTCACTGCTATTTTTTTTTCTTGCCAAAGAAAAAGGCACCAAAACACAGAGGACAGTTTTAGTTTCTGGGACAAACAGAGGTCAGGCAAGATCTGTACCTCAACTGTTACTGAAACCTGGTGCTGCTCCATCTATAAAGAACTATCATGAAGATTCACTGATAAGAAAAGATCTCACCTTCTCCCCTTTCATGCCCTGGTTCCCCTCAGGTCCTGGTTTTCCATATGGACCCTGTAAAGCAGTGAAAGTTTTCCATTAGGTTATTTTCTCCAAACAAAAAAGTATAATCAAAGCTCTGCTGCTGAAGGTTGATAATTTCATCATCTCCAGCTAAACTTACAGAAGCCCCAGTGGGACCTGGAGCCCCCTGTGGTCCCATTTCTCCCGGAGGCCCCTACAAACAGTGTGAAGGAGAAACAAACTTACCAAAGGAGTTGTTTCAGAGAGGAAAGGCAATATTTCAAGATGGCAAGTGAAACAACAAAGATAATGTGCTGAAGCTATTCAACAGTGTTGGTTTTCACCTCTAATCCTGGCAGAGCTGGAGGACCTTGGATTCCAGGCAGACCGTCTTCACCCTGCTCATGGAGTCACATTAATGATGCTGTTTTATGGAGTTTTCAACATAGTATAAATATACATGTCATGTTATCATTAAAATGCATTCCTCCTGGAGATATCGACACACATGATATCTAATATGCTGTTTGTTTATTAATGCCGTACAGTAAATCTATACAACATGAAGAGTACAGACCTGTTCCCCTTGAGGACCTGGTTTTCCTGGCTCCCCTTTCTGTCCCTGTGGCCCTGGTTCACCTTTGGGTCCCTGATCACCCTCAGATCCGACTGGTCCTGCTGGGCCCTGCCATGCAGTGATTAAAAAGATTTAATCCAATACAATTGGGTTTTGTTTCATATACTTTATGGAGTTATCTAAAATCTGTTTGAGTTCAAGTTAAAGGAAATCAGAGTGAGCCTCGAGGATGACGAGACATTCCTGTGTTCGACTGCTGCTGAACTTATCAGATATTCAATAAATGTGAGGAGAAAGCTAACTTGAGGAAAGGTGAGGGTGTCCTTGTCTTCAGGCTTCCCTAGATTAGCTCCATACTGCTAGCAGAATCATTATCATGTGAGGGTAGGGGGGGAAACAAAAGCTCTCCACCTTCAAGCACTCAATTTAACTATCATTATTCACACCGAGATTAGAAGTAGGACTGCTCCTGCACATTCTTGTTTTTGTGTAAGCAGAGATATAAGCCTTGTGACCTCTCATGCCCATCTTAATGCCCCCTCTGAATATGAAGAACGTACCGACTTCAGGGCCAAGTTTTTTGGAGGTTCAATCTCAGAGTAGCATGCTTCCTGTGAGTCTGGTCATTCTGCATATTGTGACCAACACGTTTATGGAAACAAATGTGGGCACAAGTTCATTTGCTGTTAATAAAACACAGGCGCTAGATGTGAAAATGATGACCCTGATGGGTAGAAAATAGTAATGACATTTGTACTTTACACCAGATGTAAAAGAGGACCCTTAAAGCCTCTTGCAGGTCCAAAAAATTGTGTTCTGAAGCTGGCACACTCTGAGATAATCTTGCTTTTATCATCAGAGTCTCAGATGAGGCAAAACAACGCTGGCAGACCTCCCTGGGTCCTTGTAGATCTGCCCAATTTACAAGCTTTACATTTTACTCTTTAATTAACTGGATTTCTCTCCAAATCTATTTAAAGCATAGCTCCCCTTTGAAAACTTAACCGACAATTTCCTGTGATGGATCTGTGGGGGGAATCGTGTACTTTAAATGTTGCCTTAATTAGCTGAACTGCTGGGAAACAAAAAAAGTTTAACTATGCTAATGCAGAAAATCTACACAAGTGTATGACAGAAAGTGGGTGAGATTAAAAAATGAGGGTAACCTCAGTCCTCATTATAGAACATGTCTGCATAATACGCATGGAAGTGAGAAACAGTCAGATTCAGGAATACTTACAGGTGGTCCTGCCCCCCCAGTGTCTCCTCTGACGCCTCTCGAACCAATTATTCCCTGTAAACAAAATAAACACAGAGTATAATAAAGACTTTTTTTGGACACTATGTTGAACAAAATGTTTCATTGAAACAGAGTTTACCTCAGGGCCTCCCTCTCCTGGAGGTCCAGTACTTCCTTCAGGTCCAGATTCCCCCTGGAAATATGGATGAAAAAATTTTACTGCCATTCTCTGATAGTTGTGATGGCGATTATTTGATTTCACTGATTTGATTCAAACATAGCGCTGTAGGTGATGTATACAGATAGAAAAGGCTGTGATGATTAAGTGCAGTAAATGTTTGCAGGGGCAGGGGTTCTCTTGATTACACAGTGTCTGTACTGATTTGTCTTTGCACAAATGTCTATGCATTTTGTCCACACTGAAAACTGAGAGCAGGTGCCAAAATGAAGACACAAATCACAACATTGAGCAGAGTTACTCTGAGGATTTTTAGCAAACTTTGGCTTAAATGTTCTCCTTTTTTCCTAATAAAATGAGTAATCAGATCTTTGAAATTTAATGTGTTGTCTTGTTGTAATTTGGCATGAAAATCACATTAGAAACATCCTGATGCACTGTGATCTGTGGTCACAGTGGTCATGCTTACTTAATAATTTGCAATCAACAAACTGGAGGAGAACAAATGAGATTATAACGCCAAAAACCAACACATTAATTTCTACTTGCTCATTAATTGAGGTACAATGTCCAGATAATGAGATAATAACGACTCATCAATGGCATAAAAATGATCAAATATCTTCAGAGATTAATGTTTGCAACTTGCAAAATGTTTGTTACATACGTAGCTTGATTCATTGACTCTGTTCATTGAAAACATTTATCAACCCAGTGACCACACTGAAGCAACTTGTTTAGAAAGAAAATTATATTACCTTCAGGCCCTGAGGTCCATCTGGACCTGGGGGTCCCCTGGGTCCAGTGATTGCCTTAATTTTTCACATACACGCATACACATGCACACACACACACGCGTACGCACACAGAAAATAATAAATAAATCAGTTTGAAGGACAGCTATACAGATTATATCTGTTAATGATCAATAAATGTCAATCATATGTGGGAATAGTTCAATAGAGGTTAATTTAAAGGTCACTCTGAGCAGCATGTCATCGACAGCATTCATACATACTTGTAACAAACTCACCTGTAACCCCACCAGACCTGCAGGACCCATTTCCCCCATCAGCCCCGGTTCACCCTGTTCAAGAAGACAAAGATAAATCTCTTCAGAGGCAGTTTGTACATTCCTACTCTGACTGCACAGTTTTAAATAAACAGCTTCAGAAAGGAGATGATGGCATGATATGTTTTCCTCTGCATAAACTATTTACAAATTACTTCTTGAGAGAAACAAATATTTTCTTGATCTGTACAAAACATTTTTACCGACTTCCCAGTTCCCAAACAAAACAGGCCTTTTGTTCTTCAGGTCTTTTTCCTGGCAGGAAATGGCACCTTGTAAAGTTTAGTGTTTATCAGACAGAATGGTACGAAGAAAAAAACACCAAGGAAGAGTTGAGGAATCAGTTTGGTTGAATAAATCTAATTTTACAGTTAGAGACGTCTCTCTAACTGCTGTTAAGTGACATTTTGCCATTTTTGATACAACATATTCCATCAGCTCAGCTTTGTTTGGTAGCTTTTCAGGCGAAGAAAACATTGAATGAGGTGTGATCACTGTGCTAAAATTCAACAGACTCTGAATAGAAATGCTCTCATACATGTAAAGATGCTGATTTAAGGGGGAATTTGAAGTGATCTTCAGATTGCCAGAACAATCACTATATTCACTCTGATCACGATTGATTTCACATTCTTTCTTGAGTACAACAAATTCATAAATATAAAACCCTTGACATAGACTTTCTCTTGTTGGCATATCAAATGAACAAGCATAGACTAAGATAACAAAACCCCAAAATATTAAAAAAATTCCAAGTAATTTTCTACGATAACTAGTCACACAAATTAATTACAACAACAACAATAATAATAATAATAATAATAATAATAATAATAAATAAATAGGATTGATGAAGAAAGAAAAATCAATGAAATAACATGAATTTCCTTTAAATGTTTACACGGCTGAGATGGTTTTTTTTTAAGATCAAACAAATATTTGCTCACCATTAGTCCAATGTGGCCCTTCTCTCCTTTTGGGCCTCTGACACCATTTCCCCCAAGGTCTCCCCAAGGGCCTTCCCGACCAGACAGACCAAGAGGTCCAACCTCTCCCTGCAGGATACAACCAGAACCTGCTCTCATCACACTGCGCTCAAGAGTCACCCAAAGCCGTCCTGATTTTATTGCTCAGATCTCGCGGCACATTTCACATGGAATCTTTTCAAGTCAGTTTTTGGGCTACTGTGATATATGGTCCTGAATTGGATAAAGGGTTTAAAAAGGTTATATATTCGCCTCTTAGATAGATAGATAGATAGAGAACTTTATTAATCCCTGAGGGGAAATTCGGGACACTCATCACAGTTCTGCACAGGCAGGACTAACGGAAACAGGATTTAACCACACTCAGGAAAAAAATATATACATAAATAACATCTAGACTCTCTTTGTTCCCCTCTTTTTTTTCTCCACTTTAATCTACTCAGAGATTTGCAAGCTTCCAATGCACATACATTTTCACTTAAAACTATAAATCACCCTCGCCTCAGTGGATACCAAGTTTACTTCCATTAACACTGTCTAAATGAAGCACTGAGACTTGGAATGTGAATGTACTTTAAATGTAGAACCACAACGACAAGCTCATCCTTTAAATAACAGATACCTGTAGATAGGGGATAAGTTTCAGTAATATAATAATATTCAAAATCTATGTTAGCAATTTAGTAAAATAAGAGTTAAAAGTGACCTTCTCCCCTATGGGTCCATGATCTCCAGCTTCACCAGGAACGCCAACATCACCCTGCAAGTGAGGGACAAGCAATAGTCCGGAGTTAAGCACATTACACATGAAAACAATAGTACCATATTTTGGACGGTAAAAAAAAGGTTAATTTAGGGCTTAATGAAGCTTCATTTATCTTTTCTCTTTCTGTAGTCGTCATTTTTAAAAACAAGGTTTATCCATGAAGCCCAAATCAGAAAACTGTATTTAAATGATACCAATAAGCATTTTAAAAAGGCAATCACACACTCCATTAGGACTCTACTGGACTCCATCAATGCTTTATTTACCAATGCTTTTGAAACAGAAGGTGCATTTTCAGGTTGTGGTCACACACAATTTGAAGGTAAAAGAGAAATTGTTGGTTTTTGCCAGCTCTCTGCCCATCCTGTTGTTGTATAATAAATATTTGGAAAGCCTCACTGGAATCTGATCTGCATGCTACCATCATTGCATCATTGGGAAAATTCAATTTCACGGTTTATGTAACAATGATTGTGTTTCCACTAAAACCATTTTCAAAATAGATCTCCCAAAGCACCTGGAATATTTCGAGTCTGCCAATGTTGTTTAGTGCTAATAAGAAACAAAAAGACACAACAAGCACATCTGTTCGCCATATAACAAAACAAACTGTGAGGCTGATGCTGCAAACAGGCTGGAGGTAATGGTGATGTGATGAGGCCCTTAAATTCTTCAGTGAATTGGAAAATCGCCTCCTGTTGGGCTGCTCGGTCATTTACGAGGCCGTGTTTAGACACATGTGACTCTGTAATCATGTTTGTTAAAAGCAGATGGATTCACTCACCTCTCTTCCTGCTGGTCCAGGCGGTCCGTGTAAGCCTTTAGGGCCTTCAAGACCTCTCTCTCCTTTGGGCCCCGGAGGTCCAGGTTGCCCACATGGCCCCTTGTTTCCCTGTCAAACAAAGCAACATAAGAAGACAGGAATCAGATACAGATATTGACCGTGGGCTTTTTCAGTGTGTGTACATGGACAGCTGTCATTACACTTGGACCACCTGAGGCTGAAGGCTGACAAGATTGACACACAGCCTCATGTCATACAAAATAAACTGACCTCAAGTGATCTTGAAGGATGACTGTGTTATGAATAACCCATGAGGAAGATCACTGACCTGGTCTCCTTTCAGTCCAGGCGGGCCTTCAGTTCCTGTTAGGCCATGAGGACCCTGAGGAGGACATGAGTGGAGATAAAGCTAGTGATGTGACAGTTACTTGGAACATTTCATCTCATTACTCTCCTCTTGTTTATTCAGCTACTAACTTCCACATTAAACATTTATTTTTCAGCAACAGCTCTTGGGTCGACTTGGCACCAGTCATAAGTTTAGCCTTTAAAGAGTTTTGCAAATGCAAGCAAGAGCAATTCAACATGTTCAACATAAAAATAAACAAACAAAGAGAAGTCGGGGACAAGCTCGAACTTTCACAGACATCCTATCAGTGGGACTTTAGAGTTACTTGGACTGTAACTATGTGCTACCTTGAAAGTCTGTGAAGTTTGCTCAGTAAACACCCTGGTTAAGCTGCAGTTATTTTTAATTCATCAGACGCCTGAAGTGATCCCATCGCAACAGAAACATTGAAGTGGGTGTCCCCATTAAGAGAAAGGAGATCCAATTCATCAATAGTTTCGATCTCCACACCATACCTGCCAACATTTCCGTTTTTCCAGGGACTCTCCCTTATTTCCTGTAGTTTGATGGTCCACATTAATTCATGAATCGGATGACTATATTTGTCCAAAGTTGCCAGACAACCAAAGATTGTCCTGTGTTTCTGCTGAGCCTCACAGACACTGGATTGATATTTTTACTTTACAGTTTGGGATGATTCAGGTCAGTTTAAGCTGTAAACTACATTTAAGCAGTGTTTGTTGCAAAATGAACACTTCAATAAAAGGGAAACAAATGCAAGATGTAATGTTTATGTTGATAGCCTTGCAATGGCTCAGAGTGATGCATTCAGGGCAGCCTCAGATAAAAGAGTGCTGTATTTCATGCACAAACGTTCAGAGAGCCTCATACAGGAGAGCATGTAAAACATATGAGAACTTTAACACAGATATTAGTGGACTAAATAAGTTCAAGGCTTATCGTAGCTATTATTTGTGCACGCCACAAAATTTTTTTTAACCCAAATGTTGGCAGGTATGATCCACACATGCCAGTAGGACGAGAGCTGGATGTTATTAGATGACATTTATTTGTAGACATTTAAAGGTTCCCACACATTTTTAAGAACCTTCTTGGTTGCTTCATTAAACAGCTTGACTTTACAGTAGCATTATTTTCATGTTAATATTAAAGGGGCTGCTTGAAAAGTGGTTGAAAAATACAGCTATGTAGAAATGTGATATGAAAGTGAACCTGTGATATGAAACCAACCTGTTGTCCATCTGGTCCTGTGTGGCCAGCATCACCAGATGAGCCAGGTAAACCCTGCAGGATACAGTTTCAGCTGAGTAAGTGAAATTAAATATAGTTTTCCTGTATACAATAAGCAAAATAAAACATTAAAATGAGATGTAACCAAAGAATTCAGTTGTATGTCCAGTTTACCTTTCCCCCTTTTTCTCCTGCAGCTCCTAACAACCCGTCGGCACCCTGTGGGCCCTGAGGACATCAAACAAACAAACATATCATCAGGTCATATTAATATTAGCCTCTTTGAGCCGTACCACGTCAAACAGATTTTTAGACAAGAAGTAGACTTAAATGTTTCAGTAAAGCAGCATTTGACTGTAGGTACCCACTCACTGGGATTCCTGCTGGCCCTTGTGGCCCATGAGGACCTGGGGGGCCTTGGCTTCCCCTGGGTCCAGGTTTTCCTGCAGCCCCGTTAGATCCTTGGAGACCTGGAGCGCCCTAGCAATCATAAAATTGTACAGAGGTAAGATTTTTGAGCAACCACATCTATACTCTTGTACTTTGCACACTTGGGGCCTCATTCACTAAAAGATGACACAGCTTTTGCCCTCACATCACCAATTAGGCCAAGAAAGTATCATTAATTCACAGGTAAAGGGCAACACGCAAACTGCCCTGCAGATCAAATAGCAATTTTGCATTCACTTGGATCAGTCATGAATTAACTGCTCTATACAACAATGAGAAGTATCCTCTCTCATTCAGCTCATCGTATATATGGACAAATTTTATTGCCATGAAAATGAGAACATACAGCGCAGCTCTGCACAGCAGAGGATGGAAATGCTGGTCGTTTATCTCAGTCACAATCAGATGCAAAATTGAAGCAAACAGCACAGAGCTGGAGAACTCGGGATGTTTTTGTGCCTGAATATCATTAGAGAAATCTGCTTGAAAATGAGACCTTGATAAAGAGCAGATAGTGAGGGAAAATGATTTCTTAAAAATTCTCAGTGGCACAGTCCATTCTTAGGGAGTCCTCCCGCAGGACACTGTAACTGTGACTCCTCAGAATTGAAGTAGACATGTAAAGAAAAAGCAAACAAGTAGATTTGTCCTCAATAGATTAGGTGTCCAAACAGACAAATCCAATCAGAGAATGCCTCCTGACATTTTACACAATTTTGTCACAACAGGTTTATGAGCCTTGAGCTACTGATCAATCAATTTAGGGCATCAGAAATCATTTATCCAGGTAACTACATTTCTAAGCCTTTGCTTCCAACAGCTGAATTGATCTCTTAACAAATAAACATATATTTGCTTAGATCTAAACACTGATTGTAAATGTAAATAAACTGATCTATTTGTTTTCACATGAGGGTTAACAATAGCTCGTATTTAGTTGCCTTTTTTTTGAATGAGAGCACAGTAGCAGGCTTTTGACTGCTGTCTTGACAACAGCAGGATAATTATTTATTATGCTTGACACCAAACTGGCTGCTTGGCACACCCCCTTGCTGTGCATATCATGTTACTTTATAACAAGTGACAAGGAAAATATAACAAGGTAAAAAAAAAGAAAGTCTATGTCAAATTAAAATGTCACATTTGTCTGTAAAAAACGCAATAAGGAACCAAAGATGCCAAAGAGCTCAACTTGGATGAAATCTTAAACTTACCAGTGGGCCTGGTATTCCTTTAGAGCCCTCATCCCCAGGCCGACCCTGTAAGAAACAACACTGGCTATGAAACAAATCCTTAAAACACAGGGTAATAAAAAGTTATGACAGTGCATGATTTCAAACTTGTTCATACTTTAGGTCACAAAAACAAAAATTGGGGAGCAAAACCAATTATTGAGTCTTCTCTAATTTAGAGCATAGAGAGTTTTCACACCTGAGGTCCCCGGGGTCCCTTCTCTCCCGCAGGACCTGGCAGACCCTGCAAAGGAAAAAACAGACAAGTCAGAGCATGATTATCACACCTTCAGATTACACTCCAGTCGTTGCACAGTTTGAGGAAATAACAAAGAGAGTTTCTAAATTTTTGTGTCATCTGTGTCCCGGTCTCTGAAAAGTTTTAAAGCTTAGCAAGGAACTGTTGAAGGCCGTGGTACAAAATGATACTCAAAAAAAAAAAAAAAAAGATCAAATTGGGTAAAAAAAAGGTTTATTTTACTGCAAGAATATGATTGCTCTCTTTTCTCTGGATTGTTCAATTTTACAGATACTCAGTTTGTTTATTTTTTGTTTTACTAAAGCGTAAGATATCAAAGAAGCCCTAAGCAGAGGTGAACACACACAGTTTATCTGCTCAATTTGGTTACCTGCAGACTCTGTGAATACATGATAAGCTGGGTTAAATGAATAGGGCACAATTTTGTTTTCTGTGAGTTTTTCCTCTTTTAACACTAACCAGTAAGCTGGAAGGTGAATCTCTGTAGTTTCTACAGTACAATACAGTTAAAGTCGCTCCTTATTGTGATATCTTTAAGAAATGGAACTAAGTGAGTTTCAGTTAAAGAGGATCAGATCAGGAAAACTCTGTTTTTTAATGAGTACAGCTGCCACTGTATTCTTTTGGTATTCTTGAAAAATAATTGATATCTTTATGACATTTCTATAACCTGTTTCCCGTAGATTGAACAAAAGACATACATTCAACACCTGTACCAAAGATGTTTCACAGAGTTTAAGTGATCTTTTTGTTTTTTACAAATTATTTCTCTTTTATGGGTTTTCTATGCTTTCATTTGGAAAGGAAAGGATGGAGAACAGAGCAGGAGTCTGTAAGAGAGAGAGGGAAGTGATATGCGGCAAAGGGGACTGCAGGTTGGAACTGAACCTGCTTGAGAACCTCTGCACACGGGGTGACAGCGAAACTGCCAGGTCAGTAGTAACTTCATTTTAACGACTGGTCAGGTCTGTGTTGTAACCTCTTTCCAATAAAATCCCAGGTCAATAAAGTGACTTTTAGAACTATGCAGACTCTGTGGTATATTTTTTAAATCACTGGAAAACTAAAAAACTTTTTTACTATCAGGTTTTTTATTGACTCCTTTGTTGAAAGCACAATATCCTATAAGTTGTTAAGCTTGATCAAGATTCAGTGATGTGGACAGAATAATTCAGTTTGCGGCTCTTTAGCGTTCAGGCCAGCGGCTGAAAAATCCTCCTCCTCATTGCTGTATCACTTTACTCCATGACAGATTGATGGATTTCACCACAACAGTGAGCAACCATGTGAGTGTGCTAAAAATATGTCCAACGACACTGCAGGGAGTACTGTGGACAAGACGTTAGCTCCATTCCTGAAAGTGACTCTCTCTGTACATGATGGATTTTCTTATTCCCAAAAGAAGCCAACCAACAGAGGAGGATTGATTTATTGGATCTACAAACTTTGAAAAGTTTCAAGTCGAAAACTTCACCTTCCAGTTTTTTTTACGAAAGAAAGCAGAGGGACTAACATTGGCCGCTAAAAGTTTCAGGTGTTACAATATGAAAAATGGGGTTTCATCATGTGAAGATTTTTGAGAGTGTACCTGCATGTCTGTGCTCTGGTGTTTTACAGGATGATTAGGAAAGCAACTCTCAACAGGAGTTTAATTATTTGCTCAGTGTGAAAGTGTTTTGTGCGTGCTGCCTGGTGCTTTTCCTCATTAAAAAGCTTCCCGCCTCCACAGCGCATCTCACTTAACCCCCAATTAACAAAAAAAATGTAGCTCAAGTTATTCTGATTATCAGGCTGCATAATGTTACAACCTGTCGCAGGCAAACTACTCATGCTGAACGGTGAGGTGTAGGTTTTCTGCAAGTTCTGAAAACTGCAGACAAAACACTGCCTGTATGCATAATGGGGTTGAATGGTTAATTGCGTTTGCCATAATAGTGCAACATGATTAAAAAGAGACACAAGGGCCACAGTTAGGGCCTGGTCACTGATGCACAAGCAAGCAGTTGACTTAAAGAGGAAGCAACAACTGTGCACACTTCAATTCAGAGTGTTGTGCAATGACAAAAGCTGGCACAGGTAGAAAATTCAGTATTTCAGAGAAGTGTGTTGGTTATGTGGAAATGTTTAAAGACCCACTCCGATGAAAATCATCTTTTTCTTGTTTTTTATATCTAAATAAGGCATTTTTCTGATGCTACAGGGCATATCATGAGAAAACTAAATGCAAAATTGCTTTTCTGAGTATTTTTTCATTTAAATCGCTGTGAATATCTGGCAGATCGAAACGGCAGGTTCAGAAACGGCGAGATTCCATGCGTAACCAATCCAATCTCCGCCCCCGGAGCCGCGCTATGCAGGCCACACTCTGCATATAGAGGAGAAATAGAGAGGACGATCGCAGAACAAGCGTGTGCGTTAGCAGATTGCAATGCGCGTAAGAGAGCTAAGTATAGTATTAACTTTCTTCATGTCCCTAAAGACATTAGTGTCCAAGAGCTGAAAAGCTGCTATGTTTCCTGCTTCTTCTGCTGCACAAGCAATGTTAGGCTGCAAGCTAACGAGTGTGTAGAGTGGCGCTGAATTGCTAATGATCTACTGGAGCTCTGCAGAAGAAAAGGCCTTGAAAAAGACACAGGTAACTCAATTTTGGTAAAAAATTCATAATCACAATTTAAAGATCACCGATTACACCTTAAGAGTGAGACTTTAAGGAAAAAAGAGTTATGCGATGTAAGGTATTGAGAGGAACCGGACTTGCCAACATTGGTTCTTGTCAAGACAACGCTACTTACCTGTATCAGCACTTACAAACACCTACAAAGCTATGTATTATAGGTGCAGGGCCAAAATGTTATCCAGTTGAGTGTCAAATTAGCCCAATACCCCCAAGGGTTCACCGGGTTCACTGACCAAACGTTTACAATCTTAACTTGATCTGAATGAAGCTCGCAGGAGAGTCCTATGGGAGTCTTGGAATGACTTTCATCGATAAAGTACGTGTCTCTTTAATGGCAACAACCACTGATTACACAATATTGAATCATAATCAGTTGAGTTTTTGAACCGCAATCACAACATTGTAAAAAATGGTTCAGCCCTACTGCATTCTTAGTAAGTCATCAAAAAGCAAGAACTACTATAGACAAAACCCTCGACTACACTAGTTTGTCCCTTCTTGGTGAAACCCTGCACAGTGAAATAGAGTTGTAACATGAAGAGAAAACTGTTTTCTCATTGGGGATGTCACCTGGCACCCCGGAGGGCAGCTGGGGACAGGCTAGAGGGCAGTGATTGGAGTAATTTATTTGTCCTCTGTCCCACTGCCATTAGATTTGCCACCAGTGGCTCCAAACAAAATCAATCACTGTGGCCTGTTCGCCTCCATAAACAGACAGTCCCTGCACAACAGCTGCACACTTCACTGGTTTACTTTTATTTACCAAATCCTCCTTGGTTTGACCCTGTCATATCTGCTGTCCTAATCAAATCCTGGGAACAATCCCCAGTTCTACTCTCGTATTCCCCTAACAGGTCTGAGGGGTCATGAGATGGGAAATAAAAATCAAAACAGACTTACTGGAGGTCCTGGCTTCCCAAAAGGCCCGGGTAAACCTCGTAAACCGGGCTCACCCTGGTGCAGGAAAGACATCGGAGATTATTATTGTTATTGAAAAATGGATTTTCACTCTGATCTCCACGATTTAACACCCTGGACTGTTCTCATGTACAACAACGTGTTTGATGCTTTGCCTCAGATCTCGTCTCCGATCAATAAAATTCAGCTTCACACAGCATTAACTCTGAAGAAAAAAGAGGACTTTACCCTCTCTCCTATCAGGCCTGGAGGCCCACGCATGCCGGCGTTCCCCTGGATACCCTGTCAGCACAATGAACAACAAAAGAATTACATTAATCATGCATTCATGACACAATGGCTAATCAAGGATCATTTAAAGCTCCTGTGAGGGGGTTTTGGATTGTGATGAAACAGATTTGTCTTAGTGCTGATGTCTCCACTTGTCTACGAGAGCAAACAAAGCTATTGGGAATTAGTCTGACTGTTCCTGTATAAAGCTCCAGAAAAATAGGAGGTACAGCAAATATGATTGTCTCTGCTCCTGCAGCTTATAGGCTTTTATTTGAGTTAAGTGGACATTCTTGTTTAAATCATTTCTTACAGTTAGATTACATTACTTTAACTCTTTTATTTTTATATAAAGTGCAGTGCAGTGCAGTGCCGTTTCTATGTTAGTGCCCCAGTTGTGCCACCGAAGTCAAAAAGTCTGAACACACCCTCTGAGACGGCGGGATCTGAATACGCTCAGGCTGTTAACAAAACTAAGAGTACTGTGTTGCTTGTGCTGAATAAACTTTTGCACACAACGAACAAAAAAAAAAGAAAAACAAACAAACAAAAAATTGCGCCTGACATAAATGTCTGAATTGAAGAAAAAAGTTCAGGTAAACAATTTTCCACTAGACTTTTTAAATAATCTCTCTTGTGGACAGATAGAGTCCAGGATTGTCTGAACCTAAACTGATTTTTAGACAATATATTCCAATACATTGCTGAATCATTTTTTTTACATAGCCCTATAAAAGGAACAGTTCACATTTGGAAGAATCAATATTGAGTAAAATAAACCAGATTTTATTTCCACTTTTTACGCGTCTTGGCATGCTCCACACCTCTTGCTCAGCTTTGTTAGCTGTTCGGAAATAGCTCTGAGAGTAGCTTATTAAATAGACCACGGAGTGCTTGTGTTCAAATTCAACAGACACTGGTAATAAATCACTTCCATGTATATAGATTCGAAATTAAATTTTTGCACCATGCTCTTACAGTTACATGCAACAACTGTTCTGGCAAAATAATACAGTCCGTGCTTGTAATGCTGACTCCACCTTTTGCTGCAGGAGAAGCAATTACACTTTGCAGAGCCTTTGACCCCTTTTGTTCAGCGTACTAACTTATTTGGAAGAAGTTACTTTTTGCTGCTGTAATTCTACTCAATTGTGAGTATAATTAGGAATCATATTACAGATAAATATAAAACGAGTTGATTGGTAAGTTTAAGAGGACATGCGGGTTCATTTGTTCACCCTTAAATAGAAAGTTATCTCACTTTAAGGCTAAGTTTAGCTACAGACCTGCTGGTACCTGCATTATTTGGATTCATTTTACTATTTTTTCAAGTTTATACAAGAAACTCAAATGAGAACACTATTTATAGGCTGAATCATTTCCTTTTTTGACAGGTTCTGGTCCTTAATCATGAATTTATTAACACTTCTCCCAGTTCATCTTCAACTCCTAAAACTCTAATTTGAGCAATTTTTAGTGGAATATGATTTAGAATAAGCTCAGGGAAAAATGTCAGTGAGAAGGTTGTTATGATGCATTTCTTGTACGTGCCCTTCTAAGGAATCACTTACATACATGCCTACTGGGCCCTGAGGTCCCTCCACGCCTGGTTTTCCTGTGAAACCCTAAGGAAAAAAGAAAACATACAGAGCTCACATCTACATAACACACAGTGACACAAATCTAAATGTAAATGCAATGGAGGTCATAGCTGCTCAGAGTGCGAGGACTCACCCTCTCTCCTGGGGGTCCTGGTGTGCCTGGAGGTCCTGATTTCCCTGGTGGCCCCTGTCAGATAAAAACAATGTCACCCGAGTCCGAAACACCAAAATACCACCCGATGATTCGTTCAGCCACTTCAATTTGCAGAGCTGCAAAGATGTTACATCAGCTCAAACACCCGACCTTCCAGGTGACGCTCAATCTGTAAACAAGGACACTGCTGATCGCCCGTACTGTTAAAGAAATGACCCTGCACAAAATGACTGTTTGCACTCTGACTACAAGAAGGCTGAAAGAAGTTTTTGCACAGCTTTTAACAGATCAAACTTAAAAAATGAATAAGAACATCTGTTTCTCAGGGAATAGATGTACAATATCTATAAGCTGTGTACTTCTAAGGATCTGTTCACCTTCAACAAACTTTCTGCCTAGAAAAAAAAACAAATGGAGCAAATCTTCTGTATTACTTTTAATCCTTTGTCAGTAAAACGAAACAACCGCAGGATAACAAAGCGTACCGGAGAACCTGGTGGGCCATCTGCTCCTCTGTCTCCAATGGTGCCTTGAAAACCCTAGAAAAGAAGAAACAGTGATCAAATATTCATCGAGAATCAAAAGGCGAAAAGTGACAGAGGGGGATAAAGAGAGAAGTGACAGGAGTAGCAAAGCTGGCCAGAAATACTTCAGAGCCAAAGTGGACTGTCACTCATTACAAATAACTGACAGACACTTAGCTGTTAAATCAGTAGTTTCATTAAAAGATTGAGCTTTTTACTGATAGTTGCTTACTCTGACATTTCATTGGGGGTCATTGGTCATTTGGAGATTCATGAGGCTACTCTCTCTGTCACTATGGATAATGTATTGGTGATTAAGAGTTTAATTTAAGACACTTTAACAGCAGCATTAGTCTTTATTAACAGAGAGGAGTGAATAATGTGGAGACTTAATGCTGGAGTGCAAAACTTTCAGTGGAAATGAAGCTATTGAGTAGTTACTCCAGTGTTCTTGGGACAAGGACAACATTAAATCATTCGGTCTGGGATTTTTAACGCGAGAGTCATTTGAAGGAAACCATGATGCAACAGTGCTCGGTGATATTTTTTGGTACGAGAGTGATTCGAACTTTGTTTCATCAGTCCAAAGAAAGCATTACATCATGACAGTGTTTGCACAAAACTTGCATAAAAGTTAAATGATTTATCTGCTCTGAGGAACTGGCCGGCCTGCTGAACTCAAACCCATCCCAGACCTTTTAATGCAGTTTGAAGTGCATTAAAACTCGAGAAGCCAGACCAATTCATCGTTCTGTGAGTGAGGCATCATTTTGAATATCCTAAGAAGTACATTATGCAACTGACTAATTGACAAATTGAAAATAAATAAAGATAAATAAATGTCATAGTTTTCTGAATTTGGTCGCTTTCTGCAGGCTTAAAAATCCAATCTGTGGTTGCTTACTATGATCCTGCTGTCCAGAGACTCTTCTCTCTGTCTTTTGAACTTGGAAAGTTTTGGTGAAATAAGCTTTTGTTACCTTCAGGATGGCCTTTCTTTGGGTATTTACAAAAAGCATAGAAATAGTTTCTGTCGGACCAAAAAGATTGAAATTATTATCGAATTTCCCCTCAGGGATCACTAAAGTTTTTCTTATCTTTTTTTGATCACTGAGGACTTCATGGTCAGAGAAATGCCAAGGTGTCTTTGCTGAATCAATCAATATATCTAAAGAAAAAAAATAGTTGAAATCTGATTTTGAAATCAAAAGCAGAAAAAATAGATTCTGGGAATCATGGCCCCTTTTTAAACCTGTGTTAAAAACATACACACACTTGCTGATCAGAATTTGGCCCATCCTTTGAAATGCTCAGTAACACACCTGATTTCTTTCAGGAGCTGGTTTTATCTTTTTGTCAAACTGTTTTCCCCCTGTTTACCTGATCATAAACCCGTAACATCCTCTACATGTAAACCTATTCCTCCTTGTAAACCCATCCGTCATTATGTGTTCTTATCCCACTGGACCCTGCAGCTTGTGGCACAGAGCCAGCAGGAAGTGTGAGGTCATGAGCTGCATGCTGAAATCATTATGAAGTCTCACCATCAGTCCTTTACTGCCAGCACTGCCGGCTGCACCAGAGGGGCCCTGAAAACAAAGGAAAACAACAATGACATGGATTTTCTTCCAGGGTAAATATCAACACATGAATGATTTTAGTGTCCATCACACAAATCTATCTTTTTTTAATTAAACCCTTTCTCGCTGAACAGAAGACTAACATATGTAGAAACTAAGCCATTTGCTTGACAACACTTATATTTAAACATCAGCTTTTAAATGCAATAGTACAGTAAATAGTGCAGTTGCTGTAGCATAGTAAAGTAGAAGAATTGCCCTATGGCACCTGTACATGGGACCTGCTAATTCAGCAGCTAGGTCAAATCTACACCCAAAACTTTCTCACTAAAGACCCCTTTTGGTGCTTCATTTTGAAATCAGGCCCCCAAGCGTCTACTGGTACAGCAAACCAAGCAAACACTTCACAATCCAAAAACTGTCAAAGCATTTCCCCCTTTAAAAAGGAGGGTTTTCCTTGCTGCTGCTGCAGTACACTCAAGTTAGATTCATGTTGGACCTTGCTGTATAAATGGTGAGTGTACATTTGAATGAACTGTGCTGTAGGAAGCAGAGACTGAATGCACTTCAAAAATCAAGATATGTGTTGAGTGTTCATTTGCATATAGAGCAGGGACGAGAGATCCAACCACAAGTAGACACTAGAGACCGCTGAATTCAACTGCCAAGTGTGACCTTCATACTTGGAGTTGGACACTCGTGATTAAATCAAACCCAAAAGCATGTGTGTATTAGATGTGAACAGACTCTACTTAAAGCACGAGTGGAGGTCAGTTTTTACAAATCTTATATAAACTTGCAAGAGATTAATGTTCAGGACTAGCTCTTAAAGGGATATTCAGCGTAAAATTACTTTAGGGTCAAACATACCATAACACCGAGTTATACCAACTTTGGAAACGACCACAGCTGTCTAACTAGAGAAGCAAGCGGTGGGTAACATTCATCTCTCGACGGAGTGTCTAACTCGGTGTTACGGTGTGTTTGATCCTACCTAAATTTACCTTGGAATATCCCTTTAAGCCTGGGAACCTCAAAGTTAAGGTAAGACAGATTTAACAATCCAGATTTAAACATGGTAATTGGTTAATTACAGAGTTGATGGAAAGTGGATTATATAACTTCCTTGTAGAGCCAGGTCAGCTGTGTTTTCTCAGGACTAACCTCAGTTTACCTTTTCTTGGCTTTAGCCTCCTCACTTAGCCGACAGATGAAAGATAACTAAAAACTAAATCAAGCTTCTTAATTTCCTTGAGAGACCCTTTCAAAAAGGATAAAGAAAAAAATATATCTAATCTAATCTAACCAATAACCACATTTTCTAAAATATCAAGTTATCTCTTCAGTCATCTTATTTGAGTATAAGCTGTTTTTATTCAACACCTTATACATTAAAAAAAAAGTAGATATTAGAAAGTAAAACTGCAAAAAATAATTTAAAAAACTGAGTCACCAGTTTAACACTTACATGCTAAAAAAGAGCCAATTTTTTCCAGAACATTTTTGAATGGTACTCCAGAAACACATTTCACAGAGAGGGTTTATCAGTGAGCATAAAAAATACACAGCTGATGAATGAGGAGGTGATACAGCATGAATAGTGCTTACAGCATTTTCTATAGAGCTGAAACAATTGTATCACCTCCCCATAGAAGACCTGCATTGTAAAAGACTGCCCCCTGCTGTTTGAACTAATCATTACCATATACTGTAAAAGTTTCAGAGACAGCTGGAGGACATTTTTATCTGAGCAGCCACAACTCTCTTCTCAAAGGACTTTTTACTCTTTTCAGGAGTGAAGAGTGTGATAAAGAGAGGTGTAGTGTCTTTTCCAACTACCATCATTATCAGTAGTTTTAGTACATAGTTGTACGGCTCTGTGTTCATTTTTGAATAGATCTGATTTCCTTCTGCACATCATTTAGACTCTGAATGTTGTTTTGTTGATTTTTGTTTTGGTGATCATCATATCTTTCAAATTGGTGTCCAGTTTATCATGTCGATAGGTGGTATTGGTGTATATGTTTAAATAATAAATATGTACATGATAAATCTAAAAAAAGACAATATTTGGACTAACATTAGGACAAAAATAAATGAAATCTGTGAAAAAATACCATGTTGTTTTGAAAACATTCATAGAATTATTGATATTAGTACCAGTAACTGGTCTGTAGAGGAAGACAAAGAGACACACACCCACACACAGCATTTACAGTTGATAGGATTGAAATATGATAGAGAATGGGAACCTGTGTACCAGGCTTTCCTTCTGCTCCCACTGGTCCTGGTGGCCCTGTCAAACCCTGGAAGAGATTGACAAAAAGAACACACACAAACACATTCACACAAACTGTTAAGATCCCCCAGGGTCGAAAAATCTCATTAGGTATTCAAAGTTTCATTAATGTTTTCATTAATGTAGCTTAATTAAAGGGTTAAAATAGCAATTAATTCAAAAAGTTATCAAATTTTATTTACAAAGCACCAAGAAATTCTCATGAACTTTTACAGACAGGGCAGGTCTACACTATTTGAAATCCTTTAAGAATAATTTTGTCTGATGACCTGAATTTTGTATCTTTTTAATCGTTTCTGAAAACAATACAAGTTTACCGGTGGACCCGGTTGGCCAGGGTTGCCTCGCTGTCCTGTCCGGCCCTTTAAAAAGAGAAGGACGGAAAACCACATTAATACCACAGTGTTTTGTTAAACAAGTCCTTTCAGCCACGATACTTCTAGGACACAGAAAAAGGACACACATGATTGGAGAGGCGAGATACTAAAATTATATGAGACTTTGATTTATCTGTAAAATTAATATGATATTAATACCTTGCTTCCTCTGGGTCCTGTTTTGCCTTTGCGTCCTTCCGGTCCCTTGTTGCCCTTCAAAGATGATCAGATGTAAGTAGCTTTGGCTGAGCATCAACATCCAGAACACACTATTCTGTCATTTGTGTCAAACAGCTAACTGAAGGCTGAGCTGAAAATAAAACCTAAATTTCATAGACACGTCTTTCCTGATTTGCACGCTGCAAAAAAAAGGCTTTTTATTGGACTTTAAAATGTGAATTGAAAAGGCCTGTGAGGCTCCACTGTTTTAATTCAAATGTGAAGTTTGGGCGAACATATGACGTCATCTGAAAGTAACAAGGTGCACAAATCATCATCACTGACCTTTAACCCATGGCTGCCCTGTTTTCCCTGAAGTCCTGTTTCTCCGTTTGTGCCCTGAAAGAAGAAATATATAAAAATCAGCCAAGCTTGTCTCGCAATTTTTCTTCACCTTCACCTGTCGGCTTCTCTCTCCTGGTTAAAAAGGCATGTAATACAAAACCAGGCTGTAAACACCAGACTGGCAATCTGCCAGCTGCCAAATAAAACCAAGAAAAGCTCAAGTTTGCGTCAAGTGATCTCAAAACAAGTTTATACTCCAACATAAGAACAGTTTTCTGTTCATCTGCACTCAGTCAAGGCCCTTTTCTCAGACATGTGCTTCTTCGATCTTTTAAGAAATGCCTCTATAGTTTCACTTGAAAACATCAAAAAAAAAAAAAAAAAAACAGAAGACCAGGACTGTTCACTGTACCTCAGGGCCTTTGGGTCCAGGTTGGCCCTTGATGCCTGAGAAACCTAGAAAACCAGCTGGGCCCCTCTCTCCTTGAGGACCCCTGATACCTGTAGCTCCCTGAATACCCTGATACAAAAACAGAAAAAAAAGACTTTCTCTGAATGAAATGTCAGGGATGTCTCTGAGTCATACAGCAGATACTGGAAGTTATTGATTTGTGAAGTTATTGATCAACAAGAGAATATGATAAGAAGCTCTTTTAGATCAAACTGTTTTCTACTTTCACTCATTAAACAAAAAGTCACAGGCTCCTACTTTGTCGCCTTTGGGTCCTTGATCCCCTTTGTCTCCATCTGGTCCCCTGTTTCCCTGTAGAAAAAAAAAAGAAGTAAACAGTCTCAGGGGTGGAAAGCGTTTAGTTTGCAGTAAATATAAATCTCTGAATCTATCACAAGTACTTACTGTTGACCCAGGAGGGCCCATCGGACCCCGTATTCCAACTGGACCCTATCAATAAAGCAAACGTAAGTGATGGCCACTCACATACCAAAGGACCAATCAGCTTATTTAGAAGAAAACCTTTGGAAACTCATTACTGTTTTTCTTAAGAAAAGGAGTTCAAAACAGAAATTAGGATAGAACTTGTTATAAAGGACTGTATCAGATATTTATAAGAGAAAAAAAAAACACGTTGAGAGAGTTAAAAAGGAGTTTAGTGTCTCCTGGTGTCAGATGACGCTCTACTTCACCACCAAATTTCTCACTCTTTCTGGTTCTTGTAAGGGTCGACAGCAAAACTACTTCTTCCATTTTAACACAATTCTGTAAAAGTGAAGTAGAGAAAGGTCTAAAGCCTTTGCTGCACACACATGGAGTGGGTATTAAAGATTATGAATACACTTTTTTTTTAAATTTTAGTATTGTGGTTGTAAACTTGAACCTCTCTTGGAAAAGATATCTTGAAGTCAATGCTACTGCTTGTTTTCATACACTGTTTAGAAAAACTCAATCTTGTTACAATCAACAGAGGTACTTCAGCCAGTAGATGGCACTGTCAGGCTGCACAATGCTGCCAAACAACAGTACAGTCAACAAATCGGACAGACTGAGTATTTACAGTCTGTGTGTGAAATAGAGCTGCTGTGGTGACAAAGGATCAGTCACCACAGCAGAGGAAGTGGGCTGTATACAACCGTCACACCTCTTTAAACACTTTGACAAATACCTAGGCTAATAATATATTGGCTGTATGTTCAGGTGCCACTCACCATCGGTCCCTCAAAGCCGGGATCCCCACGGGCACCCACAGGCCCCACAGGCCCCTGATATGAAAAACAAACAAACATCAGAAAATGAAAAACAGGCCAAAAAAACTGAGTATTCTATCCTTACATGGTAAGACGCACTGTAGACTTCAGCTGTTTCTAAATGTTGATACTTAAACATGCGTGAGAACCACATCTTTAGGTCACAAAACAGACACAACTTTAAGGCACTGATTTAGCTCAGCGTTGACAAACCCTCGCCCTGTGTACAGAGGCTCTTCCTCTTTGTTATATGTCAATCTTGACCCTCCTCTCAGTTTCACACTTTATCACCTGAATAAAGGAATGACTGAGCCCAAGAATAATGCAAAAATCACTAAATTATAAACACAAAAACACTGAATTTAAGTTCTAAACTAGATTCTGGTGCCCACATACCAGGACAAGTTTGGATTCATCAATTTGATTTATGTCTCTCTTATTTAACTGAGATCTTACACTCAAACTTTATGCAATTACTTGCTTTATCAAATTTTGTTCACTTTTTTATAAGTTTCCTTTGACAAATAGAAAAAGCAGGTGAAAAGAGTGAGTACATTAACCTGATGGAAACAAACTTACAGGATCTCCTTTAGGTCCAGCAGCCCCAATCAGACCTGGATGTCCCTGTGAAAATGCACAGATCATCTTTAACCTCAAGCATAGAGCCAGCTGTTAAATGAATGAATCAACACCCCAACAAGCCAATAGTTTAACCAGTCTGGCCTTGAATGGTACTTACTTGGAGTCCTCGATGTCCTGGAGGTCCCATCTGTCCCTCTAAACCTTGAGGCCCCTGGGTAAAAAAATGGAAGCTTATTCATTCACCCCAACAAAGTGTCTAAATAGTTCATGAAAGTTGAACAACTGCAACATAGAAAAGCAAACGAATGGATACCTGTGGGCCTTTGGGGCCAACACTGCCAGCAGGACCCAAGTCCCCCTGAAAGAAACAATAAACCATTCTCACACACAGCAAGTCACCTGCTGCAAAGATCTGGACGCTCACTCTTTAAGGGCTCAGCCACGATTTTAAATGATCAGCCCATTTTTGACCATATTTATTCAAAATACCAAATATTTGTTTCAATGTGAGAATAATGTTTTCTATCCCTGCAACCTGACCCTCTTAAAGGGGTTTGATATCTATTTCAACAGCTTTAACTTACGTAAGAGTTGTAATAAAAACTTGTTGTTGTTGAACAATCTTACCCTCGAGCCATTAACTCCTTGGGCGCCAACTCTTCCTGTGAAACCTGCCGCACCCTGTGAAACACACAAACAGAAATCACACACATACACGGAGCAGCGATGACAGACTAATGTGGTGACTTAATTATAATAGGTAACCGATGTAGTGTTAAGCAGATATCTCTATCTGTGTATAACTATGTAGGTATTTATACAGATCTTTGTAATTTAAACAAATAGATTTTTTTTTAAATCTCTAATTTGCAAAGAAGGGGCAGGACTAGATAAGCTTTTCTGCTTCATTCTGTTCCTTCTCAAACTGTTTATTTTGACATAACTATATTGTGTAAATTTATCTTTGACATGTACAGTTGTTTGGTGTAAATATGTATTATTTTGTTCGGTGTTTTTGTTTTTAGTTAATTTTTGTTGTTGTTGTTGTTCTTAAGTTTGAGATAAATAAAGAGAAAAGAAAGAAAGAAACTTATCCTGACTATCCACTCACCGTTGGCCCGGGTGGACCTGGAGGGCCATCATGTCCCCTTTCCCCCTAGTGAAAAGATGGTTATAAAAGCATTAATAATCACATGAAAAAGATAGCATATACAACTGTAAAGGGCATATCATTAAAAAATCGTCATTACTTGAGTAAATATGTTAACAAGTCATTAGCGAATCAAAATATTGAGATAAAGAAAAGTCTGATCCAGACTGTCCCTCACTCACATCAGGCCCAGGAGGCCCCTCTGGTCCATCAATGCCTCGGTTTCCTTGAGGCCCCTAAGAAGAAGATTGAAGTCCTGAATATCAGCTTGAAACCAATGAATTAGTATGAGACACTCAAAGTGAGGATGAATCAAAAAAGATAACCTCCCTCTAGTATGCCTGTGTTAACACTGTGAGGCAGAGATTCTCATTTCATGCCAATTTAACTAGTTTTTTAAAACTGAAAATAGATGAAAAGGGGCTGGTTCCCTCAAGTTCAATAAGAGACTGGGGATTATGGATTTAAAAGGATTCAGAGGACACCTGTTGGCTTTGTTACACTCATCTTGAGCTACTTGAAAATTTAAGAAACGTCTTACACAAGTGCAGCTGTTACTGTCATTCTCTCTGTCATTGTTGTACATGGATCATGCAGTGTTTTGGGAACTTGTCCAACATTTTTTTTCTGAAATAAGGGTCTTAAATAAAGTCAGAGGACAGAGAAATGAAACAAAAGAGTTGTAATAAAAATATTAAATGTCTCCAAAGAATTCTTAATTTGCTGTGAAGAATATAAGACTTACTGGAGGTCCAACAGGACCAGGTGGGCCAGGTAAACCATGTGGGCCCTATAAAACAACAAATCAAAGTACGAAGTCAGGCACTGAATAGCCACATCTTTTATTTTAAGTTATTTCACACGACAGGTTAATATGCTGCACTAATGCGTACCTTCTCACCAGGTTCACCAATATCTCCTCTTGGACCGATGAGACCGATGAGGCCCTGAAGATGTTAGCAGGCAAAAAACATGTTTCAAGTTTCTTATTCCAACTGTCTCTCTATTCATAGCATCATTTTAGCAGCAGCTGTTTTGACCTCTCTGCCGCGCACTAACCAGATAAAAAGTCAGAAACAACTGGAAGATAAATAAGCATTTAGTAATGGAAACTGTCGGAGTAGTCAGGAGGAAAACGGTAATTTATGATCATTGATATAAACACATGTCGAAGAGATACAGCAGTTTATTATGGATGGTAAGTAGCCAATGGCTCCAGTTTCACAAACAGTAAATTTAAACATAAATGGACTGACTGGATCATCTTAAAAATGCAGCTGCACTCTTTCACTTCTCACCTCATCCCCCTTTTCCCCTTTGGAGCCTCGTTCTCCCCTGTATCCCCATGGGCCCTGATGTCAAACAGAAGCATAGTGGAAACTTTTCAAATAATGAAAAACACAGTATGGCAGCTGCAAATGTATGGTTTATATGCTATTCTATTGTTTATTACACAGAGTCTGCCCACCTGTGATCCGGATGTTCCGGGTGGCCCGGGCTCCCCATCTTCTCCATTTTCACCGTCTCTCCCTGGGGCCCCGGCTCGTCCAGGAAGGCCCCGCTGACCCCTCTCACCCTAACAGACAGAAATCATGAATCATTCTGATGGATGATACTGTGAACTTCTTCATCAGCCTTGGTGAGCAGCTATGACACCTTCTTAACTTACAGGAAGAATACATAAATGAAAACAGACAAAGTCAAACGACAGAAGTCAAACTAGAATCTAAGTGAGAGAAATCGTGATAATGTATAGACATGGTGAGCTTCACACTGTTGGAAAACTGTATCATAAATACATAAATACATTAGAGGATGGTGATCTTAAGACACTGACCCTCCCCACCACTCACCATGGTCATTCATCACGCAGACAAGGTATCGCAGAAAAACACAGTGTTGAGAAGACTGGCCTGCAATGACTCTGCCAGCAGATAGTTGATAGGTGCATTGTTATATTAGATTCCTTTATTTTTCATTTTCTATGCTCCACATTTGAAAAAACAAGATTGGTTTTACACATCTACTCCTCAGTAATCCAGTGCAAACTTGTTGCACTGAAAAACTGGAGCTAGTTCCAGCAGAAGCCAACACAAGGACCAGTCACGCCACCATTTAGAAAAAAAATGAGAAAATGCTTAACTCAAGGGATTTCAAGAGGTGCTGGTCATCAATGGACTCATAATTTAATCTGTAAACACAATCTAACTTTTGACTGGATCATTTTGGGTTCAAGGCCTTGCTGGAAAACTTCTGCCTGGTGACAGGTTGGGAGAGGACCGATCTCAGGACCAACCGCAGATCATCGTCTATCAACTTTAAAGCGACTCTGGGGATGGGTGTCAACTTTTTGATGATTTTGGTGGAACCAGCTAATAGTTTTGAATGAGTTTCAGCCATGGTTGCTCATAGCTTAGGAAACTGCACCAGACTTTTACTCAAACTGTTTGGAACCAAGAAACTGATCTTCTTGAGGCACCAACTTAGATTAAAGGCCTTGATTCAGCCAAAATAACATTATGGTTCAAAGTTGTGAAAAGAAAAAAATCAAACTATATGAAGTCTTTCCCATTTTTAGAGGTGACCAAATTTGGGCAAGAGGGCGGTCATGCATTTCTCCGCCTCCATCCTGGTTTAGAGGTGACTCTTGTATTTGTGTAGATATACTGTTTTACCTCATTGTCTTTGAGCAATTATACATATCTCCTCTGTGTAGAATATGTACAAATGCTCAAAGACAATGAGGTAATCCTACAAACCCTATGAGCTTTGGCCATGTCTGGAAAAAACCTGACTTTTATTCATGTACACTAACTTAAACACTAACATGCATAAACACTGAACTTACATGTGTTTTTTTACCACACAGGCTTCAAACAGAACAAAGGCTGGTGTCCAGGCGACTTGAGTGTTTCCAACTATCCACCACACTGTTTAGTCCTCAGTACCAACTCATTACCCTGCTGAGACCTCACACAATATACAATATAGCACCATGCTCACACTTTCCATATGGCTAGTGTACTAACAGGGCTTGTATTTATGTATTTTAAGATGGTTTTGACATGGATGTAACACAGTTTAATTCACCTTCACCATTTAAGGCTGTTGGCTTAAACAAACCAAGTCAAAGGTTTTCAAATCTGATGGGACCCTGAACCAAATCACAAACAAGGGAAAAAATGTGAAACTTATAACTCAAAATAAAATGAGAAAACTGAAGTCACTACGCCTCAGGGTAATCAAATTTGGAGAATATGGAACTTCTTAATTTAGCAATAAATATAATTTCATTGCTTATTCTCTCAAAATGAGAAAGGTTACATCATTGGGAGGTTCATGGCAGAGGGTTTCCAAACACCCACTCCCTCTAACCACACTGACGCTGCTCCACCAGCTCTGTTACTCTTCATTTGACTGAACACTTGGTTGTTCAAGTCAGTGAACCTGTTTCCACTGGTGGGTCTATTTTTAAAAAGTCATATTATGGGATTTACTATGACAAATCAGCAGAAGGTCATGTTAAACCAGCTGGACACACTGAGGTTTGCAGCGGTGTCTATGAATATTTCCAATTACTGTGACTGAATTCATAATGAAACTACACTATTACCCTGCTCTCTCACTTACCAGCTTGATACTTATTTGTCGTTGGTTAAAAAACCACAAGTAATGAATTCAGAGCGGCAAGAATGATGCCAAAGACAATTTGATCACACATCATGTCAAATCAATCCACAGCAAGGAGTCCAGCTTGAGGAAGTTTTTGATATTACTCTTAATTTTTTGAAAAACACAAAACTTGTTAAATGGTTTGTGGTTCATGAGGAGACAACAAACCAGTGGGAGATGTCAAAACACAGAAGAAGCTAAAAGAATCATCAAAATTTAAGAAATGAGACCTGACATGACCGCAAAGTCACGATGCACTACTGGCTTGTGTATTTTTTTGAAAATACCAGAGGGAAATTGCCAATATTTTGTCTAAAAGTGAATGAAAATGTTCAGTGTCACGTAATTTATAATAGTGAAGCAGGCTAATGATGCTGCTAGTGTTGAATATGAATGAAAACATATATTTTAATGTAATTTCCACCTGGAAGTAGACCAAAGTATCTATTGTTTCAGACACAGTCAAGCTCAGAAAAACAAAAAAACTCAGAGGAAACATAAAAACAAGGATTTGTAGAGCTCACAGGCCACACCTCGGCAATACAGCTGCCATGAAAGAGTGACTGTCAGACCTCGATATCATTTCCTGTACCTGACATAAAGGACAGGATTCTTACCATACAGTACCCCTGAAAGGGCAAAGAAATGTAACAGACTTATGATTTTTGCCTGGCTCAATCCACAAACGTATCAGGCGATTATTTGTACAATGTTTTTCATCTTAATTTACCCTGAATCAGACATCAGTGGACTCTCATTTGCTGTGGATCAGGTAGAGAAGTTTACATACTCACCATCTCTCCTGGCATCCCTGGTTGTCCCCGCCCTCCAGGTTCACCAGACGGCCCCTAGAAAAATGATCAGAAAAGGGGTTTAAAACATTTAGAAAAACAAATACACTTCCATGTGTCATCAGATAAGCTTCGTCATCTGCATTTAATATCCCTTACCTGCATGCCAGGTCTGCCCATCTCTCCAGGTGGACCTGCAGGACCTTCTTTACTCTGCAAGCTCACAAAAAGAAACCAGCCTTAGGTCAACAAGAACCAGGAGAAACCTGACCCCAGAATAGATGGAGTATTAAATGTTAAAATATACTTACAGGCCAACCAGAGCGAAGTAATTGGTAGAAATTGCTTTGCTACAGGGAGAAATGGAAACACAACATTAATAAAAGAAGACGAAGAAGCAAAAATAGAATGACCGAAAGTAACAGAAAGGGAAATAAAAAAAGACCATGTGTCTGGTCCAATTCCCTCAGTGGAACATATAACTTTAAATGAAGACCATAAGCTCCTCCAAGACTCGATGAGGTGAAAGATCTGTCATTGGTTCATCACTCATTCTCATTCAGAAAAATAATGGAGGTATGTGAATGACCTCTGCAGATTGTCCACTGAGAGTTCAAAGCACTTACAGAAACATATCGCCTCCACAAAATACTAACAGACTTTTATTTCAGGCCTCTTATTTTAGGAACAGACTTGCCGTTTCCATCATGCTGACATACTGCTGGGTGTGCTCTACAACATGCAGCTGTGGCCACTGCAGAGATATTAAACAGATGAGGAAAGAGCCTCAGCTTGCACGCACTTTGGCTGCAGGGTCACAAGGTTTCACAGATAATTGGGGCATCTCATGGGTCAGGGTAAGATGATTTAGCCTTTAAGAACATTTGATATCTATCAGGTAACTGATAATAAATTAAACAAGAGTGGAAGAGCAAAGGAAAGCCATGTCATCTATGGACATCCAGGAGAGAGATGCTTTAAAGATTACCATGTGCAAGCTTACTAGGATTTAGACGAAAAGCTGGATAACAGTATCATCTTTCTGATTGGGGGGAGATAAGTTAAAGATAGGTTTAGCCTAGCTTAACTCAAACATAAACAGAGAAGAAGAAACAGTTTGTCTCCTATGGCATCTTTTTAAATTTTCTGTACTGCTTTTGAACCTGCTTTTGAAAAATCTATCTATTTGCCAAAGAGGTTCACCAGCGGCTACAACTCCACTTATTGATATTTAGCTACATTATTCAGCTTTGTATCTGTAAAACTTGTGCAACTAAAACATATAGGTTGTGTACCTGCACAGACTGTAAAAGTTGATCAGATTATTAAAAACGTTTTTTTTTTTTTTAAGAAGATACTTTGGCGTAGTCGTCTTCTGATGCCGGTTTCTCAGCAGCCAAGGCCAAAGCTGGTATCTGAAGGGTAGATAGACCAATGGCCAATGAACTCTATATAATGCTGATATTGGATTGTTGTTGTTTTATATATATGAATGAATAATTTGATTAGAAAAATACAGATAAGAAGAGAAATGCTGAATTTGAATTAGCATTTTGTACTTTCATTATTGGCTTTCCCTGGTGGAGGCTGAGTAAAATATCTGGATTTCTTGGAGGCATCAGTCTAGGTTGATTACATCACACTATTCATCAGCATGTTTAATTGGTTCGATCAATTACTGAGTGTACCTTTGCCACTTTTTTCATCAAATCTTGCTGAAACACAGAAACATTGATCCCTAACACCGAACAAAGATATTAGAAGAAGTTATCTGAAAGGTGCACATCTTCTTAGAGATGCTTTTACTGATAATTTATCTGTAATGAAAGTCATGTGTCAGCTACATTAGAAGTATTATTTCAGCTGAAGTTATATTAGCCATGGAGAATATGCTCGGCAGATTTTTCCTTTTTCTGCATCTTATTCTTAACCCCACAATGCACATAATAATCCACCAATTCATTGCCATCATTCTGTTGTGACCTTGATTAACAACATATGTAGGGATATAATGACATACAGTACATAACAAAAGAAAGCTGAACTGGCTGGTAAAAGCATGAGGCTCTGGGTGTGATTTCTTTTTCAATTTTGTACAATTGAAAACAGGATTATGCATCACAGGTCCTGAGATATAACAAAGCTGACACACTGGAAGGGTTAATCTGTTTTAAGTCACTGGAGCACAGCCTTATAAGGTAGTTAAACACAGAAAATAAAACCACAGCCTACAAGATCAAATACACTCGAAAGCTGCCTGAATCCTATCCAATCATCTAAATTGTGGTGATACCTTTAAGGGCCTGTCTGAACCTTTTTAAATTGAGATTCCTGTAATTGTTGTTGAGATATTTCAGCTGAGGCTAAAGTTGTTAAGCTGACAGATCAACCATTACCATGAAAAGAGCCGTGTCCCTGGTATGGCTTGATGGATCGTTGCCAAGGGACTTAGTTTGACTTGTACTTTTACAGCCTTTAACTTTGACATTACATGTCCTATTCACCATCTGTGCAACATTCATTGATGGTAGAGGCTGCTTTGAAAAGAGCTGTTCAGTATGATTTAATATCATTTGTACATCACTGGATTTGTCATCAGGAGCACCATGGGGTTGAGCGCCTTGCCCAACATGTGGACTCCAAGAGCTGAATCAGGAATCTACTGAAACATGACTGACTCTACCGCTGACCCTGTAAGGTTGTCTTACCTGAAAAGCAGCCCACTCCTCAGCTGTGTTCCTCCACAGGTACAGGGTTGGTAAACCTGCAGGGCCAGGAAACCCTCGTTCCCCCTTTTTTCCTGGACGCCCTTCACGGCCCGTCCTACCCTATGAGAAAAAAAGAAAATAGTATGTTAATGCATATCAGATCAGTTTATTACTTGGTGTACCACAACCTTCTCTTCTATTATTACATGACACTGGTGATATGCTGAATCATCGGGGCTGCGGTATGAATAATCTATATGCAGACTTAATGGGAAAGTGTACAGGAGTTTATAGCAGTAGGTGTTAAAATGTCTCCGGTGAAACTGAGCTATAAAACAAGATCTGGCCTTAGTGCCAGACATGAAAAAAATAAATAAATTAGAAGTGCACTCAAATCTCAAAGTGTCAACTGCACAGACTTAGCACTTCATTATAGACTTTGAAGTCATAAACAAGTTTCCCTTACCTTATCACCTTTAAACCCAGTCAGGCCGGGCTCACCAGGACAGCCCTGAGAAAACAACAATGATCACTCATAAAACAGCTCAAGACAAAAACACTGAAGAGATAAACCTGTAAAAAGAACAGGCCAACATGTAATAAAATTGCAAACGTTATAACTACTGTCTTCAACAATTTTCAGACTTGAACACCGCTCTCAGGAGTGTCAAACAAAGCAACAAGCAACTGTCAGTCTCTGTGGTTTGTGGCATTTCAGGCTTTGAACACCTCAAACCAAGGATGTCTGGATCTCAAATATCAGATAGGGACACTATGCATATCTTTATCTGATTAGGGATCAGCAATTTGAGCCAATTAACCTCACCGGATAATTTACGTGAGCTGTCATATACTGAGCCCAATCTACAGCAGAACCCTAACATGTAAGCGACTCAGAATATACAACCCCATGGCTTAAATGTCAGCAGTGTGGACATAATTTAAACTAGGAGGTTTAACTTGTAATATATGCAACACAACTGTTAAGTGAGGTGGCAGGTAGCAGTAAGGCTACATTTAATACCACCAACTTTAAATGAAAACTTGACATTTAAGAGAATATGGCCTATTCACCAAAGCAACAAAGAAGAATGAAGCTACAAATGCTAGACTTTAAAGGAGAGGACAAATATCCTGGTGAACAAAAAAAAAAGGTCAAAAAGAGAATAGAGAAGGTGGCTTAAGTTATCTCTGGACAACCAGCCCATCTTTGTGGAAGAAAACACAGGTTTTTGTCTGATCTTGGATCCACAGCATGTCCTGCTGTCTTGAAAATAAATGTTTTAAGTAAATAAAAAGATGATGCGACTATAGTTAGTTTAATACTGATATCTGAACCTGTCACATTTGCTCAGCAATGCCAGCATGACTGAATATCATTGAGCTACAGACCTTTTTTACTTTTTTTGTTTGACTGAGTCATTTATGGGGAAAAATCCAGTGTACAAACCTATCATCTCAGAGGCTCATTATTGACAGATAGCAGTGGCTTGGTGGCTGTCTAACATGAGTCTGGTCCTTCCCAAGGTTTCTGCCTGTTAGAAGGAAGTTTTTCCTTGCTACTGTCACTCATGCTAGATGAGATGGGCCAAATCTGTCCCATCTTAGGGTAATTCATCAAACAATGAGCGTGGTTTAGACCTGCCCTTTTTATGGACAGCATCTTGGGATAACGGTGCTATATAAATAAAATTTGATCGATTGATAGATACTAAAAATAAAAAAAGGACAGCAGAGGGACCCACAATCTAATTGGGACGTCCCTACCTTAAATTGCATTTCAACACTAAAAGATTTAAAAGCTTACAGAATTGGAGTTTTTAAGTCTAATTAATACTTCAAATTTGTCGTATTTGATTTTCCTTTGCAACTTGACTGAAACCATTAGAAAAACAGTTACTGATGAAACAAAACAAACAGTAACAGAAGAGTCTCATTATGTGAAGATATAAGACATGGCAGAGGTTAAGGTTTACATGCACTTCACATAGTGTCCTAATAGTCTGTGCAATCTGCAAGCCAAAGACTTTTTCCTGTCTCATACTAAGATCCTCTTCCCAAACCATGTCCCCTATACTTTTACTTCAAGCATTAAGTTTGACACAGTTCTTGTTGAAGCTAATGCTTGAGGCTATCTAGAGCAAGATCTGAGAGGAAAGTAGAACTCTAAGCCAAGAGGACGTCCTCCTTCATGTTCCCGACAGACATCTTCAATCACTCTAATCGTACTGAGTGATCATATGGATTTTATGCCAAAGTTACTCCAGAGAGACTGGCCCAGACGGGACCAGATGTGCAGTCTGGTTCTGGTTCTATCTGCCTGAAATCCCTATGATGACCCATCTCTTAACTCAGGTAAGCATTCTGATTGGACAGCATTAAATGCTTTTACCCCCCTGATCCAATCAGATAACTCTTAAGCCAGAGGGTACCATTGTCCAATTGAGTAATGCTATGACAAACTTTCGAGACTCCATAAATGTGTGGCTCCCTTGGAGCTCAGATCTCAGCATCAAAGACGTGTGGATCAACATATGTTAGAGCAGTGTAATTCCGTGATCAAACTCAGATGGTCACTGATGGAAAACAGTCCTTGTAAGCTGGAAAGCATAAGCAGACGTCACACTTTCTCCATTCAAAAGGGCCCATCCTGATATTTTTTATCTTATCAAACATCACATTGCTCTGATATGATACATTGAACAAAGAGATAAATCAGGGAAAAACAAGCCTCAGCCCCATCTTAGACCATGTCCAAAAATCTGCTCCAGTACAAACTACAATAATATTTTTTCTTTTTGAAATGTTGACATGAGGATGGATGACTTCTTACTTTCCCTTGCCATTGGGGAACAAGCTGCCACAACTGACAGAAGAGCCTTGAGCCACAGTATTGTTCCAAGAGAAACATTACTTACTTCTGGTCCGGGTGGGCCCATTTCGCCCGGTGGTCCTCTCTGGAGACGGTACATTTTGCCATCCGAGCCCAGGACCATGTCTCTATCCCTGGATACAATGGTCACAGTGCCAGGGCGCTCATTCCTTGGCGGTTTACCATTGTTCACATTTCCTCCATCAGTGGTGATGGGTCCTCCTTTCTCCACTTCTGCTGTTGCAGATGGGCCTGGGATGACAACAGGAGGTGTAGGTGAGATAAACCTGGACCTATCACTGGTCTCCTCTGTTGAAGAGTCTGTGGTTGTTTTTGGATCTGAAGGGATTCGAGGAAGTGCGGGAAATATCACTGAGGGATTCTTAGTACCTCCAATATCCAGATCAATGACATCATCGGACGGTTTTCCAGGAAACAGTGAAGAAGTCCTCCCACTGGAATCTATCTTTTTATCTGTGGTGATATTTTCATCCAAATTTTTGGAGGGAAGTTCAGGCTTCCCCTTTTGGCTGCCCTTAGGTCCAGTTCTGGAAGGTTTCCACTGAGGGTTGATTTGTCCTCCGTTTTGAAAGGTTGGATCCAACAAGTCAGTGTCCTCATCGATCAAAAAAACATCCCCTCGTCCTGCTGATCCTTTCCGGTTGGATCCAGAAGGCACTGTGCCGTCCCCTCTAGAAGTCCCTCGTCGCAGAAACCCATTCTGAGGCGAAAGAAAAGAGGTATTGGAGCTTGCTCAAGAACAGCCCTTCAGATATTTGAACAGATGTTTCCCTGGATTTTATCATTTTTTGATGTCAATAGTTAGAAGTTTACAGATGTGTGTTTTTGTGTGGAATGCTCTCCCTGAGAGCCTATAAAGATTACTCACATGAAAGTGATGCAATTTGTAATTTAGTCATAATTACTTCCCTTACACAAACCAATAGTTTATCAATCGTATAAGAGTCCTTAGAAGTGAAAAAGCTTGTTCTTGCAATTTATAACAAGTGTCCCATTTTGCCTGAGGAGATATTGTTGGAGAGAAATAATTAAATCACACACAGAGTTCAGTATAACTAAGAAAGGCTTAGTTAGAAAGAAAGAAGTGATCATTGAGTCCCAAGTAAATTTTCATTCAATATAACTTCAGTAAAAAACAAAAGACAAAATTGTCTTTCAAAATAAAATCCCCGTGTTTGATTTTTTTTTTCAAGAGACAAAAGACAAGACCTACAGAAGAATTTCAAACAATACACACCCATGCCAACGCCATGCCTATGCCTTGGTGTCTCACTATGACAGGAAGTTGGGTGAGAAACCATAGAAATTTGTTAGACTTTACACACATATCTCGGCCTCTTTGATTTTGGAAAGCCCAACTGGCACCTAAAGTGAGTTTTTATTTTCTAAAGAACGAAATCAAAGGCCAGTTAAACAATAAAAGTTGACAGTACAACAGAGCCCACTGTCATGTTGAACAGAAGAGCAGTGCTTAAAAACAATTTAAAACATTGCTTTTCTTCTTCATAATTTATGGGATCATTAAATTTGAATTGCACATGATATTAAGACACTGTTGTTATTGCTGCTTGCTCTTTTCGAGGTTCATTCCTTAGTCTGAGAAACATTCTTGACCCTGCTGGAAAAGTGTTTGAATATTAGGGGGTAGGGGCTCAAGCTGCTGCTTACTGTTAGCTTTATAGCACAGGTGTCATTATGGCGTCTTATCTGGTGCAATCTTTCTTGCCGCCGATATACAATCATCTTTCTACAGAGCATGGTCGGACAGACTTTAGGAGTTTACTATCTTTTATGTCAAGTTCATGACTGGATTTTTGATTTGGAAACCTGATATCCTGTAAACTAACGCTACCCAAGAAACAACCCAAGCTAATGTCACTCTGGCAAAAGGCTTAAGGTCAACATCTAAGCCTGAGATTAAAGACACTGAGCCGTTTGCAGAAATGTTGTAGCAAAACCTCAGCCGACAAAATCACAGCTTTGAGACCAGTCCATGAATTCAGATAAATCAATCTTAACTCCCCTAATCCCAGCTGAAACCTTTCTGTCCTGTCTTATTTTGGCCTTCAAGAGTTGAAGTTTCATCTTTTCTGGACTGTTACTCATGGCCTCTCAGACATCTGCTCATTTTACAGGATTTTTTTTCTAATTTCTTGAGTGTGCTGTCTCTCATTAATATTGCTGTGGTTCTTACTGAGATGTTTGGTGGATGCAAACCAAAGCAGATACACTGATCCCTAGGACTCAGTGTCTTCACACTGCTGGAGGCTATATTTGATCTTTGACCTCCATTATCCAAGGTTATCGCATCCATATTTGCAGTTCTGTTACTTTCAAGAAACAGCTGATGCAGCACCTGCCTTTGACTTATGTACATCCTGTTCCCAAGAAAAAAATTACTTATTGCCATGCCAAAGTTGAGCCATAAAGAGTAATGAAACTAACCATAATTGTACTCTCTGTAAATCAGTTTGTTTAATAACAAGATCTGCCACAATATTGACTTATTTATTGACTCTTACAAACAAATCTTTCAAGAGAAACAAACAAAGCAGTTAAAAGTTTTGTGGTATGCAGAGGTGAAAGGGGAAACTCAAAAATCAACAACACCCAAAACACTTCGACCCAGCCCCATCCCCTTTCTCGTCAAAAAGCCTTAATACACATAACAAAATACATCAATATGTTGGGCCTTAGGGACCAGCGGCACAGGAAGAGGGACAGGGGCCAAAAGGCTGTAAACTTAGTTTGAGGACCCTAATGGGCTGAAATGGTGAGCTGTAAAGTGGAGCTGAGAGTCAAACTGAGAGCAGGAGCACAGGATGAAAACTGGAGTGTGCATTGTAGAAGTTATATACTCAAATAAGTGAGTAAACAGTGACCCTGCACTAGAAAAAAACTTTACTTTTAAAATAAAATTCTGTCAAATTTCTTGTTCTCTCTTTAACACGCAAAAGGTTAAACTTGTACATGATAACATGAGGGTCAAGCCTTCGTAAACCAATAACATTTACCAAAATGCACTGCAAGAAAAGCTACATGCCTCTAGAATTGGTCTGTCTGAGGCTTGGTTCACAAGTCTGGTTCAGATTAAAATGTTTCAACAAGTATTACATGAATTACCACCAAATTTAGTGCAGATACAAGATGAAATCTTAACCCTCTAATCCCCTGATTTTTTTCTCAAGAGATTGACATTTGTGGTTTCTAATGGAATATCTTCAGGATTACTGTAGGGACCTCAGAAATACACACATCACTAGATAATTTTTTTTTTAATGGGTAAATATTTACCAAACCCATCCCATAACCATCAGCCTCAGCAGCAGCTTATGCAAAGACTTGATCAGCAAGCTCAGAGGTACTGCCATCAGGCTGAAGTGAAAAGACGTGCACGATAAGCGATCCGACTGTTAAACATCAGGATGTCAAATTTGTTATAGTGAATGTGACTGTATCCTCAAGTTAACATGTAGCGCACGAAGTACAGCTGTTTTTGATTAAAACCACATGGAGCTGTTAATGTGGCTTTTGTTTATGTTAAATTAAAGACTACAAATAAGGTGAACAAAGAGACAAAAATGCATTAAATGTATCGGGGGAGAGAGCATACAGTCAATAGGGTGTGGGTTGTTTAATGCTGCAAAAATCAAACATGAGGAAATCAAATCAGTCCCTTTCACATTGTTGTGAGCCAGATCAGGTAGGACAGATAAGATGTCAAATTACCTCGAGTGGAAACTGTCAATGCAAAATTATCAAGATTGCATTATCAAAATGAATTACTTGCCCAAACGATACCCTGAATTAGCGGTGAAACCGAACTTTTATTGAGCATGATGAAATATAAGAATAGCTGTTAGCCTTGATATGATATCTGAAGTGAAACCAAGCTCTTAATAAAGAGCTGGCTGGGCAAACAAAGACCTATGAAGGGCTGAGATAGGACAGAGACCAAAATACTGTGCCATAACTCAAGACAAAGAGCCTTTTTTGTCTGTTTTATCAAGGTTCAGTCATACAGCCAGCCTTAGCTGATAAGCTGACATCAGATCTCCTTTGGTCAACATCGCCTCCTTCAGTTTATTTTGCCAGCAATCTTAGCGATATCTTTATGAGCACCAGTCTGAGTTAAACTTTGTTTGATTACTTTGACAAGCTGGCTGACTCTCGGTCAAAACATTACACAACTTTAGAAAAGATAAACTCCATGAAATGTCCCAGTTTGTTATGAAACTATATTGAAATCCTATTTCACCAGGTCATTGTACACCATAATTCTGATTGTCATGTGGATTAAAACTGGAACAACTCAAAACTTTTTTTTTCTTTCTATAAGCAAGATTTTCAGGGGTAAATGTTACTAGTATTTGACACAAAGGATGCCGGTCAGCTTGGCTCCTATGGTGAACATCTGCCCAGAGAACTGGCACAGAAGCTCAGTTACACACCATAAAAGACAGGACTGCTTCCTCAGGTGATTCAGCTAACTTTATGAAAGTCTGACCCAGAACATCTTGGGGTAAGTGTTTACTTTTTGGTGCTTTCCTTTCCTGTCAGAGAGCCTCTTTGCTCAGAGTCACATTTATGTTCACGTACAGAAGAAGATGCATGTTCTCAGGCTGAGAGGAAGACATCTTCTGTGGGTAATATGGGTATAAGTGGATGTTGTTCAACTTTGCTTCAAAATATCAAACTCTTTTTAATCCAAAAGATGGTGTTGGCTCACAAGGGAGGAAATATAGCCAGACCTACAAGAGTTGGCTTGGACAGAGGCAAGTCATGGGGATAACAACAATACAGCACCAAAATCTATGTAATCAACATGTACCATTACACCGTGAAAAAGAAGTATAAATCAGTTTTCAGAGCCCGTGAGAATAGCAAGCAACTGCAATTTTTATTACTTCATCTTGTTTGTTTATCTTTCTGAAAGTCATTATTTTCAACATGATACTTGAGATTAGGAGGGACATCAATCCTGGAGAACTGCTACTATACTGTAAGCATATTGGGCAACTCCAGGAGCCGTTGCATCTTTTTTGAAGCAGCAAGAATTTTATACAATTGAAAAGCCCCTTTAGGTTATCAATTCTGAGATTTTAATTTTTTTCAAACAGTCTTTAGAAAGCCAATACTTTCAAAAACACTTTTCATAATAAATCTTTTGATCTTTACATCATGTGCCAAGACTATGTTTACATGCTGAGACAGCAGGGTATGGCAAGCATGGACACTGTACTTTCTCTGTGTGTGTTCACGTCTTTGTGTTCTATTAGCACACTGTCGAGCTGAGACACAGCATGAGTAATGAAGGTCTTGGCCCAACCCAAGTCTATAGGTGAACAAATGACAGTCCAGGTCTCAAGTGTTTCAGTCTGTGTCAGTATGCATGGCTGCAGGCAGAAAAAGAGACAGAATAATTTTACAGGCTTTCATAATGTTTTCTTTTTCTTCTCCTGCCAGACTTTGGCTCTTGTTTTTTTTTTCACTTGAAAAAGCTTTCAAGGAGTAAGTATTTGCTGTACCATGTTCCTAGTCATCAGGACCCTTATGCAAATGGTAAATACATACATTTGTGTGATAAAAGTCAAATCTTTCTGCCATGTTGCTCTTCGCAAACAAGCCAGTCACCACCAAAACATTTACTTAAGACTCATCAAGTCCTCACCCTGACACACATATCAGCCCACTAATGTAACACCTATCGGGGTGATTTGAGGTTTAGTTTCATCGTCAAGGATGCTTTTATGTGTGATTTGATGGAGAAGGAAGTAAAACCATTGACAACCCACTTTCACTCAAGCCACAGTACTGTGTTAACCTGTTCTCCTGCTGCTGTACTGACCATGTGTCAAAATAATACGGAATCCCAATACAAATATTCATAGGCAAAGTTCTATTCTGCAGCTGCTCCTGGTTTTACTACCTTAATGCAAACACAATACAGACATTATGTTATTACTTTTAAATTCCAACACAATCGATCAATAATATCAGGATGTCGTATTAACTGAAGAATACAAACCCCTCTAAAAGGTCAAGTGCAGGTTTTATGTCATCCACTCCACAGGGAGTAATGACGTGTCTTTGATTGGAGGAAAATCTGTACAGAGACTTTAAGATTAAATTACTGACACAATTGGTGAGTGTGATCCAGTTGGTGTCTATACTATATTATAGGAGAAAGAATGTTTTTGCCACACAATGTCACTTTTTCAGTCAACTAAACGATCAAACAGTCATGGTCAATGTCCTCCTGTCACTTTGCTCATGTAAGGAAAGACTCAGAGAGAAAAAGAGACACTTTTCATCAGCTCTGATTAAATAGTTGTGTTTCACTTTTTTATTCAACATTTAATTCCAATCCAACTGTTTTCCTAATACGACATTTAATGTAACGGGCTAATACATGACAGCCACTGAGGTGACAGATGCATTTCTACTTGTACTTGTTTTGATGAACCTTCCTGACCTTTAAGGCAGCCTCTTACTGGTCTGACTTGCAGGAACTTGTAACTCTTCACTAATCCATCACCTTGTCACACGGTTTTGTTTTATTATTGTCTCAGTTACAGTATCAGCGTGGTATAAAGCAGTTAAAAGCTAACCAAAGATTCAGCGTGGAATAAATCTGATATGCCAACATGTTTTCTTTAAAAAGAAACACTAGTGACCTTTGCTTTGCCTAAATAAATAGACGTAATTTAGAATACCGACTTGATGAGGCTGCTCTTCATCACCTGCACAAAGAAGAACAATGTGATCCCATCAGCTCCATAAACCAAAACCTTTTATGAGCTAATCTGTCTACCAAAGAAGGACACTTTTAAATATCATGACTCAGCTCTCCACAAACACTGATGATAAAAAAGTTCATAAATTAAAGTCGGAGCAGATGTTTGTCGCAGCACACCTGGACTAAATTAATGGTTTTAACAAACAACTGCGTCCTTCCATCAGCACAAGCCTGCTCAGAAGTCTGTCTCCATGTGCGGCTGACAGATCCTCTGTGAGGAGCAAAGAGAAATCTATAGAGGCCTCTCAACCTGACACAAAGGGCTGCAGGCTACAGCGCTATCATCGGCACACACATGCACACACACAGACAATGAATACTTACTCCTACAAAAGGGCTAATCAAATGGCAAGGTCTGTAAATCTAACCGAGACACAGGTATGCAGACGTTCTTAGACTGGCTTGGTCTTGCAAGTAGTAGTAGTAGACAGTTTTGCCTGGAAATACTGAGGATGAAAGTTCTCTGATGTTTTCAGAAAAAGGACAGAGACACATACCTGTGTTTGGAAGAGCTGAGAGGTGTCAAGAGATTAATCAATACTGACAAACTTTCCCAGGAACTTGAAACACAAGAATAAATCAACAATGGCAGCCTGCTAGAATTCGGATAGCCCACAGTTCAGAAAACCAGTCTAAGTGTGTCAAATCACAACAAGCTGTACCTGTAGGTGTGGTTTGATGTCTTTTTCAGAGTGTTTTCAGCAAAATCATACCAAGTGCACAAAAGTCAGCATGTAACTTTACACTGTTCTTCTTTCTGGAGTTTTGCATGATATTGACACCATCATGATCTGGGATTGATCTGCAAACTAGGACTGAAAGTTGGAATCAAAGCTCTAACCACATCCTTATGTTGGTCCTGGGATTCAAAACCATAACATGCTTAAGGAACAGAAGGAAAACCTTGAACTATATGAGAGCAAAAACAACCTCACTGGATCAATTAGTTGCAAAGAGACAATAGAGTCTTGCTTATTAGCACCAACTCAATTCACATTGAGTATTGGTATTGGCTGCTCTTAGTGTTGCTACACAAAGGCTGGAATTTTCACAAGCCAAACTCAAGTATCTGATAAAAAACTGATTATGCTGAAAACTAATTTCATTAATCACACGGAACAGCATCCTCACATTTGTTGATGTTTTTACCTACAAATAAGTGGCTCAGATAACCAATCATCAGAGCAGTTCTGCTTTATTACCACAGGGTTAAAATTCCAGATGAGTTTGAAACAGTTTTTAACTATAACACTTTCTATTCTGCAAGAAAAGTCTTCTCCCCCTGCTACACTCACCACAATCACTTCTGCATTGGGTTCAATACAATGGTCTGCATCAGGGTACTCTAAAAAAATGAAAATAGACTTGTGGTCTGTTCAGATTAGAGCAGGCTGTACCTTTCCTCTCCGTTGCCTCTGACCATGCACGTGCAATCTGTCTGAATCCAGCAACAGCAACAGGCAGCCCAGCAGCAAGTACCATCCAACATGGTGGAGCATGACTGCAGGAGACACCTCAGGTCTGTCTGCACTTTAACTCTGTGCACATTGTACCCACAGGCAGACCTCTGCACAGGAGGCTGATCCAGCTCCCAGCAGACACACCCACACACCTACCTACCTACCGGGTACACACCCAACCACATGTACCAACCGTACATCTCTTACAGACAATACATCTGACCTGGCATATGAGAGACTGTGGCCCAGCCTCATGAGCCCCCAGGGTGGCCCCTGAACTCTGATGAAGAGTAGGACAAGAGAGGATGTACGGGCTTTTACATGATGAATACATTCTTTTACTCAAAAAGTCAAAATATGCAACCGATGTTGAAGCAGATTTTATCAACAATGGTCAAACTGTTAGCCGGCATTCCTCTCGTAGAGCTCTGCTGAAGATGAGAGTGAGTATGTGAACGCAGAGAGCTGCAAGCACAGTATACAAACCGCAACTTAAAACCTGCTACAGTGAATAAATTCTCCTTTAAATGAAGAAAAACAGAATGAAAGAACCATAAGTGATGTGAGGGAATCCCTACTGGTTTTGTATATGCACACAACCAGAACTAAACAGAACCAAAAGCCTCTGGAGGACAGTTAAAAGAGGGAAAGGCTTGCAGCACCCTGACTCAGCAATAACAACCACAGTTGAGAGAAAACTTGAGAGTAAATAATCACCAAAGATTGTTTGAGGTCTGCTTGATTTACTCGACCGGGCTTGAAGCTGAGTGTAGACCTCCACTGCATTAAAGCAGAGAATTGCGGGGAGCATCTTCTCGCCACAGGAAGCATTACTTCATGTCTTATAGGAACAAAAGGAGAGGTGGTCGTGCATAAACTGCAATAAAAATAAACGAGAGCAGAGGGAGGTTGATTCAGGGCAAACAGAACCACTGTGGGCGCTTGGAGAACTGCAGGGCAGATGTGTGGGGGGAATCAATGATCTCTTTTTAATTCCAAACAACTTCCCAGCACATCTCTCTGCCACATAATCGCTTCCAGAGAGCTCTGCTGTCTGTGCTGAAAACATCATCCTTTTTTTGCATTTCAGAGCAGGACCTGTAGCGTATGGATGTCAGCGCCTATGGAGTGGTTTATTACTGGGAAGTAACTGAAAAAGGGAAAACTGCAGGTTGCTGATGTAGCAGCCTGACAACATCGACCATTACAGAGCATTTACACGGATGATTTATATTCAGTGCAAACATATTCTGTACTAAATTACAGTTCTGGAGAGGAAAATTATGAGTTGGAGCATGCTGTGGCTTCTCACTTTGAGGAAATTGTGCCTCTTAGTGACAGGGAAACAACTTGTGCAAGAACTCCTCTTTTACTGTTTCATTCTTATCTGCACATCCCTTCTCACTACAAGACACTTTCTCTTGTGCATCTTGACTACAGGGCCAGTCTGGCCTGTCTGTAATTTCTTCATTCTTATATTGAAAACAGATACAAGCCTAGCCGAGCAGATGAAAAGTTACTGCTCAATCAGTGGTAATGCACACAAAAGGAAAGCTTGACAGCTAGTAGAAATGTCACGCTGATTTTAAAACAAAAGCATTCTCCTTCTTTTTTTCCCTGCAAACTCAAAGCAGGTTTCCTCCTCTTTTTGTGTTTAAATTAAGCAAACTGTTTGCTTAAAGTTTATGTGTGCCATTTACCGAGTCTTTGTTTCGGATCCCAGTTCTAACACACCACATGGACTTTAGGGATTGTTTTAATATCAGACTTCGTTATAGCGTCTCCTTGAAAACGAGGGCTCTGTTTTTACCACTGCTTTTCTCTCTGATGCTGCTCGGACATGTTCCCGCTGCAGTATGTCATCTTTTTGTGCTGCATTGCAGGAAGATGACACACACAGTTTGAGATCTGTTCATGCTCAGAGCTCTCTAATTTGACTGTTTTATGAGACGTCTAATTAATTGTGTTGACCTTTTAAAAATGGCTCACTCAGTGTCTCACAGGGATAGAAACCAGAGGCTGATGTGGGCTCTAATTTTTCTCTTTTTTCTAAACTTTTTATTTTGTGAGGAATACATGTAAATTATTTTTTTGTGTCATGACTCTCTCTCTCTCTCTCTCTCTCTCTCTCTCTCTCTCTCTCTCTCTCTCTCTCTCTCTCTCTCTCTCTCTCTCTCTCTCTCTCTCTCTCTCTCTCTCTCTCTCTCTCTCTCTCTCTCTCTCTCTCTCTCTCTCTCTCTCTCTCTCTCTCTCTCTCTCTCTCTCTCTCTCTCTCTCTCTCTCTCTCTCTCTCTCTCTCTCTCTCTCTCTCTCTCTCTCTCTCTCTCTCTCTCTCTCTCTCTCTCTCTCTCTCTCTCTCTCTCTCTCTCTCTCTCTCTCTCTCTCTATCTCTATCTATCTACAAGGCAAAGAAACTCACACTTCCAAGGAGTGCTGCAGGGCTTGCAGACGTCCATAAATCTGTCTTAAATAATGGGAGAAAAAGCTCCCCACAAAAAGGATCGACATGTTTTTAAATGCTCTTTAGTCTCGAGTCTCGAATTATCAATATGTTATCATATTATTCTTGGCTGATAAAACTGCCAACTTTTATTAGAGCAATTTCCCACAGTATAACCAATACACTCTAAAACATTAGTGGTTGCTGTGGACAGATGAATTGGTTTTTGAACATTGACTCAACTATTAAAATCTGGTGCTGTGCAAAAAATAAAAATGCACCAAAGCCAATCTTGTTACGAATATTTGACATATCCAAGTGTGTGATAGCACGTAAAAAATCTCCAGCCTCTGATCATTTTTTATATCAAAAATCATTGTTTTTGTTCTTCTTTTATCCCCTCAGCCATCAGGCTTTTAAATGCCAGGAAGTAGGCTGATGGTCATATAGGGCCTGTGCTGAACTGGCGCTTCAGGAGTGTTTTATTTGTTTTATTTCTTATCTTGTGTCTCATACTGTGATCTTATTGTATTTTAACCATTGCGCTGTGGAACTTGACTGCTTTTGTACTTATTTAGCTATTTATTGCTGATCCTGCTGATCTGTGAGTACTGACAAGGGAATGTGGCTGTCTACTGGCTGCTATTAATGTCTTGCACTTGTCTGGTTTGTTTGTCTGCTGATTTGTGTGTTTGGATGGAGCAAACGGCAGGGTAACTGTGAACAGAATTGTCCTTAGGAGATAAATAAAGTCTGAATCTGAATCTGAATCTTTTCTCATCAAATCAGTGACATCATCTCTGAAATGGCATTAAAAGGGTTAAAATCCATAACAATAAAAATAAAAATAATAGTTTTGATAAGGTCTGAGGTTAATTAAGAGGTCTGAGCAAAAAAAATTAAAGTTAGTGGCTAAAAACGTCCACGAACAGGATGAAAGGGTGTAAATTTTGAACAGTTCACAAGGGTTAAGCAACTTTGTCCAGATCTCCACATGCACAGTGTCAATCCAAATAGTGGTTCATAGAAGTAGTAGTTGTTTAAAACATTAAGACCGTGCGTAGAACCCTAGCTTTCAAGAATGCTAAGGCGAAAAATTGAGCACTGAAAACCTACAGGTATACTCTGCCAGGACTATTTTTTTTTATACTACCAATGCATCCATGTGTTACAACTATAATATACAGAGACATCACCATAAAAAAACCCTACTTCTCTACCTTTCTTGAGGGATTGCAGGAGACGGAGGTCAAAATACAGAGTTTGTCTACAGCCCACAAATGGTGATGTACGACCTGGTGCACAGCCCAACATAGAGCCGCAGCAGGGTCCAGGATCTCGGAAAAGGAGATGCAGCCATTCCTAGACTTTAAAGTTATGAGAATATACATGCCAACTATTGCAGAGTGAGTATGCAATGACAGCCCCAATTTGTGGTTTGCACAAATGTTCATGCACTATTTAGTTCAAATATGAAAATTAAAAGTTTGCCTTAATCAAAAACAGAAAAATGATTTCTGATGCTGCTGAGAAAACCCAGTCCTCTTTCTAACCCTGGACTTCAAATCTGGCCCTGTTGGATATAATTAAATTACCCTGCCCTAAAAAGTAGCCGACCCAACAGTAAAAAATATATGACAGCCATTAGCGGGCACTGTAGAACAGCAAAGAGGCACACATACCACAGTTTGATATGTGTCATAAAACACACTTTTTAAAACAGAAAACTGATTTCAAGTCAGTTATTAAGTAACCGTAGCAACAACTTTTGATCCTTTGAAACTTTCGAGAGGAAACATCCAAAGTCTCAGAAGCTGAAACTCCTTTCCCAAGATCTATCAGCAGAGATGAACACAGAATCAAACACCCAAATTCATGGCCTGCTGCTGGTCACAACTACTTACTGGAGTTGACAGCATGGATATAGCAGCTAATTCCAGACATCTTGAGCTTGTACGTTTGGCCGTTGTATCGGCATATCTAACATCCTTCATCTCTATTTGCTGCTGAGAAAAGTTGCCAAATCCTCTGTCTGTCTCTCTTTAATCCCTCTTGTTCCAGCAGACAACCATTTAAACAGAGAATTAGGTGACTATTAAGATTAGTGATGATTTATGAAGTTATCTGGCACGAGAGCTTGTTGCTTTTGGCGAACACAGTGAACATAACCCTTTCAGGCTCTATTAAAGTCGAGTCAGTCAAAAGATGATCAGGTTTTTGTCCACATACTGTAGCGCATTTTACGCTGACTCGACTCTCCTGACATGATGACACTCCATTATAACAGATCTAAGACAGATCAAACTGGATTATCAAAATACACATATATATTTCTCTAACATGCTTCCTTTTAGGACAGTAAGTCCTCCTCATACTGATTTATGTGCAAGTGTTTATTTTCTGGATAAATTTATTCCTAATGTCTTATGAGATATTTAACAGATATCTGACTTACAGCTCTCAGAATTTAACAATCAGTAACTTAAGATTCATTAACTTCACTAGTTTACTACCAAAATGAGATTCTTTTCAGTGAACTGGACCAGCCCCGAGGATCTCTGTGGTTTTTGTAAAGTTAAATGCATGTTTTGGTTTGCAGAAAGGGTGAACGGTTAGCCTTGCAACTCTGCCAGCCAAATCTCCTCTGTGCATGCCCTCGCTCCACCAGGTAGTACTATGGCTTCACATCTCACATTAGCTGTGTTTACATGGGCACAAATAATCGTAATAAGGGCCGGATCGGAATAAAAATGTGTCACGTAAACATGTCGATCGGAACATTCTGATCCAATTCAGCTCAATCGGAAAGAAATTGTATTCCGATTGAGAGGGGTGGTTTATGCTGATTGTTATTCCGAAATGTGTTCATGTAAACACTTCTTCCGATCATGACTCTCTTGGATCTTCTCTCTTTAGCCTTTGGCTTGAGGCCAGTACAAGAGGTTTCATTATTAACACTCTGGCATAAAACATAAAAACATATAAACAGTGGATTCAGATTATCAGATCCCTCAAATTTTTAATCAGATCAAGAAATTTTGCACTTGTATTGTGAGATGGAGGTATGGTGTCGCTTTAAAAGATCATGCTCTAACCTCTGACCACTGCTTCATTTAAGTGCCACCTCTGGCCAGGCGAGCAGCAGGAAGTCAGTGAAGGCAGTGAGTAAAAAGACTAAAAGAAAGGTTAAGAAGCTGAAATCTATCCATAGAGAATGTTGAGAACTACTTACTTTTTTGTTACTTCTAGACATGAACAATAAAGCCCATTTCAAAACTACACAGCTCTGTAGTGTTTACATCACTGGTGCAGGATCTGAACTCTCCTCTTTTACAATTGTCGATTTAAAATCAAACAAATTTCAGGATCTGATGAGGCATTTGTTCATCAGCAGCTGAAACCTTTTCTACAGATGTAAACGTTTTACATTGGATTTAGTTCTCCGATAAGCAACTCCTGCCAGACTCTACATAAATACTTCATGGACCCCGGTGGATTGACAAAGTCACGGAGTAGTGTGAAAATAATGGATCGCTTTTTCCACCACTTTGTTTTTGCCTCAGCTGGCCATTAAAAAGCCTTTGTTTGACAAGTTTTATGAAGCAGGCCTCTCCAGAGACCCCAGTGGAAACACTTGGCTGTGATAGGATATGGAACAGGAGTATAACCACCACAAACGTTTGTATATCTGTGTGTGTGTGTTTGTGTGTGTGTGTATGTGCCTGCTTCTCTTTCTCTACCTCTGACAGACACTGTGTGACGACTATTTATAAAACTGAAAGCCCTCAGACAAACTGGATTTGCTCTCGTTCTGACGTTAAGTAAAGAAAAAACAAGCTCTGTCATGCTCTGGCTCTCCCTCTCCCTCTAACTCAAATGCACACTTACTTTACTGCCAAGAAAAAAACACATCTCTATCATTTAGGAGATTAGATACTTTATGAACAAAAGCCTACACACTGCCCAGCAACAAGTGTGTTGCAATTTTGCTCTACTCATATATTAAAAAACCTAAATACAGAAACAGCAAATCTGACTTCAGGTTATTTCGATTACGAGGGTTCAAAGCCATTAACATGTGCTGAAGTTCATAACTCTAGTCTGATGATTAAGGTCTCTGACCTCCAGGAGTGTTCAACATCTAAGCCCCCAGTGGAGGAGCAGTAGATTAACTAGTGGAGTGCCATGTCTCCAAAAAGAGCACCTGTCAGGGGAGCTGCTGGCCCTAGACAGGACATGCATCAAAGTCAGGAAAACCCCGACACAGTGGCCCCACGGTCAGTAATGTTACGCTTCAAAGACGGCAGCAGCAGACCTTAGTGAAAAAGAAATAGATCTTGTTAATGTTATTTGATTTTTTTCCTTTAAAACATGCAGATTCTGAGGAGAGCCAGAGACGTGACAGCTGTACCCCTGTAGGTCTGGTCTGCATAGATTTAATGAGAAACAGACTCTCTAACTCACACTGTTTCCTATATGATAAGCTACAGTTAAAGACAAACCTTTTCATTCATTAAATTTGTTCATTTTATTTTGTTCCTCCCATATAAGTAAACAGTGCGATACAAAAATTTGTCACACAAATAATAACTTTTTAAATCAACCCTTTTCATAATTAGAAAGGAGGAAGAATACAATTTTCATCTATGTCTAGATCTTTTTATTAGTTCAAATTGTTTTTAATCAAATATTATGAGTGTTAAGATGACTGGAAATAAATATCTTTGAATTCTTGCTCCCTGCCTCTCTTTTGACAGTGCTGCCATGCACTAAGGTTGCACTCAACTCTAACCTACAACCTCCTCAGCATCCACCAGCAAGCCAAGACTATGCAGGGTTTAAGATGTTGTGTCATGCATGTTAAGTTAATCTATGAAAACGGCTAAAGTTGAAGCCAGGACCCCAAACACAAACCATATTCAGCTTTTACAAAACAGTTTTGATCAACACAAAAAGAGTTAACTAAAATATTCTTATACTTTTTAAACCAATTAAAATTCAGCAGAGTAAACATTAAAATGTGTCGTTTGAATGAAAATAGTGCAGAGAAAGACACAAACAGACAAAAACTCAGGGACAACAGAAACATAAGGAGAAAGACATATGCAGACAAACAGCCAGAGAAGGCACATTCAGTCAGACACAATAAAAAAAGTGAAAAACAGAAACAGATGAACAGACAGAGGCAGGGTAATGAGAAAGAGATGCACCCTGCTGAAGGAATTTCAGTGACTATTAAGACAGATTTGGTGCAGTTTGCTGCAGCAAACATGGATCTACAGCAGAAAACAGCAGGAGACCTCTTTTTCATGTATGTCATCACAAAGGCATCTCAATGCCAACCTGATGGGGAAACTCTAAGGTGGAGCTGGCACAGCATGGTTTGGTCTGCTGTCTTATACTTCTTACAGTTCTGGCGGTACTGTGTACTGGATCGAAAACCAGATCCTCCATGCTTCTAGACTGGCAGACTGCATGGACATGAGAATGTAAATTAAAACCAGCTTTGCTTTTCCAGTCTTTGTTCTGTTTCCGTTTTTAGCATGTGCAGATTCCAGAAACAAGGTGTGCTCTGTAAGTGCCAGTGTCGACAACCGTGATATATTTTAAGGTACTTAACTCATTTAGCAGAGTGTGAACACGCATATCCAACAAGTCTAGGATGAAAAAGCTGGTCAATTGAAAAATCGCTTTTTTTTTTAAATCCTCCTCACCAGCACCAATTTTAAATATTGAACGTAATACTGTCAGTACTTCATAAATGTGCTCTTTGGTGGGGCTAATCCGTTTAGGGTTGACTTTGGACTTGTTCCATGGGCTGTTTGGCCTTCTTTACTGCTTATCAATTCAACTTTAGCCTTCCTCTTGTGTTAGTTTTTACTACCCACCCATCATGTTAAGGGTCAGTTTTGACCGTGTCTTAAATCAGCTGTAAATTACATTAAAAACAATTCTCTATCATCCAATTTGGTTCTCATCTCCAGGTTACCTTGTTAGGCTTCATTATCCATGAAATTATTGCTTATAATAGTTTTTGTAGTTGGCCTCTGGGCCTTTCTTTGTCAGTACCCCCCTCATACAGACATCTAAACTGAATTGATCTCACATCTTTGGACATGCCTGATGTTGTTTTTTGAGCTGGGAAAAAACATGGCAAAATGAGAATTTACTAAATCTCATATGATTGGAAGAGGATCTGACTGTCAGTGTGGTGCCTGGAAGTGCACTTATGATTTTAGTAATTATTAGATATTAATCTAATCAGGTCAACAGCGACCCTAACACCACAAGTGTCATAATTTTAATAAGAGCATTTTATTATTTAGTCAATGCAATTTTTTTATTTTTATTTTGTTGAAATAAATTCTTGATGCAAATTTAATTGGTTCTTTTAAGCATTTAAAACCAAAAACAGGTTGGTGCAGACCTCAGCAGGAGGGTTAAGCTACTGCTGAGTGTAAACTGTTTGTCAGGTGGTTTATTGACTCATTTTGATCACAAAGAATACATAAATACTGCCAAAAATGTCAAGAAAAAGCTCACACCTTCTCCACTTGAGTAAAAAAAAAATACAGCAAAATCTGTATTTAATCATAAGAGTTTTAACTTCAGCATCGTGATTAATGGCTTTCAGCGCACAACAAAGACCTGCGAGCAGACACAGACTGATGTACCGGAGCACAGACAGGTCAGCCACACAGGCGTCTCAAAGGACACACAGGCACACACATATATATACAGAAACACATGTGCAAAGTGGACCAGTCAGCAGAGGCCGAGAGGTGGGCTGCCTGGTTGTTGCCTCAGACGCCTGAGGCATCGCACCGCAGCCGTAATTAATGACAGACGCTGGTTTCACAGGCTGGTTGAGACTGTGACATCAGAGAGGGTGGTTGGCTCATGACTTTAGCTGTCCAAGACCAGTCAGTGGGTCACATACTTTTATGACAACAGCAGCAAACTAGGGCACTGCATGATTTTTTTTAGAGACTTTTAACTGTTCAATAAAGAGGAAACTCTCACCACAGCAATGAAAGAAAAGTTTCAAAGAATCAAACTTACAGTTCTGTCATAGCTAAAAAATGACTCATCTTCCCCCAGGAGGTCTTCCAGGTCATTTGAGGCCAGCAGCATATTCTGTACGGACACATTAGAGAAAATGTCCAAAACTGAGAACCACAAACCATCCATGTTCAGGGTTAAACTGATGAACAACCAAACATTTACCGTGATTCAATCTCACCAGACTGGATCAAAAACCACTGGAGACTGTGAAGTTCTTATTTTAATCCTCCAGTGAGCTTTTATTACGCTTCATTGTATATGAGTATGTCAGAGTATTGACTGCAGGAGTCTGGGTGTCTGGTCTGTGGGCTTGAAAAGACATCTGGTCTCACCTTAAACACCTCAGGGACATGTCAGAGCCGTGCTGTTTACATAATTCAAAAGGAACAATGCTTGAAAATGACATGACTCTGTCTGATCCCCTTCTCTTTCACTCCTCCATTCATCTTTCCTCACCTCCAGGGCGCTGTTAGTGCGTGGGGAGCGAGGAGGCTTGGGGGCAATCTCCCCACAGCGGGGCGGGTGGTGACTGCAGTGTTGCTTGGCGGCGTCTGGGTCGCCCATCAGAAAGGTCAGCTGTCGTAGATGACCCTGCAGAGACAGACAAACCAATTTCATGTCTAAGTGAAAATACATGCATATTTTCTGAGTTATGTTTTGACGATAACAAGTTCCAAACAGACATGAGAATAAATTGGAACTTAAGTGCAGTTTGTTTTTGCAGTCTTAGCAGGCAACATAGGAAAGATAAATCAGCTCGGGTTGTTATTCTCTTGTTGCGTCATCTTGTGTTTTAATCATTGTTGTTCGGTAAAGTTTTCTTTGACTGTAAACTAAATATGTTTTAGTTTAGGCTAGAGGATAAGCACATAGAAACTCAAGTTTGACATGTTTTTTTTTTTTACCATTTTAAGACATTTTATATTTTTAAAAGATGAACATCCTGCAGATGCAATTCACAAAACAGACAAAAAAAGGCCTTGAGAGCTGTTACTTCATTGTAATTGATTTAATGAACAGTTTATAATTTTAGTGTACTTAAATAGAGGGGAAAGTTTTGTCCACACATACATTGATGCACAGGCATATAAACTAGTGGACACACACATAATGGGGGTCACTGGAGGTCAAACATTTCACTGTGACTCATGAATTCCTCTTACTCAACCTGACATCTAATCAAACAAAACAAAAATTCTGCAGATATTTAAAACCTACAGCCTCAGGTTGAGTCACAAGAGACAGTGTCTGTGTGTCTGTCTGTGTGTGGGTGGTAGGGGTATCAGATTGGTTAATAATTATAATTGCCCCCCTGCATGTTCTCAGATCCCATAATTTCAGCGTGGTCATCACATTACTGTAACAGTAACAGTTTTGGATTCGTGCTTCATGGTTAAAGAGAGGTATTTCAACAATTAACTGACTTTTTCCTCAAGCCTGATACATCTTTACATGAGTTTGGGGTTTGGCCATGAAGAACAGAAGAGAGAGGATTTCACCTGTGATCTCTTAAAAGGTGACCTGTCTGTCTGCAACCTCATTACAGATCCTTCAGTCAAGAATGAATTTCTTTATCTTCAGAATGTAAACACAGACACTTCAGTCCAAAAAGGAATTATTGTTTCTATTTCCTCTGCTTTACCTTGAGTATAAGAGCTGAGTGCATAGAAAAAAAAGAGAAGAAACCATTTATCATCTGACATCTGATGAACATGCTTTTTATTACTGCACTATTTTCAAATTTTATCTTGAAACAAAGAAAACTTGTCTTGTTGGATGTTGGATGTTTAACTAAAACAGGATTTTAAACTCTTGTAAAGAAAACAAAAAAAGTATTGTCATTGTCATCCTGCCAAACTCAAAGATAAACAGTTAGGCAGGGACATGAGGGTCTGTGTCCCTAAACATAGTTTTTATGTGCTAGAAGAATCAATCCTCTTTACAACCAGGTTAGAGTAGTTTCGGTGCTCAACGTCCTCAAACATGTCCTCAGTGTCCTTTTCTCACTGTTTGCACATCAATGTTGCTACTCTGTACATACCAATCAAAAAGGTTGGGACTTCTGATAAATCCAGAAATCCAAACAAAGGAAAAACTAACAACGCCTTTTGCTAAAGTGTCATGTCGAGGTTTATAGCTCCTGCTGCTGCTACATGATTTCAAATAACTATTTTCATGTTGTCTTTGTATAACAGCATTAAAAGAAAGCAAATGTAAACCATAAAGAGCAACGTGCAACAGGCCTGATTTTCAATAGTAAGGAAAGCTGGAGCCCTATAGGAAAATTTCTGTTACCATGCAACAGTAAACACCAGTGAGAAGCACTCTGAAACTGAGGTGCTGCCAGCACACACAAAAAAATAACAACCCTATCTTAGGACACAGGCCCAAATCCAACTTCAGTCTGAAGCAGCATGATATCAGAGGAGGGACGGAAAGAGCTTTGCAGCAGGAAAACAGGCACTTTCCAAATACAGAATATCAGACACTCTCCAAGATATCCTGCTTTTCGTATAAGTCAGGCCAAAACTTAGAGGGGGAGTCTGGAGGCTCAGAAAGGAGATGAAGCCAAACAGTGAGGGCAGGGGAAACAAAATTATGATGCTTTTGGCTCTCGAGGAACAGGAAGAGGGAATTCCTGTTTTCCTTTACCTCCCCTGTTCATGGGAAAACATCTCCTTTTTTTCCGTCTGTGACTTCTCTAACCTTACTCTCACCTTCCTCACAAACACTTCTCACTTAACTGTATCTACCTACTATCTTTATCCTTCTTTTTTATCATGACCTCTCTTTAACAATCGAGCCTTCCTCTTTATTCACTTCTTTAACCATCTTGAAGGTTTTCTCTCTTCAGATCCCAGAATAGACAACTACAACCAGCATGTACTGTTGGCTGTAGAAAACTTTGATTCAAGCTCACCCAGAACAAGAACCTTTGTCCATACAAAAATGCTGAGTCATGAGCAGCTTGAGTCACTGGTCTCATCCACATCCTCATAAACTGCTTCCAACACTTCCAAGGATGATCTGGTGTGAGCATGTGACAGCAAGGTATCAAGGAACCTCTTAAACTTTTTAAAATTTCTTTAATGCAGAGTCACATCGCTGAAGAATGCTGTTTTAAAAGAGATGTTTCACATGTTTTCTGCAGAAAAACCCAGTCTTTCCCAGAACAAACCCATAACGCCCTAAAAATACTCACTACACATATGTTGGGAGTGAGCAAAGCCTGCTGTATACTTTCATGTAAGGAAAAAAGTTTTTACTGATTCAAATTCTGATTGAAGTTGAGTTACAGGGCAGATGTCTTAAAACAATCACAGACGCAGTGATGGGTTTTTACGAAGCATGCAAAAAACAGATGTCACAACTTTAAAGAAATCAAGGTTATCTGTTTTATTTCATCATGACTCAGCATTTTAACCTAACACTGAATGTCAAGGATGTTTTTTTCTGGAGGTAGATTGTGTGAAAAGGAGGTAAAAGTAAGTCTGGACAGATACTGATGTATACAAACTCATTATGGAAACCATTACAGATGACAAAACGAGACATCTAGTTTAAATCATTTGAACCCAGTTATGTGTATACTGGGAAAGTAAAGAATTATCTCGTTTTGTCATCTATCATTTTCATCTATCATTCATCAGCCATCACATTATGACAGCCTGACTGATATTGTGCATCTATGGGGCTGCACAGCAAACTGGGAAGGACTGTCTATTCCCACATCCAGTGATCGTGTTGCTGATTCACTGGTTTTCCCCTCTGACGTCTTCTGGAAGTTGCTGACCAATGCAGAATGAGAAACCCCACAAGGGCTGCAGTTTTTGAGATGGTCCCACCCAGTAGTCAACCGCCAGAATTTTAACCAAAGTTATAGCCACATACATCCTGACTCTTGCCCATTTTCCTGCTTTTAACATACCATCTTAGGGACAAACTGTTCACTTGCAGCCCAGCATACCCCAAACACTGAAGGGGCTATTGTAAACAGATCATAAATACATTTCACATCACCTGCAAGTGGTCAAAATGTTATGGCTGATCAATTTATGTCTGTGTTACCTAAAACTAAACACCTTCTCAAACCAAAAGGACATCAAGTAGTGCAGCTAATATTAGGTCTATGGGGTGTCTAAACCTTTGCAGCCCATCAATTCAGTTTGGCTTTTATATTCATCGAGTAAGACAGTTTGTTTATGTGGGAGATTTTCCTAAAACTGTAAATTGGTCTACAGACAAAGGATCCTGCATACTGTATCGATAGTGAGGGCCATGAGGTTGTTAGTACTTCTGATTCTGTCTCAATACTTGACTTTGAATTTTGAGAGTTTTGTCCTTCTAAAAGCTTAACGCTCTGTCAGAGCAACAACAACTTCAAACTGCACAAGCGTATTAAAAGGGTATTCCGACATAGGAATAAGCTAGGGTCAAACACACCTTAACATCAAGTTAGACACCCCATCGAGAGATGAATGTTGCAGAGTGCTTGCTTCGCTAGTTATACCAATTTTAGTAACAACCATACGATAGCAATATCCAGCGGTCTACATCTCCACATGCAAACCTCAACCAATAAGCCACTCTATAGCCACAAATAATGCTCAGAACAGCACCTAACTTCATCAACAGTACCTATCGGGTCCCAGCCATAGTACTAGCCACCAAACATCTTTTTAGCCGCTTGTTTGTGGGAGGAGCCCTGACGAGTCGATGGCGAGTGCAGCGGATCATTTCCAAGAAGTAATAATCATCATAATAATCATTTTGCACTGTTGACGGGGTAGTTCTTCTGCCTTAGTGTCTTGGCCTGATTGTATTTCCATGAAGTAATAATCAGAAATGTTTTTCCTTGAGCTGCGAAACTCCGCTGCACTTGGTGATCGACTCGCCAGGGCTCCCTCACAAAAAAGCAGCTGCTGGATTTGGTCATAATAACTGGGACTAATATAATATCAATAAAAATGAGGACAGTCAGAGAAGTTTAATGTTAGTTCTTAACTGATCATCTTTAAGATGTTTAAAAGTCGGTTTTAAGTCCCCAATAAAATGTAACTGTCAAACTGAATGCAGATGAGGAAACAAAATGTATTAAAACAAATGAATAATGTAATCCCCATAAAAACATGAGAACACATAAATAAAGATTTCTAAGAATCCATCAGCCTAATAGTGCATGCTCACGGGATCTTGCTCTCTACATTGTGCTTTGGGATGAATGCAGACAGCCAAACATGTGCTGGAGCTCAGCGGATGACAGTGAAAATTATAGATAAAAGCAGGATACAGTAATGTAGCACTAGCATTGCATAATACAAAAGACTGTCTGGAGAGAAGACTGTCACCACCTCTGAGTGTGGACGTGCTCTGTCCTTGGAGCGCAGTAAAAATCTGTCATCGGGGGGAACAAGGCAGTGGAGAATCCATATTTTATCTGGTGCTAAGAACGGATCCAGATGCTGCATCTGTGTCGCTCCACCTCACCTCATTGTGATAAACTCACACTGTCTGCTCTGATCCTCTGGCTAAATGACTGATTGCTGTAACTTGCATCTAAGGAAATGGCCATAACCAAAGAGTATTTGGACAGTAAACTTAAAGGAGTGAGCAACTTAATGTAGTGTCTTTTTTTTTTTGATGAATACATACAAAATACATCATTCTGGCATAATAATACATCTCTGTTACAATAAATGCAAAGTTAGAGTTCAAATGTAGGGGGAAAATCTGAAGTTTTACGATTCTTACAAGTTTACATGCCCTGCTCTACAGGATTCCTGGTGTAATCTAAAGGCTATAAAATAAAGTAAAGTGAGACGCCTTCAGGGAAAGGGTTGAGGATACCTAAATCATCCTCGATCCAAACAGTCATCAGTGTTTCCTCTGTAATCTTATGTAACACTGGTTCTTGGGAGGTAACTCAGGCTGTGCTTTGAGCAGGTTACGGGATTTCTATGCACACTTTAGGAAAACAAACACTTGGTTTCCAAGGATTACAGGCTGCGCCTCTTTGTGTCTGTGATGAAAAGGAAACACGGTTGGATAGAGCCTGTGGACAGAAATATCTACCTGTGTGTTCCTTCCTCTGTGTATTGTGTATGTGTATGCGCGTGCATGGATGAGAAGGCATGCATATCTTTTTAGCATGACTAACTTCACATATGCCGGACAAAACACATGTGGCCTATAACCCAGGACCAGTTGTTTCAGATATCATGTGGCTATTGCACAAACCATCTCGTAATAAACATGTTATCGTACGCATATGCAAAATAAAAATCGAAGGTTTTTTAAGATACTCAGCTGAGAGTTTGACCTCTTCGTCCTAATTTTATGATCAAGCAAAAAAAGGAAAGAAAACTCAAGTTACAGAGCAGGACGAACATTAAACCAGACAGACACCACTTACTTCAAATGGAGTCTCAAACGCCTCAATGATTCCTCCGACCATGAGCAGCCCGTCACTGCTGACCCCCATGCCGTGGTACACCCAGTCCACACTCTCCAGCAGAGAGCAGTCCACATACAGGGCCAGCCGCTTGGCAGACACACTGACGGCCACATGGTGCCACTCTCCATCAGACAGACCAGTGAATGGAAACCTGATAGAGAAACATGGGTTGTGTGGTCATAAAATTTCCAAGCTTTTGTTTCTTGACATGCCTGCATGTTTTAATCAGAACAGGAGTTTAAAGAAGGCTTTATGGCTTAAAAACTTTGAAATCTCCATATGATCAACTGCTTCATTTACTGAACAGTAGGTTTTGGACTGTAGATCAAGAGGACTGGTTAAAGTAAATGACTCTGAATCTCTCTTCGGTCCACATAGTACAAGAACAAAAAACTTCTTTCAAGATAAAGCGACACTAATGAGACCTTGATGATTCCATATATCAAGCTTTGAATGGGTTTACTATTTCCTTTTAGTGGTGGGTAATATTTAAAGTTAGTAGACAAGGAGAATACTATCAAAGTCTGTCGTAAGCACACTGATTTCTAACTCCATAAAGTTAAGATTTTTATCCCACAGTTGTAGTTTTCATCCAGCTGGAATGTATCCAAAGGTCAACACAAGCCTCTGTCAGTAGTTGAGTATCAACTGTGTATCCATGCGAGGCCATTAGAGGATTAAAACACCTCTTTAAAACGCGGTACACCCTAACACCTCTGAAGTCGCCCTAATGATCTGAAACAGCTTTACAGACCCATCGGCTTAAAATTGTCATGACTACGTGGAAACAGCAGAAGGAGAGTACAGTAGGTGTGTCAATCTTTTGGCCCATTTCTGTCGGCTGTCTGCAGTGATGCATTGCTTAACCTTCTGGTTCCTCAAGGGGAGAAACCTGCCAAAAGACTGCTAATAAATCATCCCTCCAAAGAGACGGCAAAATACAAATTACAGTCCCACAAACACACAGGCTGCAAACAAATACAGTTCCGCAGAACTGTCCTTCAATTTGCTGACAGATTTGCATCGAACTTTGCCAAGAAGCAGGAATGGGCATGAGTGGTCCTCAATTACCTGAGATGGATGTTGTAATCACATGCTGACAACTGGATTTTTTGGATAATGGGTAATGCTTTAAAGTCAAAAGCATGCCATTTGTTTTTTCTTGCCGGTACATTCTGAACAACTCCAGCTTATGAATCATAAATCAAAGCTTCTTTAGTCTGCTTTAGAGGTTTTAAAGCACTCTGTACTCGATCAAATTTGGAAGAAAGAGGGAGCTCACTCATAGTGTCTTTGCTGTGTTCCTATAAAGATGATGGCGTGACTGCTGATCAGTAGCTGCAGCATTATGTGGCTGTCCAGGCTGAGTATGGTGAAGACGCTGTGTTCATCATTCTGTAGACTCCGTAGCTGCAGCAGTAGACTGAACTCATCTGAAAATCTAAACAACATGGACACAAATTATTTACCTGTACTCCTTCTGAAAACATACAGAATACCCATCAGCCTTTCTGTGGACAGGGGCTGCACACAAACAGATAACTTTAGCTTAAAAAGGATGATATTTTAAAAAAAAAGTTCCAGTGAATGAATTTGATGAAACCGTACCCGTCAGTGAGGAGCTGTTGAAGAGGGAGAGCCAAGGTGGAGTACTGTCCCACTTGTAACACTGGACACCTACTGTCATCCAGAGACATGGATGCATTACTGTTGTTTGACACCTGAAGGGAAAGCTCCAGCAGAACGTTCACCTCATCTGTAAGGAGAGTTCAGGGAAGATAACAGCATGGCATCAACTAAGGCAGGCACAGAAAAGCAAATGAGTAAACTGTACAAGCAACAAAAACATACTGCATGGTAACATGACCAGAATTTTTACATCTGACACCTGAGTGAAAGAAGTTCGCCTTTATATGCAATCAAGACAATAGATAAAGCTAAAGGTTTATGTATAAGAGTCCCTGTAACATTCAGTTTGTGTGCAGAATTTTTTGTGCCATCTGAGAAAAGTGATTGTCCTGTCAGCTTAAAAAAATGTTTGGATGTAACTGTGTTATATACACTGATGTATTCTTCCACCCTCTTTAAATGAACAAAATGACCATTTCCATGAGTGATTTAGTGTTGTTCCGCTCAATTATGTAATGTTACGTAAGTTAACAACATAGTATTAACTTGATTCAAGTCTCAGCATGTTTGCGATACAGAAAACGGAAGCCAAGGACTCAGTTGTTTTAGTTAAATAACACAACATTACCAGGACATCCAGAATTGTGCAGGTATGTAAACTGCAGTTTGTTCTTGAGGGTCTGTCAAAAGTTTTTAACTGTGCTCTTGCATGCAGATTTAAAAAATGTGGGGTTTCTATGCAGATGTGTTACTCTTTGTAGTATCTGTGATTACTAAGAATGTAAATTTCATGACACTTCCTGCCCCAGCAGCACTGGTTCCTGGCCACAACCAATGTCCGCTTGTCATCCCCCACTTTCCATCAAGTCATAGTGTACCCTTAGCTTATCCTTCATTGGTGGCAGTCAAGCCAAGGTTGATCCATGACTCCCCATAAATCCTTGTCTTTGTTTATCCAGCAGTCCTTTACATTAGACATTGAACTGTGTGGCAGCTGTTTGGAGAAGGCCCTTTTCATGTTACAACATGGCAATGCATGCAGTCAACCAGAAGAGTCCATTCAAGTATTTCTGACACAGAGGCTTTACTTGGGCATGTTGCCAAGGTATATAAATAGCTGCCAATGAATATTCTGTAAGGATTTTGGCATTCAGATTTCAAAATCTGAAGGAAGCCCTAAACCATATTGCACATTGACTGAGGCTGTTGTTTTAGATCACTAAAAAAATGAGGTTTTGTGAGTGCCTTCTGAAGTTGAGACTTCGAAAACTCGACTTTGTAAAAATGAAAGTTTTGGGGTATTCTATTTGTGCAAGATGACTGTTATGTGTATGTACTTCACATGCACCAAGATGGCAGGCTACTGGTTTGTTTACATCTGCTTGGTAGAGTTGGGTTTGACTGTATGTTTACACAGAGAACTCGCTGTTCTTCATTATACTGGGGTGTGGAGACAGATAAATACATCATGCTCTAACTTTTTATTTGCCACTTGACACAATTTTTAAGGAATGCTATTTACAACTTAGTAGGACCTTCAATGTGTATGGGTACAATGTTCTTCTATGGTGTTTAAAGCTATAGATTGAAAGCTACCTACTAACCTGACATGCTTTTGTGACCGTGGACGGGGGATCATTCAAAAACACATCTGGTGTAGAAATTATCTTATTTCTTGTAAATGGAGAGAGAAAAATTGGGTTTTTTTTTCAAAATAATCAGTATAAGTGTAGACATAAGCCAAAGCCATGGTTTAAGAGTGGCATGCTCAACAGTTACAGGGATGTTAACACTCATTAAATGCATGTGCTGTCAAAGATTAGGGAGTCTGAGCTCAGTGACCCCTCCTGCAGAGATGATAGCCTTCCAAAGCTGCAAAGAGTTACTAAATTTTCATCCTGTTACAGTCCCAGTTGTTTTAACTCCTAACCAAGGGCTTTTTTCTATCATGGTTATACACGTATTAAATTTTAACATCATGGCACGAGGTTAAAGAGCCTTCCGTCATGTCCTGTGCACAGGTGGGTTTTCGGCTTAATTCCCCAGAGGATTACTAACAAAGCCATTCATCACAGTTGGACATGAGTCACCACTTAAAGACTGGCATTGTAGGATCACACTCCTAACTGGGAGCTGAGATCATTCCTGACTTAAATGTCTGGGTCATAATGTAAGAGGTGAGGGTAAGTTTAATTAGACCAACAGAGGGTTCATTTAGGCAACACAGAGGAGAAAATAAGCCATTTGATTTAAGAGCAGCCATGCCAGAGCCATGTGTATGATCAGGAGAGTTTCGGTTTACAATAGCAGCGAACGTGAGACCCTGGGATTAAAGCACTGTGAGCATGTCTCCTCATGCCTCAGGACTGTTTCTCCAGGTATGAGATCGCTCGAGCTGATTAAACTTCACCACTTCAGCGCTTTTTCAAATGAGCTTTTGTTTGTCGGCTCTTTAGTGACACCTTCTACCTCTGGAGTTGAGCTGACAGCAGTGCCAGATGACTCACAGGTCCAAAGACAGCAGTGTGGTCACACTCTGCTGCCTCCAGGAATGGCACTGGGGAAACATATCTGGTGTCTAAGCACTACAAATTCCAGCATACCAATCATCCAGGAATCCTTTATGATATATGGACGAGAACCTCTCAGAGAGGAGAGATGATTTTAATAATGGGCTCCTTTGTGTTTTTAACCTGAAGTTTGCAGCCCCAAGGGACGTGAGGTCAAACAGGAAAACAAGATGTTCTTCAAAGCACAACCATGAGTAAATGAAAGACTTACGTTATTCATCTTTGACTTCAAGGAACACAAATGATGGAAAGACCATCTACAAAGTCTGCTCGGAGACATAAATCTCAAAAAATGTTGCTGCTTTGTTGCTTAATACAGAGACACTCTATTAACTCTACCTTTTAAAATGACTTTAAGGTGATATCTGCTCTCTGTACTGACATGAATATGATAAATCAGCTACAGCATAAAGCATAAGAAGGCAGTAAAGTTCAAGCATGTTATGAAAAAACAGCTTCAGCAGTATCTACTTGATCGATTAAAAACAACTCTGGAAAGTCAAAGACCCCAAAACAATCCAAGTATTTAAGTTAGTTTAGAGACAAAAAAGCAGTAGCAAATAATAGATTTGTTCCTGATTGGCTGCCAATCACTGATTTAGGTAGCTAATTCAGCACTGAGGACATACAGTATTAGCAATTACAATTACAGTGCACTTGGGTCACAGTTACAGACACGTGATTCTAGACAATCAGAATGTGTTATGAGTGGAGTATTGATTAAGATAAAGTGGTGAGTAAAAGGAAATCAAGAGGGAAAGACACACTAGCTGTGGAGCCAAAGTAGCGCACTTTCTCACTAATTAATGATCAGTAAAATAAAACACTGATACAGATCATCAGCTGAATGCTCAGTCTCATTATAGGCCAAGGGGGATAATCAGTCCTATTATCATATACACACACGAGACAATTGAATACATGAGACGCATTTATTTTAATCACAACAGTCAAATAGGAAAACCTTCAAACCACAGCCAAGAGGCTGATAATATCACTGTTTATTTTCCAGCGAACTGAACTGATCAGAACTGTATATTTATGTAGAGACTGAGTGTCTGTTCTCCACAGTTACGCAGAATACTTCCTCATTTTTTACTCTTTGTTTAGACTCAAAAACTACCCACGCTTTAACCATTTACAAATTGCAATGAACCATAATAACAAGGTTAACATCAATCACACAATGCAGAGACTCCACTGTTTGTCGAGAAGCAAGTGTGTAAAACTGTTGATGGTGCAACGTCTAAATGAGCGGTAATTTATTGCCGCAGGAACTGGAAAATGTTCTCACACACACACACACTAATGCTCTGATGGTCTCCATTAAGCCTCACTTGTTCGAGAGTATTCATGAAAGCGCATTTCATGTGCCAACACTGTGCCCTCAAGGAAAGTTAGGAACATACTCATGTGCTTTTCTCCCAACACTATAATCAAAGGATCAAGTCATTACAAGAGGGGGGGCACCAGTCATGCCTGTTCCGTTTCCGGCAAAAGTAAAACAGATGTTTGAGTCCTGTACTGAAGGAAACGTGTGAACAGTGCGGAGTTTCAGGGGAAGAGTAGTCTTTGGGTTATGTTTTTGCTCCTTCTTAACCCATAGTCAGGAGAAGAGTGTTGCTGTGAAATTCTAGTCAATAGAAAGGTTCTGTTTTCCATTTGCGGTGTGGTATTATGTAAAAAGCCCATCATAACAATAACATGGCCATATGTTGCATGACTAACTGTTTCTAGGTGGGAAAAAGCAGAATGAGCACGAGCCAAATACATCAACTCAGAGAGATGAGCATAACAGAGCACAATGCGACAGGGGGAAAGATACTGAAAATCACAAACAGCTGTGTAAGATCGTCTTAAATTCATCGATCATTGTAAAGCATTTCATCTTTATTTTCACGGCATGTTCTGATCCTCTCCACAAGTTTCCGCAGTGGTCTTTCAACGAGGGAAAAAAGATAATTTATGCATGAAATTATCTGCCATTGTCATGCAAAAGAATACAAAAGCCTCTGGAGAAAAATGAAAACAAATAAAGCAAAAGCTTTAGTAATTCTGTTTTTATTTGACTTCAAGAGCTACTGCAAAGATCTGACTTGATTCACTGGAGGGATAAACACTGTCTGACACTTCAGAGGGTGATGACAGTGGATTACAATGTTTTGGATGACAATGAAAAACCTTCTCCTTGTTGATTATTATCCAGAAATGTATACGCTTGTAGTTTCAACATAAGCAGAGTTAGCAATCTGGGAAACTCTCTCTGACAGGCTGATCATGTGAAACTCATCTGTGATCTTCTTAAAAGTGGTATTGTGTTTATGAGACACACATATGGTTCTCATGCGTTCTGTATTGCAATAATAAGCTGTGTGATATTGATCTTTGCTCATGATTTCTACACATGTCAGACCATGTGTCCACGGTTTTATGTTTGCTGGTTGACAAACATGCAGAGATGTCTTTGTTCTTTTTCACCGACAAGAACTTTAGATGTGAAGGGAGGAAATAGTTCAAACCTAAAGCTGTACATGGGAAATGTAGGCGTCACTACAAAGCTATGCTTTGATTTGGGTTAATGTTTGGGAGCCTCGAGTCAGCCATGTGTGATCACATTTTGACAAGAGGGAAATACATATTGCAATGTCTCTATTCTTATTTCTTTTTGAGCATGGCACTGATCAGTGGCTATTGGAGTGTAGATTTGGCAGTAGACCTAAAAGCTTGGTCCTCTGTCTAGAGATAAGAGGATTAAAATAAATACAAGTATATTTACTTTTTTGATGAGAGGAGCTGCAATTCAGTTCTCTGTCAGGTCTGCAAAGAACACCAATCCATTCGCAATATACAGAAACACTCAAGTGTTGTATCTTTGCAAGAACCATCTGCCCCACTTGAAGCACATATTGGCTGCAGACACTTTGTTAGCTTTGTCTTAAATTTGCAACCATTTTTTTATTTTTTTTGCTAGCAGAGATGGTTGATGGTTTGTACAAAAAGAAAGTTAATATATAAATTCATGTTATTAAAGAGCCCAGAGATTAAAATATAATAATGAAAAGAAACCCTAAATATTCTTCACTGTGCTCCAGGTGCAGCGTTAACAACATACACTACGCTTAGAATCAATACAACACCACAGAGCCTGACACATGATGTTAGTCTTGGCGTGTTGTTGTCAGTGTGTGAGATTCAGTGCTTCACTGTGTAGTGATTCCTTTGCCTGAGGTATCTGCTGTGTAAGAACCATGTACCCTACCACATAGGTATTCCCATCATACCCCAAAACAATCCCTGTCTGTGATTTAGTCCGATATTCAGCCTAAACAGATGTTTACCAGTATCCTGCATGCAAACATACAGGAGACAAATACACAAATTGTAAATCTACTGACCAAAAGCTAAAAACCAACATCAGTTTGTAATATGGGATGCTGGTGCATATTTGTTTGTTTTTACATGTGGTCCACTGTCAAAGTCGAGCCTAACTGCCAGCTGCACACAGCATCCATCTAATCGTTTCTCCATAACCGCACCATATAAATCATCCACTGACTGTGCCCATTTAATCAGCCTCAAGAAAGGCATACTGTCTCACAATCTTTGATTAAAATCATTTTGATGGGGATGAAAAATGAGTAATGGAAGTGCTCAGCATATACAGAGATATAAAAGGAGGAGAGCTTTGAGCCTGTTCTGCATTTTCAGGGTGAAAAACCTCAGACATTCAGATTTTCTCATTCCAGAGAGATGATGCTTTCGTGTGAACATGAAAACTGGGTTTCATCTGAAACTGGCTTTCCAGTTCTGGAGCAGAGCGAGGTCATAATGAAAATCCATGCACTCCTCTACAATCCACATTCCCCAAGCACTTAGCCTTGGACACACCTCTAATGATTGAACTAATTTCTTTTGGCTCAGACATCAGTGGAGCATGTAAGAAGCTTACAGACTTTAGGCCAGACTGTTACAGTGGGTACCGAAGCTCAGGTCCAACCTGAGCCAACAAAAGAGAATGGCATGAGGCCAGAGTAAAGCCAGTCTACTATTTCTCTATTTTTGTTACTCTCTATAGCTGCTGCAATTATGGGGCTTGGCTGATAACCAGCTCTGAGTCTGTCCAATGTAGGCAATTTGAAAGGAGGAAAAACTGGCCTGCAGAAGAAAGATAAAACTAATCAATCAGCTATCAGGTGGAAGTGGTTGCAGACATTGTAAACAGACTATCATATAAACTTCGAGGGAAAAAACTTAGCTGAACATCCATTCACTTTAAGATTACAAAATATCTATATTTTCAGTTTTCAGGGAGAGAAACTTCAAGCTTAACACAACCATATGCTGTGGTCAAAATATCCTGCTCTTATACAGTAAAGACTGGGGAACCCACCCCCATCTTTTTATCAATCCTTTGTGTCTTTCTGTATAAAACTAATGAACATACTGGTTTGTCGCAAAAGGTGAAATGTGAAAGAAGAAGCAAATCCAGTTGGAATGACAATGATTTTTTTCCGTATTGATTAGCTTTCAAATTGAGTGTCAATTCTAATCCAAGCCGAAATGTTTTTTTTTTACATTGACAACATTAAAACAATTGTTTTATCTAATCCATCAAGCTAGAAATAAGAGACCATTAGGTAAAGGGGTCGTGTTGAGTAAGCAAATGAGGCAAGATGTCTCCACTTTGGGTTGGCCCACATCATTTAATCCTGCTTATTACCTAGCTACTAAATGAAAACATTAACAAGTCGACTCTGAATGTTTAAGGGCCAAAGCCCGAACCATGTACATGTTTCATTTTCTTCTAGTCTCCTTCAGTTTGGTCAACATCTCTATCATTACGCCTCTCCTCTTTTTTTAACCTCTTCTCACTGTTTCTTGCTGTTTTCTCCAGATTGATTTGATAAGACTGGAACAGGACATCTCTGCCATTAATATAACTGTAGAAGATTTTTTATGTGGTTTTGACTAGTCAGATTTAAGAATGTAACACATCTAAGTGATTAAAAAAACATATTACATGGAATTAATGAAAGCAATGTTCCAAAACCGCACCAGTTTCAAGCACTTACGGTATAAACTATTGTAAAAAAAATACTTTACTAGCGTTTTGGGGACTTAAACTATCATGGGTAATTTACAAGACCTCAAGTAATTGCCTTTAGAAGGCCAAAATGTATAAGCTTCTGAAGAAAGACAGCTGTGGCACATACCCTTTCAATTTATTAATAAATGAATGGCAGAGCCTGGATATGTTCACAGAGTTCCTCCAGTCGAGTCAGGAACAGTTAAGGTGCTCAGGCAGCTGTTTCAGCCACTGAGGGTCAGACATGGCATGCAGGGGTCTCTGAGGGTCAACGATACAGGACACAAACACTGCATGTTCTCCCATTTCTGACCAGAGCGTCTTTACGCCACGTTGACTTTGTGGGCCTATCAGTGGGGCCTGTTTCCTCCTCAAACACAGACAGGCACGTTTCTACAGTTTATAGTTTTTACCCAGCGTGCACCGTGACAAACCCCAGGGGAGATGAAGGGAACTGAGCCTGCAGAGTTTATTAACTTAAGTGTTTACAGTACTGTGTAGAGCAGACAGCAGACTTTTAAAGGGTTAAAAGGGCACAGGTGGAGAGTTTTAACTGAACTGTCTATTGTATGATACCTGTCAGCTGCTTATACAACCTGTTTTGCCCTAGAAAGTAAAGCCCCCGAGGGCCTTATGGTCAGATACTTGAGGCCAGAATACATCCAACATATTGTCTTGATGTCATATTCAATTAAACCTCCTTCATTAAATAAAAAGGAAAATACAAAGAAATACAGCCAAGCCTGATTATCTACTTTTAATTTCTAATCAAAAAATGATTTAACATAATGTCGAAATTTCTGTGTAACACACATCATTGGAGTTGTTGGAGGAAAATGCAGTTTTGCTGGAAAGAGATAACAATTCTGTATCACTACTGAGGAGTTTGTTCAACTTTTGATGCACATGCATGTTGTTGACTCAAGTATGCATAGCTCACTTCTTCCTGAGTGCATTCCCCATAGTGTCCTTTTCATGTGCCAAAAATAACCGTGGAACAGATCAGATATGCCAATCAGTCAAAAATCGTGTGCAGCACCTGTGTCCGCTAGTGCTGTCCACAGTGCCCACTAGTGTCAGAAAATAAGATAACGGCTTGCACACGTAACGTGAAAGAGGTGGTACATAAAAATCCAGCTGACTGTCCACTCCAAAGTTTTCACTCAATAGTTTTACGTAACCGAACTGAGATAAACTCACTGTACGCCACTTATGCAGAATTAAACTTCAACTAGGTTGCAATTTTATAACGAAATTGTCCACGACACAGTCATGTTTTTCTTATCAGGAGTTGGTAGAAACCAAGCCAGAAGGGAACCACATGAACACTGTGGACACAAACACGACTGTAAATTAATGATGCGTGTTTTCCACATGTGCAAATAGGCAACAGTTTGCTGAAACGATTTTGCCAATTTGGTGTGTCTGACCATTCCCAAATGTTGTGTGTTTCACAGCTGATATCATACATCTATTTTTAAGAAAGCATTCCTTTGTCTGTGGAGAAGCCATGTTGTATGATGGCTGGCTCTACAGTGATAACAACAGGGACTGATAAGACGTCCTCCTTCTAATCTAAAACAAACCCTGCCTGGACACCGCTGCCTCCTGCTCTGGCGGACCTCCAGCAGCCGCAATCAGGACGAGTGGAGCCAGCCGCCACGCCGTTCTGCAGTGGGATCACATTACTCTAATAGTCTGAGACGACTAGCAGATACATAGGTCCATTACTGTTCTGGTACAATTACTGGGCTCTGCTATGCTAGAGGGAGGCAGCCCCAACTAGCAGAAGATTAAAGACTTCCACCTGCCCTTGTGAAAACGAGGCGAAATCACCAGGTCAGATATGCAGGAAATGAGAGATGGAAAGTTGGGGTGAACACAGGAAAGAAACTCGGTGTTCCTAAACATCTCAATCAGTTAGCCATCAGCAAAGCTTTAAGGATGAGCAGAGGACACCTTCAGCAACATTAAGCTTTCATGTAACCACAGACTGTTTAATGGTTACAGATGCAATGGAAAACACATCTGTCAACGCAATCTCAGACTCTTGCTTTTATGACCGCTAATAGAGGGCAGGAGATCCGATGCTTGGATACTGTTTCAAGGGGGGTGTACCTTACCGAGGATATCCCTGAGCTTACGTAAAATCTGGACCTGTATGTAGAAAGGCTTGTTAACAGGACCTGCAGCCTTTTACCTCCCGCAGAGAGAGATTTAAGAGGAAAGAATGGATCTACCAGCTCTACTGTGACCAGCTCAGGGCACAGAAGATATTAACCCTTGTCTTAAGCATTTTTTTCATCTACAGGCAGGATGCATGCGCCTTCTTAGTGGGAATTACAGGGCTATATAAGGGTGTTAAAGAGGAATAACGCTAGGAAGGGTAAGGAGGGATCTGATCACAGATTGAAACCAGAGTTGCAGCAGTTGCAAATAAAAGACATTCAGCATGAACAATTTAATATATTCTTTTTAACAGGAACTTCTGGAAACAGTTCTGATCACATCTGCTTTTACACCGGCTAACTCCCACTAATAAAACATGCAGATATTTCATGAATAATTCCAACTCTCCATTGTTTTTGATGTAAAAAAAAAAAAAAATCTTTAAGTCTTTTTTTTTTCTTCCAGGTTGGACCATTAAAACCGCAGGACTGGTTCTCTTCCTGCGTATATTCAGGGTGGTTATCCACAGCAACTAATCACTCAGTCCTGGAGAACTGAGAGGGACATAAAAACTTCCTGCGCTGGTTCTCTCTCATTTAAGTGCTGTTGTAATCCTTTCAAAGAACAGTGGAGCCAGTCATCAGCAGAGTCAATTAAATATTATGATGGCATAAAGAGACGGAGAGTCGCTGTGTGGTATTTAGTGGTTATAGCGGGATTCCATCTGCAGGTTTTTATATTAATGGTAGAAAGTAATAAAAACGCATGTTGTAGATATTCAATGCCAATGCTATCCAGGTGAGGCTTTAGAAAGTTGAATTAGTGCAGGTTTGATTGACTTACATTAACTTTTAATACAATGCAATAGATTCTTTTGAGTTCAAACTATTGAGAAATGGTCTCTCAGAGTAACTTAGAAGAATATTTTGTTTTTTTTCTTCAATTGTTGTCTGTTTGACAATGGGAATGAAAAATACTCATTTGGTCAGTTGATTCATCACTTTGGTCCAGATTCAAGTTTTTTACAGATGATGAGATAGTAGTCTAATTCATCCACAACCACAATTTGTTGGTACTTCAATATAAATTTCAGGTTCATGCAATATTCATTCTGTTTCATGCCATTTTTCCATTGTATTATACAAGGTTCTTCTAAGGGAACTTGGAGACTGTCACCATTGATAGTGCATTTTTACTCGCATATTAAAGCTGTCACTCATGTCTCAAAGTAAGAGTTCAACAGCAGCAGAAAGATGAATGCAGTTTCCAACTCAACAAAATCACAAATCATTAGGGGTGTACAGATTAACTAATCTGAATCCGTTAACAATCTTGATGTTGGAATCCAAGCGCTCCAGCCTGCTGGATTAGAAAAAATTCATTTCAATTGGTTGATGGTCGAGTTTTACAGCTGTGGTCTGGTTCACTGAGGCTTTGTTGTGTTATGACTGCACACTCAAGACTGTTGACCTTTTAGCTTTTACTAGACTCACAGTAGCTTAGGTGGCTGGTCAGGTCATGTTTCTTTGCTCACAAGGAGGAAACAACAACACACAAGATCAACAAGGCAATCTTCGGTCTCGACTGGGACTACACAACGCTGACAAAAAACAACTTAGCTATGTTTCTCCTTTCTGCGATATACATTACTAAATGGAGAAAATAAAAATATCTGGACATTTGTACCAGGGTGCAGTGTATTTTATGTCCCCGTAAACATTTGAAAGTTTCAATAACTTGATCAAAATGTCATTATTTGGGTCTTGGATAGTATTTTCGGCTTAAAAATCAAACTGAATCCACCTCCTACCTTTACCACAGCTCGCTGAAAGCTGCTCTGGCACTCACAGAAGTAGAACCAGGAGAAGAAGAGAGTGCAAGTAGAGGGAAAGGTTCCTGAATAAATTCACAAACAAACACAACTGATGAAGTCATCGATTTCTAGCAATGTTACAGATCATGTTTAATATCCATCTCCAGCCCAGTATTTGCTCAGGTACCTGTGATTGTGGAAAATATGAGGAGAAAAATCTATGAATAATACGAGGACCTACCAAGACTTTGGCGAATCTAAACTGATCCATTAAATACCACCATCTATTTTTTACTGTGACAATGCATCTATGGTGTAAAAGTGACTGATAGAAGATGAGCTTTCAACAAACAATAGATCCTCTGAAATAAAACCTGGAACAGATTTTCTTCAGTGAGAGGAAACGTAGACGAGCACCAGTCAACACTTGCCTTGGTTTGCCTCTGGACTGAAAAATTCATCAGAGGACACCAAGGGAAGTGGATGGCGTGATGAGCACACCCTCAGGTCACATTCCCTACTGGTTTGCACAGATTATATGGTTATGGTCTCGCTTTGCCCAGAGGTATTCTGAGCACTGAAACTATGCAGCCTGTGGGTATGACTAATGTCCAGTATTGATCTTAATTTTCTTCTTTGTTGTGCTAATAGTTCCTGAACTTGAGACATCCAAATGATAAAGTGCAAAAATTAGTTTCTGTGTTCGGTGAATGACAAGAGGGCAAAGGTCAGTGTGACTGAGGGGAATCCGGGCCATCTATCACAGGTTTGTTCCACTGTTTGACACACTGCCCCCCTCAACATTACAGCCCTCGGGTCTCTGAGGTTAAGGTCAATGTAAGTGTGACTAAACAGACAAGCAAAGAGGATTTGAGATTTAATGGGAAAACCTGGCATGATAGGTTGATATATGACAGGTATACTTTCACCCAGTCTGTCACTTTAAATCCAGTCCTGAAACATTGTGTTTTGATAGCGTGTAAACTGAATATCATGTATATGTTGGTTTATTATTGTCATGATTTCCTTTTCCATTGATCAGACGAGACAGCTTATAGACCTTACCTAACTAAATCATTAGTAAGCATAAATGTAAAATCACACTACATGCTCTGTGGATCTGAACTTCCACTAAAATCCAGAAAAAAACATCTCTAGTCTATACAACATTCATTGGCCAGTGTTGATCAGTAATGCATAACTCTGAATCTGTATATCAAACAATGAGACAACAAGGCAGCCTCATTTCTGTGCTGCCGCCGGTCATCGTCTGTCTGACAGTGTCTTCAACACGAACTGTTTTCTGAGGACAAAACTTTACGAGTGAGTCATTTTTAACTGCAGTTTCAGCATTTTGCCAATGCGGTGGCATCACTGTGCCAAAACCAGTTCAAGGCAGCTAAAAAGGTACTTGCCAAAACTGCTGACAAAGAAGACCGGTATGTAGAGCTTATCCTTTAAATGCCAAGGGTCAGGGCGTCAAAAATCCCTATAAGTAAAAAATCTTTCTCGAGTTGAAGCCTCAGCCAAACAGCGATTCAGCGTGACATTTATCTCAAAGTTTCAGCAAACATTTTGGGTTAATCCTGAGAATCTAACTAAAACAAATAAGCTGTATGTTTTCACAGATGTGAATCTGACAGTCGGCTTTGCATGAGAGATGTTTCGTTTCTCACAAAGCTGACACACAGGCACAATGCACATCCAGCTCTGGGACAGGATCCATGCAGGACCCCACCTTTGGGGGCTGCAAAACAGATGAAAGAGGTGAAAAAGGCCTTACCAGATGAGCTCTGAGTACATCTGGAAAGTCAACGTTTTAAAAACAGCGAGTCCCTAAAGCTGGACTCCGACCAGACACATAAACAACACCTGTGGTGATCCACGGGCCTGTCTTATATGAGCAACATGAAAAGATCTCTAACCATGTCAGGTTTGGTATTTAGTGAGTTTTAATTTAAGGCTTTGGCTTGAAACTGCGAAAACAGACAACTATAAGGCAGTCATTAGTGATTACATGACCATTAACACTCTCTAATTAATTATTTCTTCCTTGCCATGTTCTCACCGACTTTTTTTCTAACTCCATGAAACACACGGCCCAGATGAGGAATGTGTCAGTTGAACTTGCAAACAGATGGAGGGAGAAAGCCTTTGTGCTACATGTGTCTTACATACCAGTGAGAAAAAAAAACAAAGCAGTGGAGGGAGGGGAGAGCCGGACGGTCTGCAACTGAGGGTTTTACATGAAATGAGGAAAGCAGAGACGGGGATTTTGGATGGCCGAGGGAGTTGGTGAGTCAAGTAATGAGCCTGCTGGAAACACTGAGGGAGAAACACATCTCTACGGTCGGGGAAACACGAGAGGTAAAACAAGGTATGTGATGGAAGAAAGGCAAACCAACCAACCAGGTCCCAGCAGCAAATGAGAGATGATGACCAGGAGCGAGGAAGAAAAGGCCTCTGAATGATATCAGCTTCCAACACTTTCTCATCAGTGTGATATTAATACTTAATCTGAAGGCTTCTGGAGTTTGTTGGTTTATTTCCATGATTGTTACTGTTACCTGCAAAGCATACAGCCACGAGCCGGTGCAGAGAAACAGATCAGAGTTTCCAAATTATATAACTGATTCTTTATCTCCATGTTTCATGTTACATTTTTCATATGGAGCTGGAACATAGACAGGTTTTCAGACTGACATAATAAACGGGATCCGGGTTTATTAGTGTATGGGAACTGCCCCCTGATACTGGCAGAGCTCCATTCAAGCTGCTGCCGTTATCACCTTTAAGCAAACATTTTTACAGCGCTGCGTCTGTCTTTGTGTAGCAAACACTCCACGGCTAAATCAAACATGGTGTGAAATGGACCCACTTTGTCTCAATTACTCTCTCTTTCTCTCGCCAGCACCGTTTTTATGAAACAGGGTCAACAACCTTATTCAACAGATTATGAGGTGTAACTTTTGAAAGCATTTTGTCAACCAACACCCTCTTCAGTTCTTTTTGTCCATGTGGCTTGCTCTGCAACTTTGTCCAAATACAAAGCTCTACATCTGCTAGTCAGTTAGACGAGGAAAGTCTTTCATGTTTTTGGAGAGATGAACTCTGAGAGAATAATGCAGGGATCATTAAAATCTAAAAGCAGGTTGATACTGGTTCTTTAGATTAAAAGAGAAATGGCTGGATTGCCACAAAAAAACTGGTATCATACGAGCAATCATTTAAGTTTGCATGATAGTCTTGAGTTTAAAAGAACAACCGTGTTTTTAACAAACTCTCTAAACTGCTTGCGCAACATTAAATTTATCATTTAAGTTTGAATTTAGACAATGCCTAAATTCCCCGGGCCGTCACACAAAGCACACATCCTGCATCAACTTCAGAAGTCCAAATGTCCAGCGTAAAACTTGCATTACTCACACTGTTGTCAATCAGACTGTGAGTGAGAAAAGATTACATCTGCAAAGCAACTTCACCATTGGCTGGTGAATTGTTTTAAGAGAAAGGTGGGGCATCAGGTGGTGTTTGCACTGACGCTTATGCTAGCTGCAGCTACTGTTGCTTCTCCATTCCTTAAATAAGACGTATATGTTTCACTAAACCCTGTTTTGTCGCTAACTTTTCATGTTAGAATTCATTGTGTTAGAGGTCGAGGGGATTTTCTCTCACCTTTAAATAGCTATGTGTTTTGACATTGCAATCCATTGATCCCCCTATGAAACAGGCATCAGGGGCCCATGCTCTTCTGTCAGCTTGTTGCTGGTTCTCTTTACAGTAAGAGAAAGGCATACTGCCACCTTTACTGCGTCTGAATATACAGGCTTGCTGATAAGACAAGAAAGCAGCTTTTAATGCTTGTTTTTATCGTGTGAAGTTGTAATTTTGTTAAGATAATACAATTTTCCTTGAAAACAGCCAGATACCTTTCACTCTATGCTTTCACACATGATGCATCTTTAATTATAGAAAAAATTTGCAGAATTGAAATTGGTAAAAATAACGTTGATATTCCTCATTTAAAAGTCTTTCAAAGCCTTTGCACAGTGGGGACATTTGATCATAACTGTGATCCTTGCACAGGACAAACTTAGTTTTTTTTTTAAATTCACTTTATTCACAATGTTTTTGTGCATGGGCCCCAAACTTACCCCACTGAACTTCAGACACTATGAACCTTTCCAACAGTGTGTGGCTTTTTGTTCTTTCATGGCTGTAGCTTAAAGGATTAAGATTTACTGGCAATGAAAAAGCTTTAACTCCTGACCTCAACAATAAACTGTATTGTATTATACTATATTGTTTTGACCACTGTACTCAAAGTTACTTCTGAGATTGGCCAGACCTTTGTTAAAAGAGACTTCAAGACCTCAGCGGTCTTCACTGCCCTCATAACCAGAGGCCTGTCTTGTTAAGGTCACCATGATAAGGCAGGCCACAGTGAACGGGGTAAGAAAACACCGTAGTTATATTGACAAAGTCATTAAAAGGCTTGTAAAAAGTCTTGTAAAAAGTTTTACAAGACTCTACCAGGTCTGTCGAATGGCCCTGTGCTGTATGAATCCTGACCTTTAGAGTCAACTTCAGCTCAGTTAGTCTCTTTTTAGGAACAAACAGAGCGGCTGAGGAGCTGTATCAATACCGAAGAGATTAACCTGAGAAGAAAACTGATCACAGGAGAGCGAAGCAGGCGACAGAGTGACGGTGAGAGCAAAACATCCCAAAAAGCCCATTCCTCTTTCTGTCACGGGAGTGAAGACATCTGAAATTTTCATTAACGCTGTATTTCATTGCTGTCAGATTTGTTACACTGTGTCAGCCTGCTGGAAATGCTCGTTTTCCAGGATGATGGATTTAAATCGGTGTAGCATGTACTTGGCTGTTATTCTGACATGGACATAAATGCTGGAAAATAACTTCTCTCATACACTTTGTCCTCAGACTGACCTGTTTCCTATGGAGACATGAGCTGTGCCAAGTCTAGGTCCTGCGAAACTGTAATGACAACCACACTAAGAGATCCTGACAGGCATGTGTCTGTTTGTCAAGGCGCCAGCAGCTCAGATACCGGTGGTTTTCTCTTCACATCTGTCTGCACCGCTGACCAGCGAAGATTACATCACTGTCACCTAATCAGCAGGCATGAGAACACAGCCAGTTCACGGGCTCCAGGTTATCTTTGTTTTGCTGAGGAGGAAACCGAGGCCACAAAATAACGTGATACTAGACAGATCACAGCAGATCTTTACAGCTTCAAGAAGGTGTCTTTTCCAGAAGTATTCTCCTACAGTTTTAAGCAAAAAAATTAACATGGAAGTATTAATTTCACACCATCTCCATTCTGCATCCATTCAACATAAACCATCTTCTTACACACTTAAAGTGGGAAGCACAGCGATTGTCTTATGTGTTAAAAATTGGGCGCTTTGTGGTCATGTCACAAAACAGAGAATATAACCCCTACAATGAAACTAAGTTCACCGGCGTTACAGTTCTATGAGTAACCCTGTTAGCTGGCGACTTTCAATAAAATGTCTAAGTGGCTGTGTCATAATGCTGAATTCCAGTTGTACTCTGAAGTTGGGATTTCAGAGCTCCGAGTCAGAATTTCATCTGGAACAGCCCCCTGAAGTCAGATTTCCGACTCGGAAAGTCGGTCGATCGTCACCAACCCCGACTTGACGACAACGTAAAAATCCAAGATGGCAGCGCAGTGCAGCAACAGTGAAGAGAAACAGTGAAAGCTCTTGTAATGTATTATTTATTAGCACTTCTGTTTTGTTTCTGTGAAATTAAATAAGTGGTATATGTTGTACTGCCCAACGTCCAACTATGAACACGGTGCTATGGTGTTTGTAAGAGTAAAATACTGTGTTATGCGTTGTTTACAACTGGTATAGCTAACATTAACTAAAAACAGCTGACAACGGCTAACAACAGCTAACAACGGTTAACAGTAGGCGCCCATCTTTGTTTTCCAACTTGTTTACTTTACTTGAATGCCGTCAACTTAGGTGTAATGTAATTCCCAGCTCCAACATCTGACTTCCAAGGTAACTGGAATGCAGCACAAGATTCAAAAAGGTCACCAGCTAACAGGGTAACTCATTCAACCATAACACCAAAGTCTGCCTGTACAGAAATACATGCTAAAATCTTTTCAGACATTGTTTCTGGCTTTTGAAAGTTAAGATGTAAGTAAAAACAGTTTTCTAACACAGCTCTGTAATTGCTATACATTTGTAGCTCTTTGAAATGATTCACATTCTGCATGTTTGAATTGAGAATTGGGCAGATATATTTAGATGTTGCCTATGACAGAGCAGTCGACTCCAAAAAAATCTGTTGATGTTGGACTCTGAGATTTATTTTAAAGCAGCAACTTAAGTCCCCCTGACTTCCATTTCACATGACGGATCTCCTTCCTTTTTCTATAGGCTGTGACTGAGAGAGTGCTAAAGCTGTTAACAGTATGTAGATTAAGCTTGTAAAAAGTGTGTCAGGAATGCAGCCGACTGAGCCATAATCTGGATCATGTCAATCAGTAGAAACATAATCATATATCTCTGGACCTGGGCTGCAGACTGAGCAGACGAAACTTGTTACAGTTTGTCACATAGTGTTCACCCCAACTGTGCTTCTTTTAAGTGTTCAGTGTCTTTTTTTTGTCAACATGTGCATGCTGCGGTAATGTCCATCATTACTGAATGGTTACAGACGCTGTTATTACATGAGGTCATCACAAAGATGAGAGACAATGTGTCCGGCTGCTAAATGTAGGAGTATAAAAACCGAACGGACTGACAGACATAATCAGGATGACATCAGGATGATGGAGCTAGCGTGTAATTAGCATAGTAGGTGGTTACTAGTGCATGTTCACATCCTTTTTTAGTCCTGACATGATAACATCTCCAACTATGGAAGGAAACTGTTGAAAGACACTAATTAGTTAAATGTGCGTCAAATGTAAACAAGCTGCTTTAATTATTAAAGTATGAACATTTTGAGAAGGCTGTTATCTGAAAAACTTTGCATTTCCCTTCTCTGGTTAAGAGAAATCTCTTTCCAACAACAATGTTTTTAGTATTAATTGGCATGCATTGTGCTATTGTGAGACTGTTGATAAGAGTGGCACAGTGCCTCACAGTCGAGCAAGAAGAAAGAAAGAAAGAGAAAAAAAAGAGATTTCTGTCCCCTGAAACAAATCCCAGAGGGCTGTCAAAACCTGAGCGGTCTGAGCAGAAATGTGAGTAGTGACTAGGGAAAACCACACAGAGCTGAGATTTCAAAACAAATCAATCACATTACAGTAAACAAAAGCTTAACAGGTTGAATGGGTCCTGACAGACCGCGGCTGATCGGAGCGTAAAGGTGAAGTTATGGCTCAGCCACAGCAAAGCAAAGGAGAAAAAAGGGAAACGAATCTAATTTAAAGTCTCTCCCTCCGGCTGTCCCACGTCTGATCTGCTCCATTTCTGTTAGTCATAACAGAGTTGTCACCTCAGGACCTGCATCAGTCAAGTTCAGCCAAACCAATAAAGATAAGCATCAGCACGTTCCTCACCAAAGAGGACGTTTATGAACATGTCAAAAGGTATCCATTCCAACTATCACACCACTCAATTAACTTTAGACCTCTTCATTTCAACTGGTAAGTTTAAAGTTCAGTCTTTTCAGAGACCGGGTTTCAAAGATCAGGAAAGCGCTCAAACTGTAATCGCAGAAGTCATTTTTTGAATGCCACAGGGACAGAACAGTGAGGCGCTGCCATTTAATCTAATTTATTACATTAATTGGTCTTGAGCCATGTCAAGACAGACATCGACCTCACACAAAGGCAGGAAATGTGGGTGAGCCAATAAAATCCAAACTCTCGTGTAGTTTCTAATCTGTGATACCTTCACCCAGCTGAATAAACATATGAACTATATACACACTATGATGTACTGTCATCTTTTAAAGTCTCAGTAAATCTCCTTAACAAAACAAAACAAAAGCATCGGTCTAACTCCATCCTCAAGTACAGTAGCTCGCAGCACAGACTAATGTCATAACCAGACTTTTTGACATAATTCTTATAAGATAACGAACAAACCAGGTGCAGTTGGTTCTGAAAGCGCACTAAGCATGAAAGCTTTGTCCTGAACATTGAAAGAAACAAGTCAGCAAGCCTGGCCAGTACTGGGTCTGTGGTGCAACATTATGTTAATATTTGGTCTGTCATTGTTTGTATTTTTTTATCCTTATATCTTGTCTCTATCTTATCTGTTTAGTCTTCCAGAGTGTTTTCAGTAGGTTGGGCATCCTTCTAGTATACAATACAATAAAATTAACTGCTAATAAATAAACTGTGCACTACGGATGGGCGATATGGGCTAAAAGATTTATGATGATAAGTTCTGCCACCCGAGTGATAACGATAAAAGCCCTGATAAAAAAAAATATTATGATTCCAATTCATGTTTTTGACTCATTCTGTCTTAAGAAACCCACAATCATTGTTCTTGGATGGCACTTACTAGTTAGTATCAAATAAGATACTTAACCACAAGCTTAAGTGGTAGGTCATGGATAAAACTAGTGACATCAAACACGTCTGAAATGTGAAAACACTTTCCACATTTATTCAAAACTCTCACTGCACAAAGTGAACGGCAGCAGCAGATCCACTGTCCGATGTCAGGCATACTTGTTCTGCAGAAAAAGAAGAAAACAGTATACCGCATGTATCACAAATCTTATACATGCCATGTAACTTGCCCACTTTCAACTGGAGAAATGACCATGTCAACCATGTCATATACATCACAACTAAGACAGCCATCATTGCCCTGTTAAATTTTTTACCATGCTCATATCAATCAGGGGTTAACAAAAAAGCTGAGGGTCAGTGAACAGTATATATACTATAACATAGTTTCTGTAAGGCTTAATATAAACTTTGCTCGTTTAAATAGTGCTTCACTTCTAATATGTTATTAAAAACTTCTTGTTCAACAAGGTTAAGCACAAGAATGTGTAGAAAAGGTAGAAATTAAGTGTGTCTCACAGGTATGAAACAACATTTCATCACCTGGCATCATTTTGTGTAGGGCAGTTACACATGTCACAGCTGCAGTTGTAAAAACGGGCCTCCTGGCTCTGCCCTGACTTCTTTCATGATGAATTACAATAATATGATAGTTCTTATGTGTCCCATGGGGTAAATGGTTGCCAAATAAAGTCAGACACTGCTATTAGACACCAATCTGCACCAGATTTCAGTCCGCACGCCTGCCAGGGATGAAGACACAGAGCCAAACTCATGCCAAGTGCTGTTACTGAACCCTCAGCTGAACTTTTGGCTGAAGGCAGCAGGGAAGTTTCCACCTTGACGGGGAGTGTGGGGAAAATAAACCGATCATCGTGGAAATCTAGCATAACAATATCAAAAGTTTTGCACAGCTGATAGTGGCTTTATCTGTATTTTTGTTTTGATATCCAAATGTGCTTATGTGATGATCCTTCAGAAAATTTATAATTTAAATTCTTTTAAAAGGAAATCTTTAAATCATTGTTATCAGTCTGATCTGCCACTTTGCCCTTTTGAATCACTGTCACTGTGTCTCCAACCTCATCTTCATTTCAAAGCCATCAGGCACTTATTTTCACTGAGGAAACACTACTTCTCCTCTGGGTTACCACTCAGCCTTAACAGCAGATAAACAAAGTCAGAGACACAGACCGAACTATTCTAAGAGCAGGCTACTATTACTGTGACCTCAGACAATTACACTTTTTTTTATTGCACTTACACAACAAATCAAGACACAATCCATAACCATCACAGTTCTATATCTCATAGACAATTTGCAAATGGTTCGAACCATTGTACTGCTTATAAACAAGTATAGTAATGATATACAGTAACAATAAACATAACTGCAGGTACTATACGTGTGATGCCAGGTGCACATTATCACCACCAGCCTTGCTCAGCCCTGCAAGGCAGGTGCTTTACATTTGCAAGCAGCATAGAAACTTGTGATCTGCACAGAGAAAAGGCACAAAAATGAGTGTCAACACTGGAGTTGAGGCGAAACCGCAAACAGCATAGTTTGGGGACCAAACAACCACATCCTTTAAACAACCTTTCCACATAAATCTGTGTCTTTGTGTCCTTTAGGCTGTAATGTGTCTGCAGACTTTCTGTGGTGACTGAACAATTAAAGACACATGAGAAATGACACTACAAAGTGGTCACTGAGGTAATGCTATAAATGTTAAAAAAAATAAATAAATAAATAAAAATAAAAAGCTCTCTCTTTCATTCATCTTTAATGCCAAACATCTGAAGAACTTGGTCTGAACAGTATCAGCCCTCTTTATCAGCCATCTGGATCTAGTTGGCGGAAGGAGGTTCTGGCCCAACATGTGGTTTGCACCTAGCCCTCTCCACCCGCTTTTGTTCACACAAAGCTAACCACAAGCAGTAACCCTCTCCACACCCAGAACCAGACCAATGACCCTGTGTACATTCGAGAGAATGTTACACCATGCACGCCACGGCATGTGGGCCCCTGTCTGGTTAAAGCTGGCTAATGGGCTCCAGATACTGCCTCACCAAGCTCTGAGGGCCGAGATCACGTTTTATTGGTTGCAGATGCCTGGTTATGGATCTGGCATTATATTGGCAATGACATCATGAGCTCAACCTGCCGAAGAAGCATCGACACAGCCGGGACTGTGCTTTTGATCCACTTTGACTCCAGAGCTTGGTGATGTGACATAAATTTTGCAGTGTAACAAAACTGAAATATTTTTTCATTTAAAAAACAGTGACAGAAAAAAAGTGTGCCTGCTGAGCTTCAATTTCTTTTAATTAACTTTTTATTCTAATCTGATTATCACATCATAAGATACTGATATTAAAACATCTGTAACTATCAAGTATAAGAAAAGTAACAGACCACTATGACCACTAAAGTCAAAGTCAATGATCCGCTCAATTTGCCAAAATACTCTGCTCATTTTGCACCACTCACGCTGCCTTGTTTGCATTGAGCCATACATCTTATTGTTGATTTTATATGTACATCAATCGCACAAATGATGTTATTCATATTTGGTGTAAATGCACCATAAGAAGCAAATTTGGATTGAATCTTTTTACCATTTGTCATTTGTCAACAAACTTGAATCAATGGGGCGAATTCGGTAAGGATGGAGTCATCTTTTTGGGACCATGAACACAGGGTTATAAGTCCATGTGGCTATTACGTCTACCAATCACTTTGTTCCTTTTTTATTAGCAAGTAGAATAAAACTCAGGTTACTTTTATCTCAACTAGATCATTTGACAAAGAAAAGAACAGGATATTTTGTCATGTGGTTTTCTTGTTTCATTTTTCTCCTTGTGATCCTTGTGTTTCAGTTTTACTAAGTTCAGCTATCGCATTGTGTTGCATCATTCATTACCAGGTGTGTATTTAGCTTGTGCCAACATGGAGACCATCAATTTCTTCTTTGTTTTATAAACATGGAATCGTCGAAGCTACTAAAAATACTGTAGTATATATGCCAGGCCTGTAAGTGGCGCTGGAACACTGCCACAGAAATACACAACAAAAAATAGTGAAAAAGACAAGGAGTATGCGCATAAAACTCCTAAACAAACACACAAAGAAGACTTGAAATGCAAGGGTGGTGTCTTCAGACTTGTTCATTGATGGACGTTTTCTAAGTAAGTTTTCGTTGATTTACATTTTTATTTCTTTGCTAAATAAAACTTCCAAGTTTTTGCATGCGTGTACTCTTTTTCTTCTGTTTAAAAGGTGACATATTTAGCTTTAAATGGCAAAAATGGTCGACCAGTTTATCAATTTATCAGCATAGCTCTCGTGAGGACAGAAATCCAACCATGTTAGGAACAATATCTCTGTAGCGTGACCCCCTGTTGAATTTCATGGTAATCTTGCTGGTAGTTTTCCTGACATCTTTCGTGGGGTTTCAAATGACAGACAAAACTTTTTGAAGCTGGATATCCGAGAACACTTAATGTCAACTAAAGTATTTATAATCAAAAACATATTTCTGTCTGTGACACAATTTCTTCTTAAATTTCTAAAGGGCTTGAGAGACATAAAAGGACTACACTTACACTCTCCTGCTGGAGGTCAAGAGGGCTAGTCAGCAATTTCCACTTCTGAGGAAAGTGCTGGGTGTGCGGTGAAGTGAGTTGACAGGTGATGCTGAGAAGTATGGAGACACTCAGACACAGGCACACCTCCAAATTCCTGCTACAGGTTACAGCTGTTCTGCATACTGTGCTGCAGAGATACCAATCTCAAAAGGTCAGAGGCTACAGTAAGCTTATCCTGACATAAAGGAGTCTCATATCACAGCTAAATATGGCTGACATGGATGGATGGATGAAAAGAAGAATAAATGGATTGAAAATGGCAGGAACATTTGATGCTTAAATAAAGGAGAAACTTTGCTTTAAATCTTGTACTTTCAGAGCTCTTTCATCTATTTGCAGTGTGCTGGACGGAAAAACAATATATCTGCACTTTTGCATTGTTTAGTGTCTGACCACTGACAATATAATTAAAAAAACCTTTTTTCCACGTTTACCACGGTGTTCTCTGACTCAGTGGTCTTTCTCATTATATCTCAATGTCAACTGCAGGTTGAAAATAAGAGTGTAGATCTGCTTTGCTGCTTTTCGATACTTTCAAAAATACAAATAGTCAATTTTTAATTTTAAAGCACCCAGTATTGGAAAGTATTTAAAGGAATATTCCGGCATAAAATTAATTTAGGGTCAAAACTGAGTTAGACACCCTGTCGAGAGATGAATGTTGCCAACTGCTTGCTTCTCTAGTTATATCAACTTTAGTAACGACCGCACGATAGCAATACACAGCGGTCTCAGGAGCCACACGCTTAACCAAAACACCACTCTGTAGCCACAAATAATGTTCAAAACAGCACCTAACTTCATCAACAGTACATGGTCCCAGCCATAGCACTAGCCACCAAACATCTTTTTAGCTTTGCCTAATTTCTTAAGCAAAGAGACTAAACACAACTCACCTACTCTCTTCCAGCAGCCACTTGTTTGTACAGAGACCTCAGACGAGTCCATTACCGACTGCAGCTAGATGATGCAGCTCAAGGAAGAACATTTATAATCATTTCTTCATGGAAATGCCATCAGACCAAGACGCTAAGGCAGAAGAACTACCGTGTCATCAGTGCAAAATGATTGATACGGTGATTATTACTTCAAGGAAATGATGAAGTAATGATCAAGCGGTCTGCAACATTCATCTCTCGACGGGGTGTCTAACTCTGTGTTACGGTGTGTTTGACCCTAACTTAATTTTACGCCGGAATATCCCTTTAAGTTTTGGAAATTCTGACAAGCTTGGTACATTGTCTAATGAAAAACATACGCTTTAAAAGGACTGACAACCAAATGTTACACAGCTCTCTCACAGGCAGGAAAACTCTTCACTATCTAGATAAACAGAATCAAATAGTTCTGCCTTTTAAATTTTTCTGACAATCCATGGGATGCCTGAATCCATGAACACTCTTGTAAAGTTTTCTGTCCTTATGTCATTTCCTCACAGTGGGGTCCTTAATCTGTGGAAATCTGCAGAAATCACAAATTCCTCCATGTCCACAGTTATGTCTACAAAGGAGCAAGATTTAACACTGGAAACGTGTGTTGATAACCAATAAACACATGGATTTTTTTTTACAGCGGTATTACATAACCCTCAGCTTATTCAGTGATATACCTTGAAAGTTTGCACAAGGCTCTCATGCTCTGACATCTATGCTTACACACACAATGAAAACATTCAGCAGGCTACATTCAATCAACACACTGCCTGATTCATCTGTCACCTCACTGGTCTAATCCAAACTCTCAGCTGGTGCCCCTTCTATCTGACATCTCTGTTTGGCTCTATAACCTACAGATGATAGCAATGAGATATGTGATAAAAACCCAAACTGGAACATAAACAGTGCGAGATGCTGTGGAATCCAGACATGACAAACTCAGGCGCCTGGCAGAGGTCCAATCTACGATCAATTTCAACAGGTCATGGATGGGTTTGAAACCCCAACCACAACCATAGGACACACGGTAAACTGAAAGGTTGAGAGCAGATGTCACTGTATTCACAGAGCTAATAAAATAACAGGCATCCACACAGTAAGACAATACATGTGACTGTGGAAAACCGGTGTGCACATAAGAATGAACAGAATGTGTGTGAGTTTTGGGCTTTAGCTATAGACATCTTGTGAGACAGTGTATGCAGCAAGTCCATCAACTATTTTGAGCACCCTAAAGAGCGACTGGACCCAATCAATCAAAATATTGGTTCCTCACCAGAATCTCAGTGATCAGACTGAAGCTGACATGTACATTTTTTTTACTGAATAGGGATTGGCAATCTGAACTGATCATTTTTTCCCCAATCATGTGCATCAGTGGTCATTAAACTGTGTATAATTTGCACACAACACAAATAAGAGTTTCCTAACAGTAGCAACCGTTTTGGGGCTTTAGATCTATGGTATGTTGTCTATGGTTATTTAAAACACGATGTGACTGCTAGCTTTACAGTTAAAATTTTACATTACCATATGTCATTGCTAAGCAAACATAAAAAACAACATTGTGCAGTTCTATTACCAAGGCAAATACAAGTCTCAGATCAAGACTTGGGATTCGCACATATTCAACAGAAGCTAATCATGACAACCCTTGAAAATAAACTCCGACAAATGTATGTGTTCCTCTCCAAGCATCAGTTTAATTAGTTTAGACTTAGAGTTTCTACCAGACATGACCAAATAATCACTTTCAACTGATTTAACATATTTGGCGACTTTTACATCAGCTTAGTGGCTTTTGATAAGTGATTTAGTAGTAAACACTGATTCATTAACAACTGCAATAACATGGATTTAAGGTGGTTTATGGTTGTAAATGTCTTAAAATATTTGACAGCATGAAAGGAGACTTATTGATGTTGAAGGAACATCCGAAAGCTGTTAATTTTATTTACAGATGTGCTTTAAAAACGATTCTTAATTAGTCGTTTTACACTGGCAGAACTTGTTAGAGTAATTGAAGGGGGAAAAACATCCAATCCCATTGGCATGTGCTGAAGTCTTATTGTTTCCTTGTGCTCTGGATTGAGTCTTCACATCTGGTCAATTAGAGTTATACACTCAGCTTTGCAAGTGTTACTGGTTAAAAGATGAAAATACGAGGATACTAAGAGCATCAAAGTTGGACTGGGGATGCTGAGTGTTGGAGGGAAGGCTGTTGAAGAGAGGAGAAGTGTCATCTGGACATAAATTACTCTGACCAAATGATGTAATGAGCTGCAGCTGAGAGACTGACCTATCCATCAGCTGCTGCAGGGATTGGTTGTTTAACGGCTGTAACAGGTGATGTTGCTTTACCATTTAAAACATGTTTAAAACAAGGGGCAACTGTAGTATATAGTATATTTTGTCAATAAAAGTCATTCAATATTACAAAATAATGCAGAAAAAACAGCTAAAAAAAATACCCATGCCATTTTCTGAGAGAAGCCAAATATTTAATTCACACTTAGATTAGCTTATCGAACTAGCATACCCGTCACTTCCGTTCGCCATCTATGTCTCTGCACAGGTGTGTCAAACTCTTACCTGTCTGCAGCATCCCAGAGCCGGACTCTCCTCCAAATTCCCCCGGTGTGTCCTCCGGTGAGGCAGTGCAGGAGCTTAAAAACACTTGGAGGAAAAATGTCCATTTAAAAAGTAAAGAGAACATCTTTCCGGTCTAATTAATCACGTGAGTAGTTCTCCTTTAACGGAATTCAAACAAAAGGAGGAAACTCTGCTGCTGCCTGAGCAAAAATAAAAAACAAAACAAAAAACTATTCTAATGTTGTTTCCATTAACCTTAAGTCAAGTCAAGGAACATCGTCTGACTGCACCTTACTCGCCAACCTCAACAGACAAACTTCTCATCTTCCTCACTTCCCCTCCTCTTTTCCTCGTGCACCAGCAGCCTCTCTCCTCCTGACGCTGCGTCAAATCACTGAAGCGTCAAAAGGAGCCAACAAAGGCTCCGCCCCTCTCCTCTAATGTGGACCAATTAAAACCTTGTAAGGCCTCCGCCCGTTCTGTTTTATGGCATGTCTGTAACTAATTTTCACATTCTTCAGTTTTAATTTGAAGGATTGATCGATTTTCTTGGTCTCCAGGCGCTTTTGGACTTCTCATCACTTTTAGAATAGTGCAGTCAAAAATGGAGTCTCATATATAAGTTCACAACTTTAAAGCAACCCTCAGACTTATGATATGGGTTAAGTACTGATCATAAGTAGTGCATACTGTTGGTGTTTGCATACCGCAGTGGATTACCATATTGCACAATTCAGGTTCACTGGACTGTGCTCTTCTATGCCTATACTTCATCTTCCCACTCCATTTGAAGGGGTTTCTACTTCCATTTACTTGTTATTGTACTATTGTTAAATATGCACAAGATTTTAGAAGAAAAGCCTTGAACACAGCACTGATTAGTACATCCTCGACGGACTGATGGATCAATTGCAAATTTAGGGATCCAAAATATAGTCCTTTATTTGGAGTCGTGCTCCTGGAAAGCTAATCAATGTGACTCCATTATTTTGCTCTCTCATGAACAGATTACAGCCAGTGATGGGCATGACAGTTCTTTTAGATGTACTGAATCACTGGAATCATTTCACTAAAAAGATTTGTTCAAAAGATTCGTTCTCCAAATCACTGACTCATGTAGCACGTAGCAGAAGAAGCCTGCGACTCCGATCTCCTGAACTGATACACAGCTTAACGGTTCAGGATTCAGTTCAATTCATAGCTTCTGGGACCCGGAGATGAGAGTGTTTGGTTGTGTTGCTTTGACAAACAGGTTTTAAAATTGAACTTGTTTATAAGTCATGATGTTTTAGGTGTACTGTCCCATGGTATGCTATTTATCAGGTCTGCTCAATTGGGCTGAACATTGGGCTGAACAAGTGATTCGTTCACTGAATAGTATTCACACTGAACATGCAGCGTTCCCTCGCAAACCACTGCAATGATAGGATGCTGCGGGTTTAATACACTACTTGTTACATGCTATGTCTCATTGTATGCAAGTTGTTGTGGTGGCATTTTAGCAGTAAAAACAAATAAGTTAGTTTTGTCTGACAGAAATGATTCCAGAGAGTGTAGTTCAATGCGTGATTTGTCCACCAAGTGATTCAGGTGTTGGTGCATGCAGTCCCTCGTTCGCCGGCTGCTGGCCTGGTAATGCTGTTCGTCGCTTCAGCTCAAGTGAGAAACAAACAAATCACTCGAGGAAGTGTTTCGGTTCAGTACGCTCACTTAAAAGATTTGGTTCTTTTGAATGAATCGTTCACAAACTACATAACACTAATTATAGGTTGAAATGTTCCTTCACTTACCTTACTCCTCTTATTGGTGAGGAAACAGTGGCCTTTGAGGACAAGAAGCCACTGTGATGCATGATAAGTATGGTCCTCCATTTGTCAAGCCAACCTATTTCTAATGCTCATTGGGCACTTTTGGAAAATGGAAAATAGTTTATTTCATTAAGTTAGTCTTCTTTTGTAATCACCTTAAACTCACCACAGTAGCTTTAAACATACTTGTACATATTATATTATATTATATTAAACATCATACCCCATTTCTACCAGGTCTGTTCTGCAAATACTGCACACTGCACCTTCAACTCAGATTCACCAAAAGACCACCACAACCTAAATCTGTTCATAATGTAATATTAAGGGGTCTACATCAGTTAGTTTCATAACCATAACTCTTTATTTTTGGACTTATATTCATACAAAATCTGTAGGTACAGTCCAAATGACTGTGGGAGAGACAGTCAAGTAACAGATCAGGCAGCGAAGGATTCAACCACTCCAGAACCTCTTTCCTGAGAAAGAGTTTTGGCTCCACTTTGGTGGTTCTGATAAAATATTATTCAAGCTTGTTTTTTTTTTCTTTTCATTACCTGAAACAGATACAATTTGTTCTTTAGATAATCAGAAAATACAACCAGGAAACAAATTGTACAAACCATGGACTGAATGAAGTCAAACAATGCCTCTTTTTTGCACATGCACATTTTCATTTCATGCAAACAGGACATGTCCAGAGGGGGCAGTCAGAGTCAAACTGTGTAAAGGAAACATGGCTCCTGTTGAGAGAGGGCTTACCGGAGATCTGGAAAAAAAGTATCTTTGTAGAAATATACCATGGAGTTGGTACATAATCTTTGCTTCCATGTGGTAACTCAATGAAACATTAAAAACAGAGAAACATAACACATAGAGAAACATAACACATAACCATGATGTGTTGAATAATAGATCTCAGTGCAGTATCAACTGTCGGACCTGTTTGATATAAACTAAAAATATCTCTTTTTAGATGATAAATCAAAAGACTGCACAAATATAAGACAACAGGTAATGAAATTAAAGAACATTGAAACAACCAGACTTGGATCAACTTATATTTGTCAATAATTTTCACTGTCATAAAATCACTCAGAATTAAACCAACAACACTAACACCCCTGATTAGAGACCAAGAAGTTAGCTTTACTGATTCGTTTTAAAAACTTAGAAGAAAATCTGACTAAGAAGTTGTAGCAATGAACCCTGTCTAGTAATCATCAGTAGTCAGATAATAGTGGATGCTAGGTTGCACTCTCCATGAGTGGAGAATTACAAAATTACTTCTTTATATTAAAGTTAGAAATATATATATTTTTTAATCTACTTGCGTATTTTGTAGTTAGTGAGTAAAACGAATAAACTGCTGAATAAAGATATTCTGGGTGTTGAAAGTTACTGATCAGGGCACAAATATTTGCCATCAAAGTCAGGGAGAAGTTTGAGGTTGTCGTCACATGGAAAGCTATAAACAAAATCCAGAAATTAAACCCGGTAAATTCACTGAAAATAGTGCAGGTTGAGAGGAGACCTTTGTCAGACGTTTTGGGATCTCATCATGGATGTAGAAAACCACGATTCTCTATGTAGTCTCTCTAGGTAGTGATGCTTACGCTGTACTTTGCTTCCCCTGTTTGCTTCATTTCATCAGTATCAGAGCCAGCATGGAGTCAGGCTCAGGTGTGACTAATTTTTAGTGCTTTTCAGCAAAAACTAAAAAAAAGAGCCAAAAGTCTTGAGAAAAAATGGCTCAGATAGTAAATGCAAAGTTGATTTAGCTGAGCAATGACAGATAATGTCTTCTGTTTTATCAGATTTTGTCCACTGACTCAATATCTGTTACCAAATGTACCATTCTTACTTATTCTTTATAGAAATCCTTAGGACGTAGTGAAATAGATTAAGCTTTCCTTTAGACAGCTCAAAATTTTGGTTGACGTTTTATAAGAAAGACTTATAACCATTGAAAATTATTGAAAAATATATAACTTGACCCAAGTCTGACAGAACATAGTTTTATACTCTGGGTGGTTCTATCTGGATAGGCGTCATGCAGTCAACTTGCCAACCTTTAAAAATGCCCTGTGGTTCACAAATATCAGCTTTGATAACATAATGTGCCTCAGTGTGTGTCGTCAGTTCACTGTACATCATATAATACATTTACAATTTACAACTTTTCATACATTAAATGTAAAATTTGGTCGCAGTCACACTAAAGCCTGAACCTGGAGATTCCAGAGGGTAAAGCTACAGGGCAGATGAAGTGTCGTCTTGTTGCATAGCCCTACTTTGAGTCAACAGTCTGCAGCAACAACACAACTCTTAGTACTACACACCTAACCCCATCAACAAACCTTCACACAATACTGCTCTCAGAGGAAGGAGATACGGAAACCCGTGAGATATGAGCAATTATGGCAGAGAGGAGATATACACTGTATACTTGAGGAGGCAAATGAGTCTGAATATGGATCGTGTTGTTGATAAGAATAAAAAAAATGGCACTTTTCTCCACTCTGAGACCATTTCTACCAACAGACTGGCAGTATATTTGAAAGAGAAAGGCAAAATGTTTACCACACACCCTTAGGCAAAAGTACAGACACGATTTTTGACAAGTTCAAGACCCTGGCATGCACTACATTGCTTAGTTTGGATCTGTAGTCCTGACTTACCTACTCCACAAGTTAGTACAAAAGAGTATTTTTTGCATTCTGTTCATTTTAACAGATCCAAAATTTGTTCTCTACACTTTTACATACTTACATCCTGCACTGTATTTTCAAGCCCATCTAACCGGATATGACTTAAAAAACGAGGCACTTAGTATTCAACCACATAACGTCTGGATAGAGATATCTAGTCCCTTTTTGCACTCTGAAAATTTACATGTTGCACAATTTACAAATAACTTCATCATAAAAATTTATCTCTTGATGTCTTCGCTCCCATCCAGTGTTTAACTTCTGTCACACGGCTTTCTGTTTCAACCCAGAACATCAGTTAGTTTTCCTTATGCCTCTGAAGAATTTGGCGATATCCCCCCAAAACATTGGCAGAGAAGGAAAAATTAAAAGAAAGGAACAAAGTTTGGTGATAGCATCAGTTTGATCAAGTTGAAATGGACAACATAAAGACAATGAAACATATAAAAATAAAAACAGTGTTGTGAGCAGCCATAGTAATACCAGGAATGAGGCATTCAGATCTGTCTAAAACACAGTCCATAGTTTCACTTTGGAGATTTTGGCTTTTGTCTTCTGCTTCAACACTGTTTTACTGGCAAAGGCAAAATACTTAAGAGTCTTCACTTGTGCTATAATATCAGTGCAAGTAAAGGGGGTAGAAAAAGTCATCAGTGTTTTTCCTTACAGAGTTTGTTGTATAAAAATGAAGACTAAGACTACAAATCTGGAATGATTTTGGACCCCCTTTCACAGCACTTTCTTCTGGCTTTTTCCTCCATATACTTCCTTCTGAGTAAATCTTCTGCTTTTCATATCAGCTCACTGAACCTGACATTGATCTTCACTGCCCCCAACTATGAACTTTTTTCACCATGTTAGCACCAGTCATCTTCGTCCCTCTCCCTGAGACTT